CAATATAAAAACAAAACTGTCTGAAGATATCAAATTTCCTGCACAATGTACACAAGATTGACATGCATTCTTTACCTTCATTAAAATTGCCACAAAAATAACCTAGAGGTTAAGAATGGGCAATAAATTTTTCTCAGTGAGTACCGGGTATTTACTGAGTCAACTGTAAAATACCCGTGACTTCCCCATGAAATTTTGTTTCTCCTCACCACAGGAGGGCAGATCATAATCAAATGAGCAGAAAAGTGCTGAGGTATTGGGTTGAAATATGATAGGATAATTAGGGGTAAATAGTTTTCGCAACCAACTAGGAGCCCAACTCCTTAATACTGATCTCGTGCCTTATGAGGGATTGCCGAAACCTCTTTCACACCCTCGTTAACCCCTAGCTTGTTTATCCTGATTAAAAAAGAGAGGGGGGCTGGGAAAATGAGACATGAACAAACAGCAACAAATTATCACATTTCCCACCAACTTAGGCTGTAAACTATAGCTTGGTGGACTGAGAGAGAAGGTACGAACATACTGTTGTTGTTACCGCAAACATGAAACCTATAGAAACCTATCCGTGATGCAGCAGATAGACTTACTCTGTGAATTCCCAGACTGTGTGAGTGGTGGGAGGCAGAGTTCACCCAATCTCCTGCACATCTGATTTGTAAGCTACAAAGGGCACTTACCCGGAATGTGACATCACCACAAGAGAACGTACCATTACAGAGGGGTGTGCAGGGTGGCTTGTAAAATGTTTTCGATGTATCGAAAAACCCACTTCGTCACAGGTTTGCCGACTATGTTAACAGATATGCTGGGACTCTATATAACTCTTAGCGTTTACATTCTGATATGTACACATTGGTGATTGAGGAATGGAAGGTGAGATTGTTGAACCGTTTGCCCCCAAAGCTTTCAGATCTTACCACACACTGACAATGTAAATCTAGGCCTAAACCACAGCAAACATGGAAGGGTCTGCCTAGACATACTTGTACCAATTACTACTTCAAGTTACAGTCTGCTACGGAATAATACAAGAATGTCTTTGGTTGGACAGCAACAACGGAGGGCACAAATTGCATCCAATGACAGACAATGTAACAATTGCAAACGGGAGTCATCCATTCCAGTGAATCAGGTCGTTATGTCATTCTTGACTTGGTACACAAATTAGGTCACTGTGCTCGGTTTGCTTTGGTGTATGTTGTCTCACAAAACATACGGTACAACTCTTTCTGTATGTACAAGGCATGCACAGCAACAACAATTAGACATCAGTAAGTATAATCTGAATCAGCAAATTTATGTTATGTTTAATATGTTTATTCATGCACACTACATTAACTGCTGAATTGTTTATCAACTTTGTACGACTTCTCAAATTTATATATTATGTTCTTCCTCATCCTTTCTTTTATTTTCGTATTTCATAAACTCTTCCCCACCCCATGATTGCTCCTGATCTTTCCCTCCATTTTCAGTGGTTTCATGCATACATGTACTACATGTATATTGACTACACTATGTATGCTAAGATGGAGCAGACAACAGACTGATGTATAGAATATCCAATAACATCAGTTACTGTAGTTCAACATAACAACTATCCTGTATATAATCTTCGCTCAATCTTATAATTAGACAAAGACTGTTACTTCCCCAACAAAAATTCGGGTAAGTTCTAGTTTTTATGGATACTATGTAGGAAATGATAGTAAAATTGTGCTCGATAACCTTGTAATTATGTTGTAAACCTTTGCACTGATCGTTGAATGTTTTAGCTGATGTATTCATTGTTGTGACAAGTTTTTGTGCTGCATTTTAACGATAATGATGAAGATATATGTACTAAGATTTTATGCTAAATTTATCTAATTGTAATAATGGGCAGAATGTTGTAAATACTCGACATATTCCATACACTTCACTGTGACATGCCAGTCAATATTCAATAAATCTGAATCTGAATATGCTATCAAGGGCTCGAAATTCATTTTTGGTGTACTGGTGCACCAAATCTAAAAAATTGGGGACACAAAAATTTTTTGGGGTGCACCATATAGAATGATATAAGAATGTCAGCAAAACCTAATTATGTTTTAATTCTAACGAAAAGTACTAAAACAATGATTTTATTATTTTTCTGACACTTGAGATGTTAAGAACATGTGAGTTGTATACTACTATACATTTAACATCTAAAATGTAAACCTACAAAAATATTTACGTGCACTGGTGCACCCAGAGAAATAGATTGGGTGCACTGCTCCAAATTTGGGTGCACTAAGGTGCACCTGCACCCAGTATTTCGAACCCAGTTATCTGTAATATCTCTACACAGAGATGAACCTTTGTCCTATATGAATGTCTGCACTTATGTTCACCCCAGATGGTGGTTACCAGTAGTACCCCAAATAAGGAGTTCCGGCCAAGTTCAGGGTAACGGTGTAGGATTGTTGACGTCTTGCAGCCACCCCAGGGGGTCATGAGCACCATATGGGACCACAGAGGATGGAGTCAAGTTCAACAAGCACCACAGATCCCTTAGGTGACGGTAAGATGGCTTAAAAACATTTTCCTTCATAATGCACTGTGAAATTCTGATGTGCACTGATTTAACTATAATTGCACATTACTCTGGGCACCATATGGGACACAAAGGATGGAGTCAAGTTCAACCAGGAGCACAGATCCCTTCCAAAGGTGACAGTAAGACTGGCTTAAAAACATTTTCCTTCATAATGCACTGTGAAATCCTGATGTTCACTGATTTAACTATAATTGCACATTACTCTGGGCACCATATGGGACCACGAAGGATGGAGTCAAGTTAAACAAGAACCACAGATCCCTTCCAAAGGTGACGGTAAGACGGCTTAAAAACATTTTCCTTCATCATGCACTGTGAAATTCTGATGTTCACTGATTTAACTATAATTGCACATTACTCTGGGCACCATATGGGAAACAAAGGATGGAGTCAAGTTCAACCAGTACCACAGATCTCTTCCAAAGGTGACGGTAAGACGGGCTTAAAAACATTTTCCTTCATGATGCACTGTGAAATTCTGATGTTCACTGGCCAAGGCTGATTTAGCTATATATCACATTACCCTGTGTAGCATGTATGTGTGATCTAGGCATGCAATTATTTTATATCTTCTTGTACAGGATATTCTACAATGTACAGGTACAGATTTTCTATGTAGGAAAATATTTGGTAGCAGCTGGCATATTTGTCATTTTTAGTTTAAGAATTAATCTCTAACTTCTTTCTTTTTTTTTCTCATTGACATTATCCACCTTGTGGCGCCTTAATCGTCAATGAACCTGAAAGGGTTTAATCTCAAATATATTGCTACTATTTTTAGGACATGGTATATTTATATCATAACAATGTCTAGAGCTAGAAGTTCAAGGGTTAGGTGTAACAAGTCGATCGGTGTAATATAGCCAGCTGCCGCCGCGCCGCGTGCCTGCGAAGCTGGTGTGTTACGCCGAAAGGCGGTTATACCGGCTATACAGATACAGATACAGATACAGATTTCAAATGCAATTGTAGTACACACAATACACTATAGACTACCAATATGTATGTGTGGATGTGATTTTTTAAATTGTCTATTGCCATAACATGCATGGAATGTGAAAATGTGACTGTATGATAATCATTCTATTTCAGTGACTTGTGATGTGATACGTACATCATGAGATAGCATCATAAGGACAGGGACTGGGATTTCTCAAATTCAATTATTTCTAATAAGTACTGAAAATGACTAATTTCTAGAGAGAGAAAAATAGGCACAGGAGTTCTGAACAGAATTAGACTTCACTGTACAAATAAATTGGACAAAAAGAAAGAATGTGAGATAACTTATTATCTTAAAAATATACTATCATTCCAAACATATGGAATAATATCTTCTCAACTTCCAAATACATAATAACATTGTTGAGCAGGGCTTTAAAATCAAGGTTTTCATTACAGCAATTTGAGTGGAACTTGGGTTGCTCACAAGACAACCTGTATAAAATGAAATATTTACAATGTACATAATAGACTGTAATGGTTCCCAGATGACTACTTAATGTGCAACGTGGATCTTAGGGACAAGGATCTCTGCTGCCAGCTAAGTGCTAACATATGTAGTATCAGGCCTCGAAATTCATCTTGTAATACCCTAGTGCATAGTTCTCACCAGGCTGTTTGAGCATAGGGGCCCCCTACGCTGTGATTTTGACCCCCTACGCTGTGATTTAGCCCCCTACACTGTGTTTCAACCAGTGTAGGGGTGGTTTTTGGGGGCAGAAGCTTCATTGATCTTTAAAAAAATGAAAATATAACTTAAGAATGAAGCTATAACAGAGGGAAAACAAAATCTGTCCTCCAATAAACAATAAATAGTGTCTTAAGTGGTTAATATGAGTTACAAAATTTTTTGGGGAGAATATCAGGCCCATGTTTTGGGGACTCGGTGCGTGACTCGCGCCGCAGAAAGTTGCCCTTCTATACCTGACCCCTACGCTGTGAAAAAATCCTGGTGAGAACCCTGCTAGTGAGTAGGTGTACTGGTGCACACAAAAATTAGGTGCACAGGTAAGAATACCTGAAGAATCCTAAAAATATAGGGTCTGATGCATTTTTCCTAATTCCTTTTTCCTAAATCTTTCTTTAGTAATTCCTTAGACCAACATACCTGACAAAAAAATCAAAGTTACCATCTGTATACCCACAAAAATTACCTACTAGTACTACTAGTAGCTAGATAAAACATTAAAAAAACACAGCAACACACACTGTATATATATTACATATACTATTGTATATCAATGAAATGTTTACATTGTTCAGACGTCATCAGGAGAGGTCCTCATAGGTAAGGGTATGAGAGTTTTTGTATCCATGGCATCTGTTTCATTCAACCTAGCTTTGGGGCAAACCAACCAACAAAACTTTAACGTTTTGTCAGCATAATAAATTATAGATGAATTATCCTTACCTGGTCAAGTAGCCCAAATATCATGTCATTCTCTCCTCCCTCTGGATTCTCCTGGGCTACAAACAGGTCTGCTTCTCTGGTCTGCAAAATAACACAGGCTGGATCATTATAGAACACAGTGGTAAGGTGGTATTGTAGTTAGGGTTGTTGACTCAAAATCTGAAGGTTCTGGGTTCGAATCCCAGCCAGGCAAATGTGTTGTGCCAATAATTTGACATGACTGTTTCTCATGCTTTTCTGGGCTGGTATTAGACACTTAGTGGTTGGTACGTCCACCAGGTTATTAGTCAAATTTAATAAATTAATCTCGATAAATAAACAAATATTCTCTATGTTTCACAATCATGGAAAAATGACAGAGAAACACTTACAATAGAATTCAAAGACACAATGCAATGGCAGTACCAAAATCTAATGAAATCCACTGGAAAATAAATGAAATCAAGTGTGTTGCTTTTAGCATAATCCTAAAAATTCTAAAACATCTGATGAGTTACAACACAGAATGTAATACCGTACAGTGTGTACTCACCATAGTTTTAGTGATGGTAGTGTGCCAGGTGAGTTTCACACGACGGGGCATGTGAGTTAGTGCCTCCCAATGCTTGTCTATGAAGGGCACCACTTCCTGTCAACAAACAGAACATTTTTACAAACTTTTAAAAACTACTACTACTACTACTACTACTACTACTTTTACATGTACATGTAGTATGATGTAGTCCAGGGCTCAAAATAATTTTTTCAGCATACCTGCACTGATGCAGGTAACACTGAATACTACTTGCTCCAGCAAATTATACCTGCACCACTCTAGCAATCTAGCAATTATGGATCATCAAAAAAACTGTTCCAGAACCATTGCGATTATGTCAATAGAATTATGGTACAAAGTGTCCTAAAAACTTTTTCAGTTAGGAGTAAAAACAAACTTGACATTGAGACTTCAAGACTTTCCAGTCTCCTACTAGTAGTATTGGCTCTCCATATTTGAATGTGATTGTCAAAATTATGTACATTATAGAAAATCCAAGAAAGTAGCTGTACCTTTTCCTTGGAGAACATGGTCCTGGGATTTTCATCTTGTCGATGTCTGTGAGTCAAGTTTGCCAGGGCAGTTATACAGAACTGAGTGAAATCTGCAAATAGAAGAACAGTTTCAGTACAAGTCACAAGTCAGACTTTAAGCGTTATTTCTCTATTTCTTGTAACAAATAAATGCCCATCATAATGTGATAGCATCTTATTTTATAATGTTGAGTACTAATTGTACATAAGAATGTTGCTAACTAGTTCAGTTTTTTTATGTCACTACTACTCAGTAGTTTATGTATTTTACAATTAAGATGATAATTCAATATTGAAATCAGTTGCTGCTTTCTGCAAGAAGACAAATGTATGAATTCAGATACTGTGTACCACAGTTGCACTTACTTGCTTTGGCCTTAGTGAAGTTGTCAGTTTTGGACTGATGGCAGTGCTTGCAGTAGAATGTGTAGTTACTCATAAAGGGCAAACACTCTCTGGAAGTAGGAAAGAATGGAGGAATATTGGAGCAATGATAACATATATGTACAATCATGCAGTAATGCAAGTCACATGGATTTTGGAATGACACTGAAAATTTGGAAATACTGGTACTACTACTACTACTACAATGTGTTAACTGTGCAATATTTGTTTCTCTGTTTTTAAACACTAGCATACAATTCAGCGCTACTTTTTTAGTTGCGCTGCCACATGCTAGAGACTGTACTCATCGATCAATCAATAAACAATTATTATATATGTTAAATTTACAGTTGATAAGATGTTTTCTAAAACTCCCTCTAAACTTATTATAGATTAAACTGAAAGCTCATACAAGTACAGTTGAGAAGACTTACCCCATACTTTCATGACAGTCTAGATTGTCCGCTGCATACCACTTGTAACACATAGCACACTGGACCTCACAGACATCAAAGTTTCTTTCCAGGCTGCAGTTTGGGAACAAACAGATAGGGGATGTTTTTGTAATAACTTACTAGTAGTGTAGAACTAGAACATCAATGACAAGTCTCCGGTTTTATATGAATGAAATCCTAGAGATGTACACATTTGAATGAACTAACAAAGAGTTGATAAGTAATACAAGTATTTATACACTCACCCTTAAGCTTACTTTCATTGTTCTTCGAATGTTAGCATGTTCCTTGATTATCTATAGTCATAACGTTTTGAAAGACATAGGGTGAACAAAAGTTTTATCTTCTTTTTTCTTGTTAAGTAGAAGATGGGAGTTTAAAAAAAAAACGCTTTGATTTTAAACAAAAAAAAATCAACTCAAGTTTTAACGTTGTAAACTCAAGAAAAACACACCTGTCGCCAGCTTCAGACTCGTCAACTCCATCCTCCCCATTTTCTGTCTCGGTGGTCTCCACAGCCGACGTCTCCTCCTCCTTGTCTGTAACACCTGGTTGCTCTGCAGCTTCTGTTTCCATGGCAACTGCCTCCTCCTCTGGGGCTGCCTCCATACTCTCCTCTGTCTCCTCTACAGGACTGGGGTCCTTGCTGCTGTTCATAAAACAGGAAAGTGGTAAAGAAATGAATTGTGAAGTCCTGATTCTTTTTATATCTATCAATAGTTAGAGATGGCCTGTAGTACTATTCAGCACTAAGGTGGGTGTGCCCCATTTGTTCCATGTATAAGTTCACACAGGAACAGGTTGCTTTCAGTAGTTTTCCAACCATTCACGAAACCTACTACTTTTGCAAAGTATAGCGAATAGTAAGTGCGATATAATGGTTCTGTATAGTGTACAAGTACAGTATCTATATCGCTGATATATTTGCATAGTACTATTATAAAAAGTCGTTTGTTTGAAAATTTCTTTGAAATCGGTTATGCTTGAATGTACTGTAGGCTACTCTAACTCTTGTACATTTATACCGCAACGTAAGATAGGAGGCACGGAATGACTTTGGATTCCTAAAATCTACACGAAACTCAAAATCTTGTCGAAGTTGAGAACCGCGATATGATACGAGCATAAAATTATTTTGTTGACAAACATTTTTTTTTTTTTCGAAGCCGCATAGCGTAATGGAGCGCTTGCATTTTCGGACGTATAAACTCATACAAAGGAACATTCCAGACTGTCATATTTTGCAGTTAACGGCTAGGATCCTTCTCCAGCTTCGTTATACAAATCCATAACCGAACGATCTTGTTTGGCCAAGAAATGAAAATAAATATTTACCTGTTCTCTTTGTTCTCCTCGCTTGCAATTGGAGCGTCCGCCATGTTGCCGAACCCGCGCTGACGAAGTCTCGCGAGATTTCAGTTTCGCGAGAGCTTGGGACGAGATCTGAAATCCAAGATGGCAGCTTCCTAGTAAACAAAAACGAACCGGCAAGAAAAAACAACAAAGCACTGTTTTGGTGGCGTTTAGGGGCGTGGGGCGTCTTCGGTGGTGAGTTGAAAACTATGGCGATGTAGTAAAGTGATATCGATGTCTTTTACGAAGTAAGGAGCTTTCAAAATTATTTAAGAAAGCTTGTAACGTTACGTTATGAAGTAGGTCAAAAATCTAAATTTTTTGTTGGACGATTTTCCACAAAGAATCGTGATCGTGTTAAATATTTGTCTATGGAGATGTCGAGGCTAGATAAAACCCCTTTTAGATTTTTACGGGTTTGCAAATGACAAAACTTGTTTTGTTTTTGGCTTGGTGCATGGGGGCCGCCATGTTTTTCCCATGATGCCAAGAGTGTGGGTATTTTTTCAAGGCACCAAGAGTTAAATACCTAGACTAGAGAGACAAATTGGCTGAACTAAACCAAGCGTAATCCAGCATCAAGAGATCACATCTAACGAGATATTCGATGTTAAACAAGGACAACAACAACAACATTTTCTGATGTGTAACGTTAAAACTTGAGGTGTTGTTGACTGAAGTTTTGTCCCTTGCAGAGGGTCTATGGAGGAGTCAGGGCTGAGCTATCCTGAGGTGTTCAGCACCAAGTCAGACAGTTACGGGATCCAGCTCTACGGCTACGATGAGATCCCTCGTTTTTTGAAGGGGAACCCGTATGTGGTGGGCGGCTACAGGGCATACCTGCCAACTGCGCTATGTTTGAAAAGGTAAGGCGTACTATGGTAGCTGGGTGCCAGACTGTTGACAGGGCCAGTATACAGCCTATTATAGGCTAGGCTAGCTCTACAACTTCAGGGCCAACCTGTCCCCAAGGTACAGGGCATACCTGCCAACCGCGCTCTGTTTGAAAAGGTAAGGCGTGACTTTAGGGTACAGGTTCGAGGCTTTTGTATTTCTTTGTTTCTTTATCTTCATTTTGTCCTCAGTTTGAATCCTGCCATGCCATTCAGACCAGGCACAACTTTCCTCACCCCAGACTTCAGTTGGGAAGGTAAAAGGCAGTAGAAGGAGAGGGATGGGCTCTACCTTCCAATACCATGCCCTAGACACAGTGGATTAACAACCCACTTCTCCTATGGCCTCAAACAGGCTATGGAACTACATGTATACCTAATACCTTTACCTAGATGCTAGAAATGTGTTGTTAAGAATAAGGAGATGAAATAGGCTCAGGGCTCGAAGTACTTAGTGCATATAACATTACACCTTAGTGCAGATAAAATTGGAGCCCTGGATATATATATACAACTGTACTACTTTCTGTTGTTCCAGTCTGTGAAAATTATGTAGGATTCCTGGCAGGGTCCTTTGTTGTTCTTGCCTTGACATGTGGTATATATGACACATTAGTTTGCTATGATATGATATGTTAGTTTCTATTGTTCCAGTCTGTGTGTGCTGTCCAATGAGACTGTGAACATCTGGAGCCACCTGCTGGGGTTTGTTCTGTTCTTCCTGCTGGGCGTCTACGACAACCTGGTGACTATCCCTGCCCTGCATGGCACTTACAACGACCACCTCATCTATACCGTGTTCCTGACGTGCTTCCAGGTCAATTCTCTTTCCTGTACTCCATTACAAACATTGTCAACAATACTGATTTGTTCAATGGACCTATCACATTATTACGTCACAGTTTGTTTACCACAATGAATGCCGGTCAAGCGACGTTTATATTGTACAGGGGTGCGTAGCGCGGTGTGTGTTTGTGTAGCGTTACGCCGTTAGGCTTAATATAAGGCTTTAATACAGTACTACTTTCGTCTAATGTCACAACTAAATCACCCAATATGGCATAAATGCTGTGTCAACAAAACTAGACGCAGCAAAAATCAAACATACCTGACTTTGAAAACTTTGAAATCATGATCTTCATTCTTTAACTGACCGTTCTAGAATGTTCTTTAGAACCGGTAAACAAACAATGATGTAATAATGTGATAGGTCCATTGCTTTCTACTTCATAAATATGCAACTTAATATTAACAATACATGTATACCTTGGGAGATAGGATATTTTGGGATTTTCTTATACACAACCAATGACTAGTATTTTTCCTACCTTGCTTACATTTTGATGTCTATCAGACACCTTCCACAGAGCTGACTGGAGTCAACTGGAATACCCGGTTGTGTAAAAGAAAATCCCAATACTATCCTATGTTCTACCAACCCGATGAAATTATTTTTGGAATATATCAGGACATTTTTACCTCTGGGTACTGACTGTAGCCTCTACCAGGCTTGGGGAGGCGGCTGGAAAAAGTAGAAATCGGCCAAATAGAGAGATAAGCATGCCAAGGGAGTTTGTCCGTTGAGAGAACATTTGGGGTGCGGTGAAATGGGTGGGGTGCGGCATGCTTATCTCTCTATTTGGCCGATTTCTACTCTTTCCAGCCACCTCCCCAAGCCTGGTAGATCTATAGAGGCTACTGACTGAGCCATCCTTTTCTTGCCCGTTATGTCCAGTTCTGTATGCTGTGTTCTGCTGGCTACCATCTACTCTGCTGCCATGTGTCGGAAAGAGTCGGTCGCCGCTGGCTGTCCCTGGACCTGGCTGGCATCTCAGTTGGAGTCATGGGCTGTTACTTCCCTGGGGTGTACTATGCTTACTACTGTAACCTGGTAAGTCATGGGCTGTTACTTCCCAGGGGTGTACTATGCTTACTACTGTAACCTGGTAAGCCAACCAATTCTGAATTTAATACTTAAGTTTACCTTTGCAGAAGGAAAACATATTTGATGACCTTCACAGGTTTTTAGTTTTTCTTCTCCAAATGAATAAGGTCAGTGTCCTGGACCAGATGTCTGTCACCATGGTAACTGGTGCTGTAGCAGACACCCTGTGGTGTTGGATTTACATTATGTAGCAAATTGCAGGACAGAGTTGAAGGGGCTGGTCACCATATATCATATGAATGTGTTTGAGTAAAAAATAAACAGTCTGAGAGTTTATGTATTTCCAACAGTTTGTGAGAAAATTGTATCTGCCATGTTGAGATTTGCAAGTGACAAGAGATTGACTATTGACTGATTGATTGACTGTTCCCCAGTTCTGGCGAGACCTGTACCTGTTGTTAGTGACCGTGTTAGTATCCGTAACCCTGATGATGTATGATTGATTGACTGTTTGTTTGTTTGTTTGTTCCCCAGTTCTGGCGAGACCTGTACCTGTTGTTAGTGACAGTGTTAGTCGTGGTGACCCTGATGATATATGATTGATTGATTGTTTGTTTGTTTGTTCCATAGTTCTGGCGAGACCTGTACCTGTTGTTAGTGACAGTGTTAGTCGTGGTGACCCTGATGATATATGATTGATTGTTTGTTTGTTTGTTTGTTCCATAGTTCTGGCGAGACCTGTACCTGTTGTTAGTGACAGTGTTAGTCGTGGTGACCCTGATGATATATGATTGATTGATTGTTTGTTTGTTTGTTCCATAGTTCTGGCGAGACCTGTACCTGTTGTTGGTGACCGTGTTAGTAGCCGTGACTCTGATGATGCAGCTCCACCCTCACTTCCTTACGGCAGCCTGGTCTGGCCGCAGACTGGCGCTGTTCTCGGCGCTCGTGGCCTACGGAGTCTGTCCAGCCGTGCACTGGATATTCATCAGTGGGGGGTGGAACCAACCCATGGTACAGGTGGGGGAACGATTCCTTGAAGCTGGTGTGTTATGCAGAGGGGTGGTTATACCGGCTATACAGATACAGAAGCTGGTGTGTTACACTGAAGGGCGGTTATACCAGCTATACAGGTACAGAAGCTGGTGTGTTACACTGGAGGGTAGTTGTACAGGCTATACAGAATGATACAGAAGCTGGTTTGTTACGCTGAAGGGTTGTTATTTTATACCAGCTGTTCACTGGATATTCATCAGTGGGGGGTGAAACCAACCCATGGTACAGGTGGGGGAAACGATTCCTTGAAGTTGTTTTGTTACGCTGAAGGGTAGTTGTGCAGTTACTGGCTGTACAGATACAGATGGACAGGCATAACATGCACTATGGTGGGATCATGTGGCGTAATGGTTGGGTGTTTGGTCCTGGTTTCAAAATGCGAAATGAAAGAAACAAACAAACTTTTTGTGCCATGTGATTTTAAGGTTTTTTATCTTCCAGAATACAGCTATATGATCTTTAGCTGAACCGAGAGTAAACTTATATCATAGTTATCGGTGATTATGCTGTGCTTTCATATGCTGTGAATAACTATAGCTATCAATGTTACTTTTTTGTTTGTTTTAGACTTTCATTCTTCAAATCATTGTGTTCTACTCCATTGGAACCATAGGATTTCTGTTCTATTTTACTCAAATGCCAGAAAAATGTCTGCCAGGTAAGTGAAAAGCTATCATGAAAGTTCATCTGTGTTGGTAGTTACATGTTTAAAGTTAAAACTTTTGGTCCAACACAAAACTTTTCTCTCCTTGAGCTTTCAACCAGTCACTCTGGTCTTCCCTAGTAGACTGACCATGTCACACTTCAAAGAAGTCACGTGACAAGTCTCACTGGGTCAGTCTACTGAGGAAGACCAGAGTGACAGGTCAAAAGTTCTAGGTGAGAGAATTTTTGTGTTGGACCAAAAGTTATAACTTTAAACAAGTGAAAAGCTGTTTAACGGTTTGGTAATGAGGATATCTTCTTCATTTTGCAGGTGTTCTTCCCCAAAGTAGTGATAATGTACTTCCTAGGGGTGCTTGCTCTGGTGTTTTATGGTACTAAGGTTCCTGAGCGCTGCTTGCCAGGTAGGTAACTGCCAGGGTGGGAATCTGTCGCAATAGTGTCACTTCTGGGTCTTGCAAAGTATTTAGCATTCGAAAACAGGTTGGTAGGACATACTTTAGGATATAAGGATTTTCTTATACATAAGCAGAAATTCTACCTACCTTGCTTACATTTTGATGTCTATTAGACACCTTCTCAGAGCTTTTGACTGGAGTTCTGCTTCTCGCCGCTATACTAGTATGTAGCCGATGTATATAGAGGTGGCACTTTTGTGTTATTGCCTGGTGTTAGTGAATTTCTCAAACAAGGAAAACTTGGAAAGAATTATATATTTTTCTAAGGAACACCCAGAATATAATAAAGAAGGTCACAGTTACATTTTACACCCCCTCTGCACAGGAAAAGTGGACTATGTGGGACACAGCCACCAATGGTGGCACCTGATTGTGGTGGTGGCTTTCTACTGGTGGCACCAGTCAGGCTTGGGCCTCATGCAGTACAGACTACAGCACCCTTGCCATGGTCTGGAAACTAGGCTATAGCCTGATCTGTAACTATACAGGGAAAACTCCTATAACTGTACATGGAGACTAAAGAAGAGGCATATACTATCATTCCAAGGTCTGTCATTGAGAGCCTGGGTTTGAGGTTACAGTACAGATGCACTTAATTACCGGTAGCTGCAATGGACCTATACCATTATTACGTCACAGTTTGTTTACTGCAATGAATTGCGGTCAATCGATGTTTATATTGTACAGGGGTGCGTAGCGCGGTGTGTGTTGGTGTAGCGTTAGCCTAATATAAGGCTTTTATAACAGTACTACTTTTGTCTAATGTCAGAACTAAATCACCCATGTGGCATGTAATGCTGTGTCAACACAACTAGACGCAGCAAAAATCAGACATAACTTAGTTTGAAAACTTTGAAATGATCTTTATTCTTTAACTGACCATTCTAGAATGTTCTTAAGAACAGGTAAACAAACTGTGACGTAATAATGGTATAGGTCCATTGTGTATGGTTATCTATAACGCATAATCACCTGCAATTATATGAACATCTACACGTTTTACACAAGAAATGAAAACGATTTGAACTAGCATTGCACGACTTTTACGTGCATGTTAAGTACAAAAAGCACAGCTTTAAATTTACACACATTTAGTAGGAAAGTTATTCGAGATCTGTCCAGTAGGTACAGGACAAGGGCCATCTTACATGCCTCATCTTTTTGGCACTTGCTCCAGTGTCAGTTAAACGTTTATTTAAGACAATATCTACCTCAGTAAGGCCATCTTTTACATTTTGTACCTGTGAGTAGCTTTGTTGTCACGGACAATGTCTGATGGAATGTGCTGCTATTTTTATGGTTTTATTTACATAGTTATTCCACCATGACATTCTTATCATAAGTGTGTGTATCTTAAAATACAAAATTACAAGTATACAGGATGTTGTATAATTATGATGTACGGAATTTCTTAGATTTACACAACTGTACTATTTAGAAGTAGATGTTGAGGCAATGTTAGGCCACACCAATTTAATTTGTTGGTTCTCGGATTCGCCTCTTCGTTTTTTTCTGATTTGCAAAAAAAAAATTGATTCTGGTCCTGAATCAACTGAAAAATGCTCATGTTTTGCCCCCAACAGTTGAGGAAAGTCCTTTTCTTCCTAGTTGTTATACAGTTTTGCCATCTATCATTGCAGTGGTTTGATTAAAAGTTCAAAATTCAATGTTTAAATTTTAACCCAGCCTTTTGTGTTGACTTCATGGCTCATTCCATAGCATTTAAGCCTATAATAGGATGCCTAGACCTGTTTTTATTTTTATTTTTTTTCGCCCTGTCACTTCATATTTTTTCTGAAAAAATCCGAGAACCAACAAATTAAATTGGTGTGGCCTTACTACTACATGTAGTATACTTAACCCATTAACTAAGGCTATATCATACAACAGAAATTGTGTATGTCTAAAAGATAATACTTTACATATGTACATGTAATAGGAAATTATAGGAAATATGTAATAGTAAATTTTATGGAATGGACACTATGTGTCCAAAGCACTGAAATGTTGACATCCAAGTATCTTTATCCAAAGACAGCCAAATTTGACCAATCTCTAGCTTTGGATATATTTGATGTTTTATACCATATTAATCTTGTGATTTGTTTCATCAGAAATGTGTTTACACTATATACACAAGACCTGTGCAATATTCAGAGTAAATAGACCAACTGTGGTACAAGTGTATGTTTACTCAGTTGGTTTGAATAAACTCTTAAGATTATTTTGTGATGTTTTGTGGCAAGATAGGAAATTGTTACTGTTAGTAGTAGTAGTAGTAGGTAGTAGTACTAGTTGTTATAGTCGTGGTAGTACTCCTATGCTAGCCTTATCTACATATCTGTGGCACCTAGTAGTTCTTGTCATGTTCAATGCAGATGTGCAGATCTTTTGGGTAGCTGCAAGACAGTATCTTTTGGCCAGGCAGTATCCATTTGCCAGACAGCATGGTATATGGACCCTCTCTGGCGAATGGGTACCGCTTGGCCAATTTGAACTGTCTTTTGCCACCCTAGGATCTGCTTGGAGATTATTTAGAAACAGGTGTCACAGTCATATGTTGATCTTGCCCGTTGTCACAACGACAGCCTGCCCCTTGATGTCCACCCTGCCATCCCCCCTCAGTCTCACCCTCAGGACCCCCGCTCTCTCAGAGCACTGTCGGGCTGGGGGAGGGGGGGGATGACATTTCATGATTAGTGATAATAATTGGTAAATTGTCTAACGTCAACAGTTTTTGAATATGTAAAAAGCACGCCATTCAGCCTATGGCTGCGATGTACTTTTTGTATACGATCAAATGATCAAATAAACCATTCATTCATTCAACACGTAAATATTCAACTACAGAATCTCCAGATACTTTTTCTGCACCAGTGCAGGTAACACTGAAGATTGCCTACACCAGAAAAAAAATTTTTTTTTCACCTGCACCACTCAGAATACATGTATAGGAATCATATGGATCACATGAAAAAGTGTTCAAAAGTGAACCCGAAATGTGTTTGAATTATTCTGGGGAACATAAAATTTTGAAAACCCATGTGATAACTGTTAGAATCCCATGTGATTCCGCTAGTTATCACATGGGCTGGAACACCCATATCAAACATTATCAGTGCCCAGGTATGATATAAAGGGCTATATTATACCACCTTGATAATACTTCTTACCATAGAACTCAGTCTTGCCCAGTTCCTCTGCCCAGTAGCTGGCCAGGACGGTATGAGCTGACCCCGTGACCGGGTCCTCTGGAAGACCGCTCCAGGGGTCGAAGAAACGCGAGACAAAATCATACTGGACCCCCTCCTCATCAACACAACCGTTCTCTACACTTCCTGAAAAAGATACAGATTCTGTAATTCACGGTCTGAGGAAAGAACTTCATCTTCACAGTGAAAGAAAGTGCAGGGAGGGGTGAAAGACAAATGATTTAATAAATCATTACGATAAGTTCATGGTACAAGTGACTGTGAAAACAGTGAACAAAGATATTCTGAAACACTGGCAAAAAAATTGAAGCAAAAGTAATATCAGATGGCACCCAGTCTAGTGTGACAAAATTTAGGGTGGAAAGAAAGGTGCTTGTCCCTGGTAGTACAATTGTTTTTTTTTTAATAATACAAGATCTCATCCCATGTAAGAAAAATCATTTTTGTAATTAGACCAGGAGGTCAAGGGACAAGGTAGGTAGGTAGGTAATCTACACCTTTTAATGTGACTATAACTCCGTCACCGATCTGGTCGTGGTGGGCAGCCATCATGCCTTGGACGTCTGGTTTCATTTCTTCAAATTGTTTTCTGTGCAAGGGGACAAACTATTTTAAGGTGCTTGTCCCTGGTAGTATGATTATTGATTTTTTAAGGCCACACCAATTTAATTTGTTGGTTCTTGGATTCAGCCTTTTGTGTTGACTTCATGGCTCCTATCATAGCATTTGGGGCTATAATAGGATGCCTAGACCTGTTTTTACTTCATTTTTTTTGCCCTGTCACTTAAGAAATATTTTTTCTGAAAAAAATCCAAGAACCAACAAATTAAATTGGTGCGGCCTTATAAAATCCCATCCCATGTAATTATAAGAAACATCTTAGACCTTTTAGTGTGACTACAACTCCCCGGATCTCTTCTGTATGTGCAGCCATCATGCCTTGGACATTCGGCTTCAGTTCCTCAAGTTGTTTTCTGTGCCAAGGAACAAAAGTCTTTATCAACCTGGTTTGAGTACCATTGATTTCTGTGACCCAAGAAAGTACAAAATGCCTTCTACACTGGTGTATAACTTAACTGTAAAGCTAGTTATCATACTATGAGTGCCTTTCAAAAAATGTATTATACATCAGTAAACATAATTCCTTTCACACATTCAGAACCTTCCCCAGTATACACATTCGGGAATAGTCTGTCAATGAGCGGATTAAGGCCACGCCTACTTTCTATACGAATCCAATCAAATTTGAGTTAAATTTCAGTCAAATATGACCCTGAACTTGCCCCAAAGAACCTTAGGTCCTGAACACTATATGTTGTAGTAACGTTAAGCCCCAGTCGTTCATATGTAATAGATCTGACCAACCTGGTGATACTATCAGGTATCCTGACCAGCAGATCCCCTCCAACTGAACTGCAGAAGTGAAGGTCTTGAACAGGCAAGGAACCAATGGTGGCCTGGCATCACAATTCATCACATTAAAAACAGCGAGCAGATTACTTTGGGATTGAGTAGAGCACTTTGGACTAGCAGCTCTAGCCATTTACTACAGTAACTTAAACCTACTCATCAGATATTTTGTGGAGTTAGCTTTCTCCACTCTTTATGTAAACTATTATATATAATAGATGTTGCAAAGCAAATGTTTGGTTACTATGTGTTGAACTTCATATTGCATGATTGAGTACAATACAGTCATGTACAAAGATTGAAAAAGTCATCATACAAACCTTGATTAAGTCTTTGTACTTTTCTTCATCCTACAAAAAATAACAAACCACCATCATTCAAAATTAAGGACAAAATGCAATCATGGTGTTACTCTTTCTGGTGAATATACTTGATTTGGCACTAGTGTCAATTAGCATGCAATAGATAAACTTATCACACTAGTCTTCCTTGATGCCATATGCATACAAGTGTATTGATCAGAAACTATGACCTCATTGGAAGACAGTTGGAAACTTATCCTACCCCCCAGATCTGCTTGGATGAAAAGTTGGAGATTACATACATGTGGTTGAGTACCTTACTAGTAATATGATTGTTCCAACCTGAGGCTGTGTTTTATTTTCAGGCAGGTCCAGTGAGATGAAGTCTCCGTCCCTCCTGGCAAACAGGTCTCCACTCAAGGTCTGGAACGTCAGCTGGGGACTCGGGTTTTCTGTGATACATGAAGGAGCAGAGAATAACAAAAGTACTGAGCCTCAATGTACTTCAACATTACAATGCACCCTGTAGTACAGCCTATTGCTGGCACAGTCTAGCTTGCACAATACTAAGCCTTGTAAGTTGTAGTACAGCGGCCTCTGTAACATACTTAGCACAGCCTATTACTGCAGCCTGTTAGTGCAACTTTGTAGTATAGCTTATTAGTGCAGCCTTGTATATAATTCTGTACTGCATGTAGTATATAGTGCAGCCTTCAGCACAGTAGTACTAGTGCAGTCTATAAGATCAATTTTAAAATGAATTTTTATGGCACTTCAACAAGTACTTTGAAGACTGCATGATTCAGTTTTTAAGGAAAACAGTGATATAAATAATAAATAAAATTACTGTTCCTTTCAATTTGACATTTTCACATTACATCAAAATTTGTCTCACCAACAAAGTCAAGGTGTGAGACAGTATAATTTTTTTTGCAACAAAGAAAATTAGTTGACTCACTGATGACATAGAAGAGTGCAGCAGCCGATGCCAGTGTGGCGTGGCCACAGAGCAGGACCTCACTGGCAGGGGTGAACCATCGGAGTCTGAACACTGAACCTGCAAAATTGAGAACACAGAGATGACTTTCACAGACTGACTTTCAAATGCTGCTAATCCAATCAGGCATTGTGTGTGGCCAAAACATGTTCAGTTTCAGTTTATTACACAAGGAAGCATATTGCAGTCATGATGGAGAAATTGCACGCTCATCTACATACTGTCAGGAGAATAGAAAACAGACTGAAGTTGACAAAACAGCAACAAATCTAAAATCACTCAAAACATAGTGGTACATATATTAACATTATAACTAAATAGACTTAAAGTACATATGTACTGGTTTGGAATTGTAACCAAGCCTGTACATGTGCCTGTGTTTATGTATACAGTCGGACTCAGAGAGCAAAATTATTTGAATGTGTAACATTAGAGGATGAAAGAGACTCGGCAGCTAAAATAGGTTTGGACACCAGGCTACTACTATATGCATATGTGACATTGGTAAGTAAAATCAGTCTTACTGGTGTTGAAGTCATCCTGGGGTGAGAGTTTAGAGATGAAGGCTGTCTCAGACTGGTTCATCTCTACTGCAATCTTCTGTAGACGATCATCGCTTAACTCCTGTCCAATATATATTGTACAGAAACACAATATCAGACTTCTTGCAATTCTTCCGCACTCTGCCAGGGGGTGCAACTTGGTTGGACTTTCCACACCAACCCCAACCAGCCTGGACAGTCTTTTCTGCCTTTCAGGCTGGACCGCTTTTTCCACCAACCCATGTAGTACACTGTACTAAACATTATGCAGTCATACTATACAGACAGTATAATACAGAGCAATATAGGAGCAATTGCCATGACCTCACGGCCAGGAAGTGGTAGGCAAAAAAACGGATGGTGATCAGCTGATTTGCCTACCAATAATTTGCATAAAGTCTTCAAATAATTTGCATGTAACCTGTTATATATATATGATGTAAACAAAAACATCAATGGCTCATAGGAGGTGTATACAAATGTACTGTAAAGTAACAGGTCTAGATCGATCAATGTTCAATGCATGCCTAGCTTATATTCTACGAACCTCATCCCCCAGTAGACACACAGCTGCAGCGTTACCTCCAAAAGGCTTGTCGGTGAAGGCATCAATCTGGTACAGAGGAACCCACTTCTGACCAATGGCAGCCATTTTGTTCAACTTTTGACCTAAGTCCAAAGTACGGGATATTCCATTGCTGAAAATAGGGGTGCACACTGGACTGGTGTACGAGGTCAAAAGTAAACAAGAAAGTAATGCAATAACCAGTAGAGATGGGCCATATAAAATAACTTTATTTCTATGTAATCTGTACATTTATCTCTTGATGAGACCACATATAATACTATAATAAAGATTATAATGATATTTACAACTACATGTATATTGAGACTAGGCTCATCAGGTTTAATACAGTGTTTATTTAGATCTGGCCATGGGGCCCTGCATGCGAATTTTCATTAAGTGTAATCAGCCTTTTATGTCTTCTTAATTCGTAGGCACTGCTGCCCAAAATTAACATAATTCAAGCCTCATAATGCAAATGCAATTAACTGCAATTCACAATCAGCTCTGAGAGTTTAATGGTAGTAATTCATAATCGTCAAGGAAAACTTAATTCGTACAATCACTATATTGATCATGAACATCATCAAACTACTTCCAAGAGATCAGTTTTGGTACAATAAACACTATACGTTAAATTGTTTTTACTGTGAGTGGAAGGTGTTCAGCACCAAGGACAGGTGTGCCTGTGTGTGGAAGGTGTTCAGCACCAAGGACAGGTGTGCCTGTGTGTGGAAGGTGTTCAGCACCAAGGACAGGTGTGCCTGTGTGTGGAAGGTGTTCAGCACCAAGGACAGGTGTGCCTGTGTGTGGAAGGTGTTCAGCACCAAGGACAGGTGTGTCTGTGTGTGGAAGGTGTTCAGCACCAAGGACAGGGCTCAGGTTACCTTTCATGTCCCCCGGCATGTTCTGGCTGTAAGTCAGATAGCTCGTCCTCTGGCGTCTGGGACGCCTTCTGCCGTGGGCTGGGACATAGAGGGCGTGAGACCTAAGTGGCTCCTCTGCGGGCATCCTAAAGGCATATCCAATAAAGCACAATTGCTACTGTATAACTCTGTTGATGGGAGCTGTGTATTCTTGGCCTTCATGGCTTTATATATATTACAGGTGAGAGGCAGTGTGTTTTTGGCTTTCATATCCTGATCATGCCCTGTACGACAACAGCCGCCTTCCCCGCCACGTCTACTCTCCCATCCTCCCGCAGCCTCACTTTCAGGTCCCCTCCTCTGGCAGAGCACTGACGAGCTGTCAGGAATAAACACAACAAATCTTGTTACAGGGCAGATAACACGATGATTACATTTGGCCATTGAAAGCTATAGTTAAATACATGTATGCTGAAACAAGGCTTCACAAAAATTCTTCTGCACAAACATCCAACAAAAACCAGGTTTTGCACAGGTGCAGTACGTTCTTCTGACATTCTCCTCCTATGTATAGATACCCGAGGCAAATTTTTATAATGTGGGGTTACAGCAGAGTGCTGGACTCAGAACCAAGAGGTCCCAAGTTCGAATCCTGCCTTAACATCATAGCCTGGTTACCAGACCTATTTTAGCTCCAGAATCTATATCCTCTCCGCAAACAGAGGAGTCAGGATGTAGGACTCGGGAGCCAAAATAGGTCTGGTAACCAGGCTATTGACACCAATCTTGTGCCTGTGAGAAAGGCATTGGCAAATCTGAGTGTGCCCTAACTACTGCCGTTACCATGATGTCTTATCATTACACCCATAAGAATCTGTTGTGACAGGGATTGCACGATATACAAGTATGACTGTATCTTACCATAGAACTGAGTCTTGCCCAGTTCCTCTGCCCAGTAGCTGGCCAGGACTGTGTGAGCTGACCCCGTGACTGGGTCCTCTGGAATGCCGTTCCAAGGTGCAAAATAGCGAGAGATGAAGTCATACATCACACCCTGGTTATCCACACAGCCGTTCTCTGGACTTCCTGAAGAGATGCACAGATGGCAAGTTAGACATGCAGGCTGACTGCAAAGTCATCTAACATAATAAAATTCTGCAAAGGTAGACACTCATTTTACCCTAAGCTTCTAGCCTCTACCAGGCTTCAGGAGGTGGCTGGAAAGAGTAGAAATTGGCCAAATAGAGAGATAACAATAACCAGGGGAGTTGTTCCGCTAGTGAGTGCAGTTCATATGCCTCAAACTAGCTGACCAACTCTTCTGGCATGTTATCTCTCTAATTGGCCAATTTCTACTCTTTTCATCCACCTCCTGAAGCCTGGTAGAGGCTAATTATAAACTTCATGTTTAAGGCATTTCATGTATTGTTACTGTAACAGTTACTGTATGTCTCCAAACATATTTTCAATGATTTTAAAATGTTTGAAATTTTTCATGTACCTTTTACAGTCACAATGACCCCCCTGATGATATCCTGTGTGTGAGCTGCTAGCATGGCTGCCGTGTCAGGCCTCAGGCTTTCCAGGGTTTGTCTGCAGGAAGAAAGAATACAATGTCATGTATTATACTGAAATTCGTTTGTAAGCTTAAATTTGCTTAAGTACTTTTGTAAGATGTGATGTAAGATGGGAGGAGGGTGACGTTCCTCCCGCAGGTCTACCACTCAAGTTCGAGAGATATGGAGCTCCGGAGATGAAAGGAGAAAAGACAGAAAAAGGATGTCTGAACGCTAAGACTTCAACTCAAAAACCTGCTTTACTCTAAGAGTTTTTTCTAAGACCCTACATCTTAATGTTGCCATTCGGTCGTTCGAACGGACAGTAACGTCGCTGTTCAAACATCAGAACCTTTCCTAGTGTTAGAACGGCTTACCTTTTACATCCTTCTTAATCTTACACTTTCAATTGGAATAATAATTGCTGACAGTATGTTCAGAAAACAGACCTTGTGGTATCATCCGTAAGCCTCACTAGGACATCCCCTCCTATAGACCTGCAGTACCGGAGGTCTCTGATAGGGGTCGTGTCAACAACAGCCTACAAACAAGAACAGAAAAACATGACCTTGACTGACCTTGTAGTACTGTCTTCAAGCCTGACTACCAACTTCTTGGCTGTGTGAGACACGTGCAGGTCTTGTATCGGAAGATCCCCCACCACTATCTTAAGGATAGAAGAAGAAGCACTTACTTTTCAATTGGTATAACTTGTATTATGCTGCTATCTGGAGAATTGTAACAAGCACTGTTGAACATACTACTATCAAAGACTACTAGTACAAACTGATAGATGTGCAATACAATCTAAATATTGGGCCTACCTGAAGCAGCTGGCTATACGGTTCTCTGTCCTGGATGGAAGAAAAAAAACAGATTTTCAATCCACAGTAATATTTTCTCATCAGATTCAGAGACACAAAGTGATTTCAGGTCAGTTATAGTAAGCCATTAAAGATCCTAAAATGTACAATAGTGTGATTTTTCTAACCTGAGGCTGAGTTTTATTTTCAGGCAGGTCCAGTGAGATGAAGTCTCCGTCCCTCCTGGCAAACAGGTCTCCACTCAGGGTCTGGAACGTCAGCTGGGGACTCGGGTTTTCTGTATTTGGAAACATTTAAAGTTAGTATGACCAAAGGAGATGTTGTGCAATACCTATGTTTTTCTTCTCATCGAGTACATATTCCCATTTCAGGTCCACCTTCTTCCTTCATCCTACTATCCGAACATGTTTCTGTCATCATTGTGTTGTGAGAGTTTCTTTCTCTTCTTTTTCTCCAAACAAATAAAGTCAATGACCTGGACCTGAAGTCTGTCACCATGGTAACGGGTGCTGTAGCAGAGACCCTGTGGTGTTGGATTACATTATGTAGCAGGACAGAGCTGGAGGGGCTGGTCTTCATTTTTTAAAATAAGAATTGAGAAAGAATAAACAGAGCAGTTTGGTATTAGTTAGACCATGTGAAGGTAAATAACATTAGGCCACACCAATTTAATTTGTTGGTTCTCGGATTCGCCTCTTCGTTTTTTTCTGATTTGCAAAAAAAAAAAATTTGATTCTGGTCCTGAATCAACTGAAAAAAGCTCATGTTTTGCCCCCCAACAGTTAAGGAAAGTCCTTTTCTTCCTAGTTGTTACAGTTTTCCCATCTATCATTGCAGTGGTTTGATTAAAAGTTCAAAATTCAATGTTTAAATTTTAACCCAGCCTTTTGTGTTGACTTCATGGCTCATTTTGTAGCATTTAAACCTATAATAGGATGCCTAGACCTGTTTTTATTTTTATTTTTTTTCGCCCTGTCGCTTCATATTTTTTCTGAAAAAATCCGAGAACCAACAAATTAAATTGGTGTGGCCTTATGCATTTTCTTTACAAATGTTACCTTTCTAGTTACTTACTCATCATGTAGAACAGAGTAGCTGCAGAGGCCAGAGTGGCATGTCCACACAGGGCTACTTCATTGGTGGGAGTGAACCACCGAAGACCAAACTTGGAACCTACAACAACAACAAAAATATAGAAAATTAATGTTACCAATGTACTGTAACTGCCCAGCATACCTATCTGAATAGTTTATTACAAATTCCAACCATTACATGTACTGTACTTTAGGAGCAGTAGAACTTTCCACATAATTAATGAATTGTAAAGTATTTTTTTATGATTATTGGAATTGTTGAAGTAAATCACTAAATGAGGAAAAGATTTCTCGTAACATAATTTGTATCCTCATCTTGATAAAGCTTTAACTAAAAGCTAGTTGCGATGTTTCTTGTTGTTGCTTAAGTATTATCTTATATTCTCACTTGATGAAAAGTCGTCCTCCAAGTTGAGTTTTCGGATGTACGCTGTTTCAGACAGGTTCATTTCTGCTGCGATCTTCTGTTGATGCTCATTGGTCAAGTCCTGTTGAGAAAGATAAAACATCAACAGTAGTGAGTTATAATGAGGAAAAGGGTTGTCAGAATCCCCCTATCCATATCAACTCTCTTTTAAACAATGGCAGTTCCAGACTGATATTACAGTGACTTAACAGAAATCTCTCGAAATTTCCAACGTCAACAACTAGGTTTGATTTACGGAAGTTACAATGTACTTATAATTTTATGTTGATAAAACTTGAGAACAACCTTGGAACGGGGAAGGGGGTTACTGCAATACTAATAGTATTTTGAAGCAAAATATTGCGGTTGACCGGCAAATAAAGGTTTCTCATACGAGGCACCTACCACATCTTCTAATAGACAAACCGCTGCCGGGTTTCCAGCGAACGGTTCGTCTGTAAAAGCGTCAACTTGGAAAATAGGCAACTTTTTCACGTCAAAGTCAGCCATGTTGAATATGAACTCTGACCTAAGGATATTACACTCAGTTTGAAGGGGGGTAAATATTACGATTTTTATAAGAATTGTAGACTGTTAAAAAATCAAAACAGATCTGTAGCAAAAAAGAAAAACAATAGTTCTTCCAAATTTATGTGACTTATTGAAATTATTTGGTGTTTCATATCGTACTGCGCATATTTTCTACTCTCTGAAGTTGTCACCCCTCCATCGTTGCCTCTTTGGAACAGCCCGTCATGTTAGACCATTCAAACATGGCGACGGTTGGCAAGCGGTAGGTTTGAACTGTCTTTCTTTGCTAAAAGTAAATACAAGCGATACAGGCACTTTCTGCTAACCATCGACAACGGAATAAAGTAACGAAATGATTTTGAGGTAACGAACAACAGGATACAGCTAACTGTGAAGTGAAATTTGTGAAGATACTGAAGACAAATTTCTAGAGGGTTGTTTACCAACTCGGAACACCTACTACCACAGGATTTGAGCAACGGTAGACACCAAACAGAGATTAGACGATGGGTGAGGAGACCAGTATGGTGGCGAGCTACTCCTTTCGAGGGGCGGAGTTCACGGTGACCATGAACGTGACCGGAGGTGACCATCTGGCCGTGGAGGTATGTACTTTCATGTAAGAATATGACCACGTAAAAGTGTAAAGAAATGAGTCTAGTAATAAGTCACCAAGTCATAAATACCTAGACAACTGGAAACTGTTCTAAATCTAATCTAAGTGTACAGAAAATAGTTCCGATCCATCAGGTTGGTAAAGTATAGGATATAGGATACAGGAGTTTTCTTTTTACACAACCAAGATTTCCGACCTATGTGCTTACGATTGGGTGTCCTTCAGTCAGAAGCTCTGAGGAAGGTGTCTGAAACACTGAAAGAAAACACCTGTATCCTGTTCTAAGTGTATTTTGAAATTAAAGGTGCATGTGAATAAACCATAATTTCTCACTTACAGGTACAGGACAAACTGACAGCTGACCAGTGGGCAGGCACCTTCAGTAGTTCCTACCTAGAAGACCTCACACACAAGACAGGCAACTACAAGTCCTTCCCCATCTTTGTCAACATGTTGGAGTCTGCCCTCACACAGACCTGCGACAGTGTCACCCTTGACCTACTGACCTACACCGACCTTGAGACGCTGCGGGGTAAGAAGGGTTTCGCAGGAACCAAACCGTTGCCTGCGTCACACGTCGGTGTGCTTACCACAAAGCGATATCTAATCCTTACATACACAGTGGAGTTTGACAGGATCCACTACCCTCTTCCACTACCTTACGTGGGCAAACCAGACCCTGCTGTCTTACAAGAAACCATCCGTAGACTCACAGAAGAAGTCAGCAGGCTGACGACACAGGGAAACCAAGATCAGAAGAGTACTGTCGAATACAGGAAGCTGCGTAAGGCTTACAGCACCTTACTGAAGGAAAAAGAACAGGTCGAGCAGGATTTTGTACAGTTCAGACGGGACCTGGACTCTGCCGCAAAGGGCAACCCCGCTAAGGAAATCCGGGTCCTGAAGCAGGTTGTCAAGAATCTGGAACAGGAACTGCTAAAGGAGAGATCCCGACACCAGCGCTCAGCCAACAAGAAATCTCAAGCTTATAAAGAGCTGCAAGAAGAGTTGGAGGAGCTCCGAGCTACAGAGAGGAATCTTAGAGTTAGAGTCAAGAGCCTGACCAATGAGCTGGCGGTTTACAAGAGGGGGCAGCGAGACCAGTCTACCTCGCGGGACAGAATACGCGACCGATCGCTGTCCCGCGACCGTAGCGGACTCGCAGCACCCAACCGCTCGAGACTCCGAGATCGACCGTCGTCCCGAGAAAGGTCGTTATCCCGAGACCGTAACGGACCGGCTATCCGGTCACGCTCTAATTCCAGAGAGCGGAGCTACCGGTCGTACTCGGACATCAAAACGCCATCTCCGATCGGGGGCAGACCCAGGTTTGTTTGTTTGTTTGTTTGTTTGTTTGTTTGTTTGTTAGCATATAAACAAAGTATTAAATTAAACAGAACAAAAGGAGATGTGCGGGAGAACATAAAAAGCCATTATGGCCTGTCTGCAATTTCCCCCCGACAACATTAATTCTATGACACATTAATTATTACAGTGTACAAAATACTTTTTTGACATAACATATAATAATTAACTTCACAACATACATGTATAATGATTATTATTATTAGATAAGAGCAAACAATAATGAAGTAACACAATATGATGGATAAAAAGGATATGACGGCCATATTTCAATAATGTTGTAAATGCGATTTTTGAATCAGGTTTGACCCCACCGCGTACGTTAAGAGACAGAACCAAAAGAAACAACAGTCTGCAGAGAAGAGAAAACGAGAGACACGATCCATGGTGAGAACAGGAGGCACACCTGCAGAAAGAGGTCGAACCAGGTCAGTGTGAGAAATATCTAACTTCTAAGCAGATCATACGGTGGCATTTAGACAGTATACATTGGCCAGAGGAGTTTCCATTAGCCACTCCTCTGCCTTGCCATGGTATGATCTGCTTGGAGATTAATAAAAACCCACCTGCATTTTGCAGAGGCATTTTCAATATTGCAGAAGAAAAATAAATGAAGCAACCTGCAATATTTTTGACTGAAAAAAATCAGGCTAGGTGTTCAATTTATTTATGGTGTTGCCATGATAGTTGCTTAAGAGCTTTTATGAAATACTATTTACTCCACAATAAAAGTAGTAATTTAGTAAAATGGCATGTATAATGCAATTTTGTATGCGACATGGGTTTAGGTCCAGACTAATATATATACTCGAGTAAGTGTACATTTACAGAAAGTATCTCCGAATAAAAGAACAAAATTTTGACATTCCTACCTTTTCAGGTCCAGACAGCGGCCTCCTATGAGGGAGAGAAATCGTTCGACCTCAGTGGGCAGTACAGGTAGCGTGGGCCGGAACAGAAGTCGAAGGTCATCGGCAGGGTCCATTTCTGACGTAGGGGTGCTGTCAGACAACGAGGAACCTTCGAGGACCAGGTTTGTTTAATATTTGTTCATTAGATCTCGATTAGTTTGTACAGAATAGCTAATAGACACAATACAAGTCTTCCTGGAGTCATGTTACACATGCAAACACTAAACCAAGCTACATATTTGTCTACATACACCTACAGGCTAAACATAACTTAACTACAACATGGTAAGACTACAAGTTGTGCTGAGAGGTCAGAGGTCTTAATTCTAGAATCTGATGTATTTTATTCATGTATTTAAAAATTCATATTTACACTTTGCCATTACCTCTACCACCAAGGTTGAGGGGAGTCCTGAAGAAGCGCAAACCGCCAAGCAGTTCTTCTTACCTGTGGACCACACCGGAGGGTCCTGAGAACCGTAAGAGACTGTCCAGTACCCCGGCCGCTAGTTCAGCTGGTAGGAAGAGGTCGGCAGGAGTTCGTAAGGTCAGCGGCGGTGGGGGCTATCACGATCGGTCAGCGGAGATGGCGGAGATCGACGCGCGACTGAGCGCTCTGCAACAGTACATGCAGAGTAGCCTGGCTACACAGGACTATTAGGGCTGCAGTAGCCTGGCTACACAGGACTATTAGGGCTGCAGTAGCCTGGCTACACAGGACTACCGGTATTAGGGGATACAGACAGGGGATACATACAGAGTAGCCTTACCCTGGAATCCATCCCTACAAGCTATTTGCTGGTTATACATGTAGTTAGCAAATGTATGATTCAAGGCTAGAGTAGCCTGGCTACACAGGGCTATTAGGGCTGCAGTACATGTAGATCTAGAGTATCCTGGCTACACAGAACTTTCAAGGCTGAAACTTAGTAACCTGACTATTGAGCGCAAATTGCCAGACTGAAATGTACTTCTAGACTGAGTTCATATGTGAGTGAGTTATACTGAAAATACTGTAACTTGCATCTTAGAGCCAGCTTATCATTTTATTTTATTTTGTATTGTGTGTACTGCTGCTGAGGAAAAGATTCATAATATTGTCGTATTGTTGTCTGCAGACAATCTTATCTTGATGTGAATGTCTGGATCAAAAGTTACAATCTTTAACTGCCAACTATATGGAACAATCCACTGTGTAAGTAATGAGCATGATGGTTTTATGTATAATCAAAAAGTCATGTACCCTCAGGCAGCTTTAAATATTTTATGGTGGAATTAAACTTTAGATAATCAATAAAGAGTCATGATTCTTGTCTTGTTCAACAACTACCCACTCCTGTGTTAAAAGATAATTATGTTTTTTTTTGGACTATGTAGCTATAACTTAATTTCATATATTGTAGCTTATGTAAGTTCTAGGCATGCAGTCAGTCTCCTGTAAATACTAAAATTACATTGAGTAGTAGTACACAGTAGACGGTTGAGTACTTATCATTGTTTTGTCCTAAGGGCAACTTTGCAGACCTTGCAAACTAGAGAACTGTGTTTCTCTTCATCAAGGGTCTTTTATAAGCAACATCGATAAAATTTTCTTGTATGATTGTCAATAATGTTCTCAAATAGTTGTCTGTAAGGAAAGATGTTGTATCGATATAACTTGTACAAGGATGTATCTGAAAATTTTCTCTCATGGTCAGCCCTGTATAATAATATGTACCAGTAGTGATGTACAATGTATATCTGTTACTGATGAAATTTTTATGTTGGTTGATTAAATTGTGGATAATTAATATATTCTTCTATACATAGGAGAAAAGCTTTCTCTGTGACACAGCTATATGTCTTTATTTATGACATCTTCAGATTATTTTTACACAGCAATAACTTTGGTAACAAAGCAATGGTGCAACAAAACAGAAAATCTACACAATGGGTAGCATGTTGGCAGAATGTACTGCACCTATGATTTTTCACGGTTTTCAATAAATGTTTGGTCAACATTACATCTGTTTTGCCCTTTGTGGACAATGTTTTTTCCAACACAACATTTGAAAACGAGATGGTGTTCCGAAGTGCCATGAACAATACATTACAATTATCATATTTTGTGCAGGTGCATTATGTTCTGCCAGAGTGCTTCTACAGGTATAACTAACGAAATGAAGGAAATAATTCAGGGGTAATATCTTACTATATATGCATCTGTAGGCATTATCAGCACCAGACTTTAACAAACTTGAAGCTCAAGTTTAAACTTGATAAATAAATATTGCTTTATAGGGAAGGTGTCACCTTAGCTTCCTAACACTGCTACCAATTCGACAACATGAGCTGGGTATAAAAATTTGTCATCTTATAAATAGATCTAGTTTCTTTGGTAAAAATTTTTTTTGTACCAGACTACTCTTGTGCATGCATCTCATAACAGATTGAGTGTAACGTAACAAAACTAGGCCCAAAGGTGAACATAATCCAGTACGAGTATAACATCTATCAGTCAGCATACATATAGTATATAATCCAGATTTAAGTATTGCTCTAACAGGGGTTACAGGAAGCCCAGTGCCTCGGCTGGCCGTCTGTCTGCTCCAGCCTTCTCCAGGATGTTGACCACCATGTGCTGACCAAACTGGGCAGCCGCACAGATGGGCGTGGCACCACCCTGGGTTTGAGAGAGACATTCATGTTTATTATTTCTGAAAATAATTTCCTCAGTTTTTTTTTTTGTTGCTAGTTATTTCATCAGGTTGATAGAATTGGGATTTTCTTACACACGTCACAACCACTGATTCTTCCTACCTTAACACATTTGCTAAGTCTCAATTTACCATTTGGTAGCATGTTGGCATAACCCTTAAACGTACATGTACTGCACCTATGCAAAATCTGGATTACATTTTTGTATGATGTTTGGTCAACGTTGCATCAGAATTTCGCCGGTTCAGACCATATCTTTTTAAACACATTGTCAACATTTAAAAGCTTATAGAGTGTCATCCTTAAATTTGCAGAAGTGCTGTTTGTGCACATCAATAAATTACAATTTTACATTGGTGGACCTGTACATTCTGCTGACATACTCCATGTAGTACTAAGTAACTAGCATTAATTCTCACCTCTCTCTTTGATGCAGCGTTGATGTTTGCCCCCAGCTTGATGAGCAGCCGAACCATGTCAGAGTACCCAAACTTGGCAGCTGTGAACAGAGGGGTGATTCCTTCCTGCAGAGAGAAAACCAAACAGACAGTAATTACTCGGAAGATCTTTTTAGAATACCATAATTTTTTCCCTAAAAAGGGGCTTGATATTCTAACAGGCATTAAAGGCTGCAGTGAGCTGGAAAGAGAAATTAAATATATATGATATGCCAGGGAGTTAATCTGCTAAAACTAAAAGGAGTACAGTTTGTGGCAATGAATGAAGAATGGCAACTGTTTATTCTTTTTTTCCTTATTTATGCACATTATCTTCATTGTATACGTACTTAGTCTTGAAATCAAATATATAATAGGTTAACTCACTATCCGGTTTATCGTCAGTTTACCAGATTTACTAGACTAAGTACATAAATTATTTACCTTCCACCTTTGGTTGACATTGACCCCAGCATCCACTAAGGTCATGACCATCTCCATGTTGTTCTTGATCACAGCTATGTGAAGGGGAGGGGCGACATCCTGTAAGCAGAGTACACTGTTAGTCAGAAATACCATGGTGACCCTAATCAATCTAAGGCTACAATGCACAAGCGTTTAATCAAATCTGGCCTATCCAATAAACTTGCTTTAAAAAAATTAGAGGTACATGTAATTTTTTTCTGCACAAATTTAACTTGTAAGTTCTCACTAGGCTGTTTGAGCGTATGGACTCCTGAAATTCAAAATTGTTTGAGTAACAAAGCAGCCCAGTGTGTTAATTGACTTATCATTGCTGATGACCTACCGTAACATTTGGGGCTATCATAAGATGCCTCCCTATACCTGTTTTTTTTTTTTTAATTTAATTTTTTTGCCTTTTTCTGAAAAAAAATCAAGAACCAACACTAAATTGGTGTGGCCTAATTTTTGCTGGTGACAGGAAATATACAGAATTCAACCAGCCGCTAATAAAAGTCTCACCCCATCTCTCGGAGTCTCTGAGTCTGCTCCTGCTTCTATCAAAGCCAGCGCAGCTTCATTCTTACCGTACTGGGCAGCAGCACACAGGGGGGTGGCTCCGTCCTGGAACAGAAGCACAACAAGGATGTCAGCAGAACATACGTACTGTGCCTGCCAGAACCTCATTACGTATTGTGCATAGCAATAATCGGTAGAACATTTCGTTTAAGTTCATACGATCAACAACTGGAAAAGTTCTAAATGCAACGTTGACATCTGACAAAAACCATGAAAGCAGGTACAGTAAGTTCTCCTGGCATTCTACCCATATTGTATAGACTGGCTCGATCTTGAAACAGAAACATTACCTAATATGACCTGCAGAAAAGTCACTGAGTGTGCAGAATGTTGCTGTGAAAACAGGACTTCTTTGAAGAAGAAATGTTACTCAATCATTTTTCAGTCTATCAAACAGTATCTAGCACAAAAAATAAGTTCAAAGTAACATTGTTTTACAGGCTAGTGTAAAGTATTAAGTCATGATGATTTTACCTTTTTTGCCAGGTTGATGTCTGCACCCCCGCTACTGATCAGCACGTTGATGGCCTTCAGATTTCCGCACTGGGCAGCAATGTACAGGGGGGTGGACCCAGTATCCTAGGGGTTCAAGGAAAATTCAAATTATGATTATCATAGTACACTATATCCATGAAAAATGGAGATATTCTTTTTGGAATGTCTGTGTGTGTGTGTGTGTGTGTGTGTGTGTGTGTGTGTGTGTGTGTGTGTGCTGTGTCGGTGTGTGTGTGTGTGTGTGTGTGTGTGTGTGTGTGTGTGTGTGTGTGTGTGTGTGTGTGTGTGCATGCGTGCGTGTGTGTCTGACTGTTTCCACATGGAACGTGGTCTGAGAAAAATAGAGATATTTGCGGAAGTATACGTTCACAGTGACAGCTGGTGCAGAAAAAGACAATCATCAAATTGTTGAAATGATAAGTTTGCGGTACAAATTCTGAATTACCGCAAAAACCGTGAACATAAAAGTACCACAAAAAATTGTGAATTACAGTATAATTTGTACATACTGGGTCCTGTTGGTTAACATCCTCTCCCATGGCTAACAACATGGACACTTTCATTTCATCATCGTCAAATGCAGCATCCCACAATCGCTGGCAGAAAAGAAGAAAAAGACTGTCAATATTCCAACAACCCAATTAAACTGTATAGTTAAAGGTAGCCAGGGGTTTCAGAACATAGGGACAATGTATTGGACAATGGCCTGGGGGATTCTAATTATTAGGACACGACAAGTCTCTTGTTGTGTCAGCAAATGAAACTACTACTACTGTAACAGTTCTTAGGTGACAGAGAAAATATGGCAGCTACAAAATCCTAAAATAACATAGTATTACAGACATCATTTACATGAGAAAAAAAACTGTTATGCAACCGTAGCAGACTGCTTCATAGTCATAATCCATACAAAAATGCTGACCAGATAGTTACATTTTAATGAAATAATGTATAATTATGACTGTAACTTACTAGGAATGGTTCGTCTGTCTTCTCTCCCATCTGTGATAAATTACACTCGGAAAGCTCAATCTATAGACCTGTAAAAAAGACAAGAAAACTTAGTGAAAACAATCATAACTAATAGTGAAAACAAATTATGCCATCTCTGAGTCAATACTTTATAGACTTTTCAGAAAATGTGCTCAGGAACAAGTACATGGGTGCTGTACACACACACGGTGCTCAATTCTTTCAAGGACCAGGAATATGTACCAAAACAATCCAAATCCAGTCTATGGACTGCCACATGGATCAGTTTTAATGGGGAGAAAACACACTGGTTGGTTCTGGCACACCTGCATGATTCAACATTCCTGCAAGGTTGAGTGAACAATCACAAAAACTACACCCCATACACGTAATATCTAGCTTGGGGCAAGAGGCTTGGGTGTATTCAGGCAAATGAAGTTGAGCTGGTAAAAATCCCATACTCTTTATGTACAAAAAGTATAGAAAGAACACTATAAAACTCTTAGACACCAATACTATTAGTTAAAAACACTCACCTGTGTGGATAAATACTGGTAAGAGTCTTGTAAGTTTCTTTGGTTGCACAGATCTTTAACAGCCTTGGGCAGAGATTCACTGTTAAAACCGGTTCTACAACACTGGGTCACCACAAGGTTTCATCATAACAAGTGTGGGTGTGAAGTATACAATCATACAGTGCACAAATGTCACTAAGCTTTACACGTCACAAATGGTTACTGACAAAATGATTACACCCTTCTTCAGATTGAACAAAATTTCAGTTAAAAAAACGAGATAAAAGAAGCCCAGAAAACCTATAGAAAAGCTGTTTATTCACAATATCTGTACAGTAATTATCAATCAGTTTGAAATTCATTCTGTTTGCAAAATACACAGTCACATATTAGACTTAAATACCCTACAGTATCAGAAAAGATAGAAAATATCTCTAATATTTGTGTAGCCTGCTATAGATCAGTTACTGTTGTTAAAATTCATTCAGGTGTCTACATAATATTTACTGGCATGCCAATGTACAATGAATGTATAATACAAAGTCATGCACAAGTGTTGATATCACTCTGTATCTTAGAAAAATATGAATAACATTTGAACATGTCAGAACATTTCATTTCCATTATAAGATGAATTTTGTGCAACAGTAGTAAAATTCTTCAATGTGTTTAAAACTGCAAAAGACTGGTCCTGTTTTAAATAACATTTCTAAAATGCTGAGTAACACTTCCCTAGATGATCTACATTGATCATGAACACATTTGAAAACTTCAACAGTTATAAGCATCTACATCTTAACAGGCCAGTAGCTCTGACTTCTTTGGTTCAAAGATATTGCTGCAATTCGAATTAAGCAACATTGGGAGCAAAATTTGTCAACTTGGTCTATTCTACTGTACATCTGATTCAGTATTTACTAGACACTTTGCTCAATGTTGGTCCCACTTTGCTCCTCAGCTATGTTTAGACTTAAAAATCAGTCCTACGACCATATGTCACTTAGCATTTATAAATTGTGAAAAAGAGTTTCCTCAGACTGATTACAACTCATTCACAAGGATGCGATTTACATCTATTCAGAGCCCATCAACCCTCTCTGAACCGGGATGGTGACAGATTCCATCTTCCCGCCACTTTTGATGCACTCCTGACGTCATCACGCTCTCGACTTCCGGAAAGTCAATGATTGCATCACACATCTGACAAAGGTTGACGGGATCAACCGAAAATTTATGGTGAGTTCTTTCTTTGTGTTGGAACAAGCTTAAACTCTATAACTATCAACTCATTCACATGTCCAGTGTCTCCAGTTTGCCCCATGTTGGTCCCACCTTGACCTTCACAGGAAGGACAACAGACAGCTTCATGGCATTCTCCATCTCATGTTTCACAAGCTGTGCCACCTGCTGTACATCCTCCCTCCGGACTTCATAGATCAGCTCATCGTGAAGCTGCAGGATCAGGTAGGCTCCCCTGGGGGTTGACGATGGCTGATGGGACTGCCTCCGGCTTCTCCTCTTTTGAGTATCTAAAAACAAAATCATTAAATTTAAATCATTTATTGTTGATGACATTTAACATTCTTAGAAGATTGATGATCATTCTACATGAGTTTTGTACATTCAGACAAAAGGAAATATTAATGACTTCAAATCAGCTAAAAAAATAAGTACAAAAAAAATTAAACTGAATCGACAGAGTGAAGAAAAATAGCCCTAGGCATTCTATGATAGCACCAAATACCATGAAGGAGCTATGAGGTTTGAAATTTGAACAAGGAATTTTACATTACAAACCACTGCATATCACAGATTTAAAAAGTACAGTAAAAACAAGATAGACAAGTCTTGTTTTTGGTTGCTTGGTGCCTGAGGTTTCTTTTTTTCGGAAATGAGAAGCAAAAGGGAAGAGGGGGTATCTGGTGTGGCCTAGTGTAATGTTCAGAGGCAAGAACACAACAATTTTGAATGTGAACCCACCAGCAGCAGTGCTGTCAGCATGCCTGTGGCTCCCCCTGGTGGCCGGAAACAGCTTCTGCAGTTTCTGGTCAATCGACACCATGGCCTTCTTCACCAGGTCAGCAGCAGAACCTGAGGAAACATTTATGAGGGAAAACGTTCATTTGACTGACAGCAACTACCGTGATAAAGTGCGCAGCTAAGTGGTTAGCGACCCTGCCTCTGGACCAAGATGTTGAAAGTCTGAATCCCAGCTGTTGTCTCTCACCCCACATGCACACTACCGTACAGTAAAGGGTTGCAGTCCCACAAATGTGACGTTAAGCCATGGTTCACTGTTGATTGTGCTTGTCGAAAAGAGCAAGGGGAATTTCCCTAGTACATTTAATAAACCTGTAAATACTAGAACTGTACATAGCATCTGTCTTCTCTGTTACGATCAGTGGGAGATTAGCTCTTCAGTGAGCTTAAACTGAATCAAGATCACTTTCCTTTCATTTACAAAGAGTGGTAGGAGAATCTATGGTCTAAGCTTTTGAGGAAAGGTACACCAGAGCACCTATTCCCAAACATTTTGAGCCCTCTAAAAAGTGTATGGCCTGGTCACCTTGAACTGTAGTGTTGACAGCCTGCCTCTCAGCATGACAGCGGACGTGGTGGTTCCCCTCGGTGATACCTGGCAGGTATCGTCTGCGTCCTGCCATTGTCTGGACATAACCCGCCTTCTTACACTGTTCCACTGTCGTGTGTAGGTACCGACGCATCCCTATAAAACATGGGAATAGGCATACTATACATTGTGTTTTAATTATGATAGTTTGGGGTGAACTGGATAGATCAGATCGTCTGCGTCCTGTCATTGTCTGGACATACATTGTAACCTGCCTTCTTACATTGTTCCACTGTCGTGTGTAGGTACCGACGCATACCTGACATGGGAACATACATGTACACTGTCAGGCAAACTTAATAGATCAGAGAAAACACAGTCTTCTAGCTGTTGCTTTTGTTTTGCACATAACGAGTAGTTACTGTACAACAATATCAAGCAAAATCAGTGGGGCTGTGTGCCGTAACTGCAGAGCATTTGACTAAGAACCAAGAGGTCTAGGGTTCGAATCCTGCCAAGCATCCAACCTCAGGTAAAAATGGGTATGCCAGAAGGATCATTATCATGATCGTGGGTATTAAAGGAAAACCAAACCAACCAACCAGCCAGACGAAATCTAAAAAAAAAATCTAAAAAGTCTGAGAATAAAATCCCTACTAGAAACAAAGCATTAATTTTCCTAGGCCTAACACATCTTATCCTAGAGTGTGTGTGTGTACATTTGTTTAGTGCTGCCCCACCTGTGTACTTGGACTTGAAGGTCTCGATGAAGCAGGCTCCCTCCTCCTCGTCCACTCCCAGCTGTTCTCCCAAGGCTTTGGCTCCGATTCCGTAGATCATACCGTAACACAGCTGCAGGAAAACAAACCAGGGCATGTAGCCAGTTCAATGTACATAATAAACATTTGCCAGGCACCTGAGCAAAAGTCAAAAGATGCAAGCTACAGTGGTATGACAGCCTGGCAAAGACAATCCTGTGGGGCACTCTGGAAGGACAAAACTGTCGGGGACAACAGAGAAAGTCCTGATAGGACAACATCACAGAATGGACCCTGCTAAACCTATCCAGAAGGCTGACCACTGCAAGAGACAGGCAGGTCTGGAGACAGCTGTCCATTTTCACTTCTACCTAGTCCCCCCAATGACCAGGAGGTCAAGGTACCGTCAGCTGTGCACGTTTCTCACCTGCTTTGCCTGTTGTCTGAGTTTATCGCTGACCTCCTCCACATCCAGACCCTTCCACTGACCAGCGATGGCCCTGAACACGTCCTGGCCACTGTTATATATATGAATGGTTTATATGACATTTCATACGCATATATCACACTTGCAGTCCTGAATTATAGTGATAATACATATTATCATTATAAACTTATACAAATTAAAGATAACTAAAGGTTAAAAGATATAACTACACAATAAATTAAGAACATTAATGCACTCAAACATACCACATCTACAATTCACAGTCAAAGTACTAGTATGCAAGATATTAAATATAAACTGGTACAATGTATTAGTGAAGAGCTGCACCTGTTCAGCACCCGGGTCAGCTTGGCATCCTGGGATAGGTGTGCGATGATCCTCAGCTCAAGCTGGGAGTAGTCAGCAGCAAGCAACACGCCACCTGGTCAGGAAGACACAGAGAGAAGAAAAAATAACATTTAATTATTTTAATAACCTTCATATGGTCTAGCCTGACAAACTGGTTCAGTAAAAAGCAGAGAGAAGAAAAAATTGAATTATAATATTAGCAGAATATCCTCAGAGTCTCCAGAGTTTCAATGTCAATCATACCATGGTTCAAAATGTTTCCATCATCGTTTCATACTTTAAGCGTTTGAAATATCCCTAAAACAAGCTGTCACTTTTTGTGCCACCAATTAATAACTTAGCTTAAGAACCAGCCTGCAATATAAAACAAGCAATCATTTTCCATCAGTGACATTCAAAATAATGCATTTTTGTCTCAAAGAATGCAGCATGGTATCATTCAACTTACTACAGAAAATATCACCAGAAGATTGAATTTGAAAATCTAGTTTTGCCATCCTAAAATTTCTATGGGTGGGTTAATTTTCCAAGGCATTTTACCCCTCTCCACTCGTACCTTCAAAGGGGATGAAGGCATGTCTCATGCTGACTGAGAAGGCGTCTCCAGCTCCATCTGACTCCACTTTCCTCCCGTCCGCTCTCCCCACGACGTTCCTCCCTCTCCTCCTTCCGACAGTCTCCCCACAGCCGGCCGGTGGACTGTCCCCGATCATGGTCGGCATCTCAATCTCAAAATCCTGGGACAGATTGAATAGATGAATTTTTATCATTCAACAGGCAGACATTAATTTGGTTTACAGTAAGTCTGAATTTTGTTGAATTTACAATCAACAGTTTCCCCACAGCCTGCCGGCGGACTGTCCCTGATCACGGTGGGCATCTCAATCTCAAAATCCTAGGAGAGAGGACGGACAAGTTACTGTAGATTGAAAGTTTTAGAATGATCCATACTTCCTAAATTCTGAGTGTTGCAGGTAAAATTTACCTCAGTTCAGTTCATTCTTACTTATGAGGTGCCACTCTGGATGCCCCTCCAGGCATTTCTGTCCAGCATGGCAGTCATCACGTAGCCGTGCTGCATACCAACCTCCTCTTTCAGTACAGTCAAGTTTGGGCGACACCTTTTTCTTTTTTCGTCAGAGGAGATTGGCAGCCATCTCTTCATGGCAAACAACATGGCCAGCCAGAGCCAGCCTTCTGTTCTGGATGGGCTGTGATTTGTGGTAGACCATTGTAGAGTTTTTTGTTGTCTGGTGCAGGTAGTACCCACAACAGCGTACAATGTACATGACTATAACATTTACTGTATTATGATGATCATACTACAGTAACTGTATTATTAGCACCAATATTCCTGGTCTGCAAACGACAGTACCTTAGGAATGTTCTGCAGGTTTGGGTCGTGGAAGGTGACCCTGCCGGTCGCTGTGTGAAGGTCACAGACTCCATAGATCCTGTCCATCTTCAGCCACGGGTTGTACACCTACACAACAATACTCACTGTCAGGTTTTACACCTACACAACAATACTCACTGTCAGGTTTTACACCTACAGAACAATACTCACTGTCAGGTTTTACACCTACACAACAATACTCACTGTCAGGTTTTACACCTACACAACAATACTCACTGTCAGATTGTACACTAGCCTCTACCAGGCTTCTGGAGGCGGCTGGAAAGAGTCGAATTTGGCCAAATAGAGAGATAACATGCCAGGGGAGTTGGTCCACTAGAAAGTACAGTTTGCCGCACCCTGGACCAATTCCCTGGGAATGTTATCTCTATAATTTAATTTTGGCCAATATCTGCTAATTCCAACCGCCTCCCTAAGTCTGATAGAGACTAGTTGTGTATATACATATATAGGTGCAACAATACACAGTTTCTAGAGCTATGTACAGCTAATTACATAGCTGTACAATTGTGAGATGTAAAGCATGCCTTCTGAACGTGCAGAAGAGTTTAACAAATGCCAAGCGGTTGAAAGATGAAAAAGGCAGAATATCTCACTTTCTCCTTTTGTAGAGGAAACACCGCTTGAGTGAGAGTATTGGAGATGTGCCTGCATTCAAGAATCACCAGAAAATTGACAGACAACTGACAGTGTAAAGTAGTTTTACAAATACCCAGAGGCTGAAAGACAAAGACAAAAAAAATATCTCACTTTCTCCTTCTGCAGAGGAAACACCACTTTAGTGAGAGCGTTGGAGATGCGTCTCCACTCCAGAATGACCCCCGGGAGAGAGTGGAACTTCCTCAGTTTCTCCAGAACGTCCTTAGACGTGCTGAGATGTTTCAGTGGTCTGCGGCCACGGGACGGGCGGGCCGTACCAAGCGTCTTTCTTGGCTGGGGGTGGGTTGTGGAGGAAGGGTCCCCGTTGGCTGGCAGCTTCAGTTCTAAGAACAGAACCTGGGAAGAAAAGAAAAACAGCGTTTGGAATTAAGATTTCAAGTCTAAGGTATCGAAAAAAGTGTAAAGGCTACACAAATATGACTGAATTTTGGCAACTCGTACACGCTTGACATACATCAAAGCAGGCCAATTTACACACAGGAAGATTAAATCTAAGCAGTCTTTGTTTTATTATACTCACGTACGCAGTTTTTGTACATCAGGTTTTGGCCTGTGCATGTATAAAACTGATCGTAGTCAGTGTAAAAATCTGACATATCAGTGTAAAGATGAACCAGTTACATAGCCTGGGTGCCATCCTCCGTGGTAGCCAGTAACATTAGGTAGCTGGCAGAAACTAAGGAGGATGGCACCCAGGCTACCAGTAATACGTACCTGTGCAATGTCATCAGGACTGGTCAGAGCGAACGTGTGCCCAGCCAGTTGGTAAGCCTGTTCCTCCAGCAGCCTGAGTTTAGCCTGCATGATCTCACACTGGGTCTCACACTCCTCACGACTGAACCCAGCTCCGTTCAGTTCCATACGGGCCAGGGTAACCAGGGACGGCATCTCTACATCTCTGTAGGATACACAAAGAAAGGTCCCATTTCTCCATTTCTGTAGCCCTTGGGCCACACAGTTGCACTACAGCAGGGGACTAGGCTGCTGAACTCACGCCCTGCCGGTTACAAAGCGAGCACTCTACCCGATTGAACTATTGCATCGGTTACATTGTAGGATACAAGATTAGTGCATATTGTCTGAACAGTGACACTGCCAGAGTTAACAGTGCCAGAGCTGCCCTTCAGTGAAATTACACCACAATATAGCAGCAACAGCAAGCAATTTGTCACAGTCAGACCAGGGCTCTAGCTACCGGTAGCTGGACATTTTTTTCAAGCCTTTAAAAATGCAATTTTCCACATTTTAAGAGGCAAATCATGGACTTGACGATGGTTGTTGGTGGTCTTGGATGTTTACCCAAGATTTTTGTCAATTTTGTCCATCAAAGGTTGACGAATTGGTTTAGAATTTTTTCGGTCACATGCCACAAAGTTCATGCAATTGACAGAAAAATTAGTGCCGGCAATTGCAAGAGCCCTGAGTCCAAGCCTTATGTGTATACGTACAACTCAAAGACTCAGTGTCTTTCACAACAGTACTTGACATTTTTTTATGATTCTTACTATCCTCCAGTCCTGACCTGAAAGCTGCTGTGAGCCCGTGTGTTTCCAGCAGCCTGTCCAGTTCCTCCATCAGGTGGAAGGTGAGAACACACTCCAGCGCCGCTCTCATGCGCCCAGACCCTGGGTTCTGTACTGTCATAGCCAGGCTTCCTACACCAAAACACCCGCCTAGTCCTGGAACAGTAAACACACAACAGTTACTACAATGTATCCTGTATAATACCGGTACCATCTGCCCCGACCCTGGGTTCTGTACTGTCATGGCCAGGTTTCCTACACCAAAACACTCGCCTAGTCCTGGAACAGCAAATATAGTCACAAAATACACATTCAACCATCCTGTATAATCAAAGGAGTAAGGAATATAGATTCCGAAGTCAACCCCAGTGAGGAACCGAGACTGGGGGGATAAAAACTTTGCCATGTTTGAGGGTGTGTTCTCACCACTAAAGCAGCACCTACATTGGCTACATATAGTGGTGAGAAGCAGTACTCCAGTAAGAAGTTCTGAGGAAGGCCATTCGATGCTACTACTGAGTACTATAGCCAAAATAACAAAAGGCAGAAGTTGATTCCAATAGCACTAAATAAAGGCTTCCAATAGCACAATAAATACTGAGTCAGACCTTGTAGCAAGTACGACTCCTGAGGGGTGAACCTCTGCACTGTTCCATGGAAGCTCTTGACCTTTGCCCCCGGATCCAACAGCCAATCAGCTACCTTGGGGTCCCTGAAGTCTCCGTGCATGGTGATGCCACATCCCACAGCTAGGGCCTTGTACTGGGGCTTCAGGTCAAAGGCAATCTGGGAGGGATAGAGTCACTGTTAGTGTTAGGTGGGTAGAACAGACATACCGGTATTGGGATTTTCTTATAGTGAAGTTATATTGATACTAGGATTTTACGTAACAGTAAACTAGTCCTGTCCATGGTGCTGATTTTAAGGCTGCAATTCAGGTTGGAGGTACAGTGAACCATCATGTTTGCAAAAGGATGAAAGGTTTGGTTGGATCCAGTTGTAGGTTCTCTTACTGTACTACACTCCTTCCAAATCTAATTATTATAAACATCTCTCCAGTACTTCTTGCAACAGAAGCCATGTGACAAGCCTCACTGGCTCAGTCTACTGAGGAAGACCAAAGTGGCTGGTCAAAACCTCTAGGTGAGAGAACTTCTTTGTGTTGTTGGATCAAAAGTTTTAACCTTAAACATCTCTCCAGTACTATACCTTAGTAATCTTAGTACGACCCCTTGTTTTGGCTCCTCTCTCCAACACCGACTTGATGCTGTGAAGGCGATCTTCCACCGAGAGACGGTCATCCAGAGGTGGGGGGATCATCTCATCAGTTGTATCTTCCTCTGTAACACAAGAAAGTACTTCTTAAATACATGTACCATTTACAGACCATTTGAGTCCACATGAGGCTTTAATTAACAATCATCTACACTACGTCAGCAAAAGCCGTGCAAAATTCGTGAATTCTCGTTTAGCTCACATTCATTTAGAAATCTAAGATACGTGATGTATCAAAAATTAGACAGTGGCCTTACATAGGATCCACAAAACTCCTTTGCAGGCTGAATAAATAGTAGAAATTGGCCTAAAAATTAAATTAAACTGGCCAGCGAGTTACCTGGACATAGAGAGTTCAATTTGATGGCCTGCAAACTGGACCTTATATGACCAGGCAACTCCCTTTACAGGTCGATCTCTACTATCATACTGTCTATTTGGCCTGCAAAGGAGTCAGTTGGAGACTAGGCCTTACCATGCCCTGCATGTTTCTGTAGAGAGATGTAGTAGGCGTCCTTCTCTCCCCAGCACACACCAACACCAACTATCACAACTCCCTCCAACTCCAGAGGGATACCGTCAACTTCTGGTGCAGGCTGCCTGCTGTTCACACTGGTACCTGTCATGATTGATAGACAGTTGCATTGGTGATGTTATCACAGGAGTCATATGGATATTACATTGTGTTAAAAATATCACAGAAGTAAAAGGAAGAAAGCCCTAAGTGCTCAATTTTGTTCAGTAGGCATGGTACAGACAGCAGGGAAGAACATAGTGCATCAAAATTAGAAATTGTTACTACCTGGCAGCTTGTTAACATTATGGTGCTGCAGCAGAGAACTTTTGGTTTTGATCAGAACATGCTGCTATCATGAATTTTGGGTGGTAGGTATCTCTTGCACTCAAAAAGAAGTAACATGAGTTTCGGCCACCTAGCAGCTTATACTTGATCTGCAGAGGTGATTGCTTAAAAATGTCAAAATGAGGATAACTCTAGGTCACTTACCCTTGTTAAACTTGGCCCCAATCCCACCTCCAGGTTGGGCAGCTTGTGTAGGTAATGCTTCACAAGCCACAGCGATGGCGTAGTGTGTCTTTGTCTTCCACTCCGCCACAAATGTCTCAAACAGGTCTCGGTTCGCCGCCACATCAATGACACAGAACGACCCCGAGGAGGGCATGCTGGGAGGCAGGAAGTCTGGGTCTGGGGTACTACATGGACTGCTGGGACGGAAGGAGCCATCACTTTCCGTGGTGAGAAGGTTGTCTACTTCCTTAGCCTGTTCTTTACATGTATGTCTGTCTGGTGTACCGGCTTTATCCATGTAAGAACTACCTTGCCTGTAGCCTGTCTTTTGCCTCTTGCGCAAAACAGGACTGTTTTTGCTTGTTGGAGATAGACTTGTTTTTGACTGTTGACATGAAGTAGCAGGAGTCCTGGCCCTTAGGCTGTACCTGTTGGGAGTGTACATCTTGTAGGATCTTGGTGTGTTGGTCTTACCTTCCTTAGGTGGTGTAGGTGGGACACACTCATTTACACTGTTCGGTCGTTCTCCAACCTCCTTCTCTGGCGTCGTTTCAACTTCAAGTGCTCTCGATTCACTTCTCTTCTCTTGCTGATGCTCTCCACATGGCTTTCCTACCTGCCTGGAACGTTTAGGAGGTGTAACTTTCCTACCGTCATCATCACTGCTGTCACACATCTCATTGCTTCTCCTTTTCCTTCTCTGTTGTTTGTGGTCTTTCTCTGCAGCCTTTCTTTCTGGCACTGCCTCCTTTTTACTCTTCCCGCGATGTTGATTGTACTTCCCGTTTTTAGTCAAGGAAATCAAGTCGTTCAAAAAAGACGCTGTTCCAGGGCTGAGGTTACATGGATTCTCTTCACCTATGCTCTCGTTGTTTGGGTCTTTGCCTTCCAACAGTCTAGTGTATTGTACAGGCTCTGTTTTGCCATACCTTTTTGCATGCTGCATCCTTGTATCTAGACTGGAAGTTTCTCTATCACAGCTGCTAACTTTGCCTAAATCTGGAACAGATCTGACTGCCTTTTCTTTGTCAAAGTTTGCAGCCGGCCCATCTGAGAGATTAACAGCTTGCTGCGTCTTCTCTCTGCTGCAGTTTTCCACAGGCTCTCCAAAAGACTCACTCAAACACAGGGCTAAGTCTAAGTCTTCACCAAAAGAGATGTCATCCGTTTCCTTTTGGGTTTCTCTTCTTCTACCTGCATCTTGCACCATCCCTTGAGCATTGCCTGATCTGTTGTCCTCTAAGCTATGGCTATGGTCTATTGCTGTTAGAGACCTCGTAATCGTATGGAAAGCAGAAAGACTTTCTCCAGATGTCTGTGAGGCATTACTGTGTTTTCTCAAGTTTTCTTTCGGAGACACAGAACCAAAAGACGCGCTCATTTCCAAAGCCAAGGCCAGGTCTTCCTCAAGGAACTTGTAGTCAGATTGACCCTGAACTTGAACTTCTTCTTTTGCTTCTTGGTTTGGACCAGCAGTCTTCATAACTAAAGAGCTGCCCAGCTCTTCCAATTTCTGCTTACTTGATGAGTTGCTTTGCTGTCCCCAAAATTTTGTCTTATGGCCTAAACCTTTAGAAGTTGCACCAAGAAGATTTTCCACATTTCTCTTTTCTTTTGACTTGTCTGGTGACTGCAACGATTGCGCAATTCTACCATCAAATACATCCGCCTGACTAGCAAAACCTACTCTGTCAAAATCGCTAGCAGGAATGAATTCACCAGAATCGTTAAACAGTTCACAGTCCTGGCTTAAACACGTTTTTGAAGAGATGCTGTTTTCAGCAGATGGCTCAGATTCAAACAGTTCTTGAGACTGGTACTGGTAATGTTCTTTGTTGCCCCGAGGAGAACTTATCAAATCATTATGAGGACCTCCCTTTGAAGAATTCGTGATAAGATTATCCTCTGTTTGAAGTGACCTTTTGACCTTGAGAAGCGGAGAGGCTGTGTGCGCGACCGCGTCCTGCTGAGTGACAAAGTCGCACATGAACTTGTCCAACTGAGAGTCCGCTGAACCAAAACTCAGGGCTGAAGACGGTTGCAGTGGTGTGGCATGACGTTCAATCACCGGTGTTCCGTGGTAGTTGCAAAGAGGAGAGTAACTAGGACTGCCGGAGATGTCATTTTCTCCCTTAGCATCTTTTTCCTCCATCTCTTTGCTTGCAGTGTCACTAGAATGTTGTGTGCTTCTCCCATGTTGTGGAATGACTGACCCACTGCCGCGCAGATCTTCTTTTGAAGACAGGTTTGCCACAAGTAGCTCAGTCTGGGTGTCGAGAGTAAAGGTGTCGTCAAACCCATCCGGGATGGAGTACAGCTCCGGGGTGCTTTCCTTTGGAGGTTTGGCTGCACAATGTGCTTTTGGTGGGGTGTTCTTGCTATTAACCAAACCCTGCAAATGTCTGGAAGGAGGAGCATTTGGACACAACGTTGCTGGCTTGCTTCTGGAGGGAAGCCTGGATGGAGTATTTACCTCTGATGCTTCACTTTTCTTTTGCGACAACACATCCGTCCTGTGAACGATGACTTGTGCCTCCACGATTCTCCCATGTTTTGCTGCTATCTGCATACTGGTAGTAGGTTTTTCTGTATGGTAAACTGTGCCATTATGATTCACCACAGCTACAGAGACCTGCTCTTTATCATGTGTGGACTTGCTTTCCTCTTTTGGGCTAGCAATGAAACCAACTTCTCCATACATATCCTCACTGTGAGCCCAGCCTTCTTCTTCTTCGTCAACTTTTGGAGGATCGTTGCCTTGAAACGTCTGCCCCATGACAGTACCAGAGGAGTCCACTTGGATTGATTCAGTACCATTTGTTTGAATCCTAGCTTTATTTTCTGCAAATTTAGCTGAAGACCTTTTCCAAACTGCACTATCTCGTACATCTGTCATGTTCTCAACTTCAACAGATGTATTTTCCAGTACATTTTGTGTTTTGCGCAGGCTATTTCTCCCAGTCTGTCTTTCTGATAGTGTTAGAGTATCACGTCTTCTGTCCTCAAAGGAGCTTGAATGTTCTGAGTGTCCCTGTGCTTTGCCAACTTGTTTATCTACTGTCACCTGCTTGGTTTCTGTGACAGGAACAAGGCTTCCATCCTCCTGAGACTTTATGAGGTTAACAGAAACCTTGTCTACAACTCCATCACCTTTCCGAAAAACATGCTCATCTCCAGGCTTCACAGACTGAAAAGTTGGTTGTCCACACTCTCCTGTAGGTTGCTTGTCAGCTGTAACCTTTGTTGAAGCAGAATCTGTCATGCATGGACGAAGGCGTAACTGCTGAGGGGTCACACCTGAGTTTCTTTCTGAGCTGTCCTTGCCATCTTTCTCTGAAGTGACAGAAGGATGTGGTCCCACATCTGTGTTCCTATGTAAGCTGTTCTCCTCCTCCTTTGAAGTGACAGGGGGAAGAGGGTTTACACCTGAGTTTCTTCGTAAGCTGTCCTTATCCTTTGAAGTGACAGTGGAATGTGATCTCACGTCTGAGTTTCTTCCTGAGCTGCCCTTGTCTTTCTCTGAAGTGACAGCTGGATGCAGTCTAACACCTGAGTTTCTTTCTGAGCTGCCCTTGTCTTTCCCTGAAGTGACTGGGGGAAGAGGTCTCAAATCTGAGTTTCTTCGAAAGCTCTCCTTGTCTTTCTCTGAAGTGGCAGGGGGTTGTGGTCCCACATCTGAATTTCTTTGTAAGTTATTCTTGTCTTCCTCTGAAGGATGCGGTTTCACACCTGAGTTTCTTCGTAAGCTGTCCTTGTCCTCCTCGGAGGAAACAGGAGGCTGCCAGTCTATCCCCATCAGTGCTGCATCTTGCTGCACCAGCTCTTTGGCCTCCTGGATGATTTGCCTGGCCGCTTCGGCCTCGGTCAGCCCTGCTTTCCCCGTCACCCAGAAACACCTGGACGTTTCTCTCTCCTTAGCTTCATACTCTGTCTCATCGTCAGCCTTACGTCCACTGGAAAAAGCAGAGATGGGTTACAGCAACAATGTTAGAAGGCTCAAATCATTGTGCCCTGTACCTACGAAAGACTGTGAGGTGAGAAAGTTAAATTATTATTACAGACTAGGACATCTTGCACCAAATATTGTGCAGGGAACACCCGTGTAGGAAACCACGTCTGGGCTGTTTTCCCACCAATAAGTTGTGCAATATCATATTAAAGTAGAATTTTTAATATTAGTGGAACCTTGCGCTCTTGATCACTGTTGATCTATTTAAGGGACCAAAAGGGACCTGGGTTTTCTAATCAATTCATGTTGTTTTTAGTGTTTGTTTGCCTTGACCTAATAATAATGTTTCACACACAAAAAGTAGCTTGTTCACCTCTTGAAAGGAGCAGCGTTTCTAAGCACTACTTCCACGTCCCGAACCTCCGCCGCGGCCAGCATGGCGACCGTGTGAAACCCGGCGTTGAACAGCGTCCGGGCGCGGAGACCGTTCAGGAGCGAGATGCGAACCAGTTCCACCAGCTCCCGCTGCACGCCAAACGTCAGGCGGGACTGGAACTGGGCCAGTAACAGCTCCAGGTTGTGCCAGCCCAGCCGGCTGCAGAATACTGTCACCATGCCTGTTATACAGGGAGGGACAAGTGTTAATGAAGGATATATAGTTAGCATGCACCTTACTGTAGGTAAAATTAGAGCTGTAATGTTACAGGTATATATGTCAGGCGGGACTGGAACTGGGCGAGTAACAGCTCCAGGTTGTGCCAGCCCAGCCAACTGCAGAATACTGTCACCATGCCTGTTATACAGGGAAGAACATACAGTTACAACGGCTCAAAATACATATTATGCACATTACTGTTACTGTGGGACTGGTAAAATTAGAGCTGTACAGGTACAAACGTCTGGCGTGACTGGAACTGGGCCAGTAACAGCTGCAGGTTGTGCCAGCCCAGCCTGCTGCAGAACACTGTCACCATGCCTGGCACATGGAAAAGGACATATAGTTACAGGGCTCAAAATACTGAGTGGATATGCACCTTAGTGCAGGTAAAATTGGAGTTGTGTAGGTATTACTGATGTCTACAATCATCAAAATTCATTCTGAAGTTATGATGACTACAAATATGCAGGAACACCAAAACGATACCTCCATTTTTCATGGAGATAACAATGTTTCCAGGTACATGTACCTGCGAATGTAGCTGCTGACTGCTGCAGGGACTGCAGAACTCCCTTGGTGCAGCTATACTTCTTCACAACCACAGGCAGGGGGACTTCCTGTTTGGGAGAAACAAAACAACGATCAATGTTTGATTCACAGCTGCATCATTTTACATACCTTGCATATAACATACATCTGTATCTGTATCTGTATAGCCGGTATAACCGCTCTTCAGCATAACACAGAGCTTTGCAGGCACGCGGCGCGGCGGCAGCTGGCTACATTACACCAATCGACTTGTCACACCTAACTTGAACATCTAACTCTAAACATTGTTTAAAGCTATGGTTAAAACATGACAAGTATACAAGACATGCAGTTTACAGAGCTTTTGACCAGTCACTCTGGTCTTCCTAAGTAGACTGACCCAGTGAGACTTGTCACGTGGCTTGTCTAAACTGTGACATTAACAATGGGTGTGACCAATCGAAAACTCTAGTTGAAAACAATTTCTCTTGTGTTGGAACTTGGAACAAAACTTTTCAATGTTACCTGCACCAGTGCAGGCATGTAGAAAAAAGTATTTTGAGACCTGATATCTCACCTGAGTGAGATCCTGCAGTACCAGTGCTGTGTAAAACCTCTTGTGTACTGCCAGTTGGCGCAGCTGCTTGGGTCTTTTTGACTGTTTTACCAGTAACTCTAAATTCTAACTACATGTACCAACACAGATGAACTAGTCTTTCATTATACATGTACTATCTCACCTGTGTAAGGTCCTGCAGCACCAGTGCTGTGTAAAACCTCTTGTGTACTGCAAGTTGGCGCAGCTGCTTGGGAGTTTTGACCGGCACCCTGCCATTGACAGCGCGGGCCAGGTAACCCTCCTCCACCCCGACCAGCTCAGCTACCCTCCGCATGTGTGTGGGCAGTTTCTCATACAGACACAGGTACTGGTACCAGTCCAGGTTGGGCCAGTCTGTGTAGATGGGTGTCACCTGGAGAACAAAGTGATTTTACGATTAATTTTAAGAGATAGGCAAGAAGGACTTAAAGTTAGAGTTTTTTGCTTAGGAAGACTAAATTTTGGCACACGTGTGTGGGCAGTTTCTCATACAGACACAGGTAGTGGTACCAGTCCAGGTTAGGCCAGTCTGTGTAGATGGGGGTCATCTGGACAAAAAAATTATAAAACTTTTAACCAGAGCTCCTACAAACACAGGCAAGATGGGCTTGCGTTTTTTGTTTAGGGACATAAAAATTTTAGCACATTTCCTATTGGAATAATTGTGTGGGGGTGTAACAAATGTTAACTTTATAAGGACAGATGGCGCCAGGCAGGAAGATTCAATTGGCACCGCTATTCTAGACCCTAGGCAGTTCGTGCGACCAGATGTTCACACTGTATAGTGTCATTCACATGCTTGGGTTCACATACCAGCAAAATAAAACTAATACATGACGAAGGTATGAGATCATTGAGCTCTTGTTCTATATTTAGTGAGTGCTACAAAGTGTCGTACTTGGAAGAGAATGTGCAGCTCATTCTCCAGTACAAAGCTCTTCATGGCCCTCTGCAGGTCAGCAAACACCACCAGAGCCTCATCAGGAGACAGGGCTGAGGACAGGGTGGCAGAACCCAGCTGGGTGGGCTGGTACTCCTGACTGGGACTGGGGGTGTCAGCTTCTGTACACAACAACATGAAAGACATGATTTTTAAATTATGAAACAAGTTTTGACCCTTTTTTTACTAGAGGACTCCAGTCATTGTCAAGGAATGAGCATTCGATCTACTGCTTCTGTTTTACTATAGGACTCCAGTCTTTGTCAAGGAATAAGCAATCTACCACTTCTGTGACGTCACATTAGAACACATTTGACTCGGTGAGCAGTGGATTAAAGGTTGAAAAAAGTCTGTAGTGTTGACATCTTTGCTGTTGGATGCTCAGCACTGCTATGCCCTGATATAGATGACTATGTCAAATGCTTGAAGCATGACATGAGGAAGAAAATGTGCTAGGAAAAGGTAGTAAAGGTCAATATCAGACAGATTTCCTCATCCAGAATATTTGTTGTCTTGTCACCCTGAAATTGCATTAGACGCTACTAGTATTAGCCTGATAAGGCATGAATGTATAATAAAAGTTATCTTATTGTCCTCCATAAATAAATACAGCCATACCAGCCTGGACTTCTTGTAGCCTGATGAACTCATGTTCCAGTAGAAACTGTATACAGGCGTGGATGGCACTGTCTGTACTGGTGTTGTCACTGGTGACATCACTCATCCCTGCAGCCAGCATGGTACAGGAGGCATAGCGCTCTACATCCGCTGGAGACCTCGCTACTCCACCTGCTATGATCTGTTACACAGGATAAAGAGACTCTTTTTACACAGCTGTGTAGATACATATTAAACACTTACTATTACAGTGACACCTTGGCTGTGCAATGTGAATTAGTCAGAGTTGCCATGAGAAAACTGTTACCTTAAGAGTCTCTTAAAACATTAAAACTTAAACTCTGCAACTATTCTACCAACACAGATAATCTTTCATTGAATTTCGCATAAGAGAGTAGACACTTGACACTGAGCAGGACCATGTTTTAAGAGGTACAGTATATCAGGGCATTCCAGCCATTATTTAATAGAGACAGTGAATGATATAACTTGAATGTCGATGAAGGTTAGACATCCAGGTAATACGATATGCCAAAAAGCAGTTACTCAAGCAACTGGATATGATTTTGGAAACAGTCAGACGTTTCAGCTAGTATCCACTAGCTTTTGTCAGTGACTGAGAGACCAGAGGGGAAATGCAGGTTTATAAGCACAAACTATTGATTGATATGCAAATAAAGTGAAGACAAATTTTTGGAAGTCGAAAAAGGAACAGAAGTCAGACAAGTCAAGACAAGAATGCAAATAGCAATTTGCATTCTTGTCTTGACTTGTGAAGGCAACATTGGTCGTAGAAAATTTGATCTCTTTGTCCTTGTTGTGCTAGAATTAAGTTCAGCATTCAGTGCTAAGAGAGAAGACTGTTACCTCTAGAATGGCCCTCTTCATACTGGAGCTGACGTCCTGTCCTGTCTCCCTGTGCAGACAGCTGTGGACAGGACTGAGGCCAGACCTGATCAGGGTGGTGGCCTTACTCCTCTCTCTCTCCTTACACACAAGAACACTCTCACCTACCACAGAAAAACACAAGAAAAATTGACATATGACCCATGACCACTGCACCTAGTGTCTGCTTGCCCTGGTCACTCGGCCATTCGATGCCACAAAATCCTGAGAGACAAAAAAAGAAGAACTGTGCCCACCCTGACAGTCAACCCCTTCCTGATACGGCTACATTGTCTGCTTGCCTTAGCCACAAAATCAACGCTTCAAAATCCTGAGTGACAAAAAAAAAAGAACTGTGCCCACCCTAAGCAGGTGTGTTACGCCAAAGGGCAGTTATACCGGCTACACAGATACAGATACTGAGAGTCGACCCCCTTCCTGTGCCTTAGCCGCTTGGCTATTTGTTGCCACAAAATCCTGAGTTACAAAAAAAGATGAACTTACCACACCCTCGGAAGACAGGGTTATTACAACAGACAATAAAGCAGATAGTGAGTGAGTTTGCCCACCCTGTGAGTCGACGCCCTTCCTGCCAGCCCTGCCTGCCATCTGCTTGTATGTGAGAGAGTCCAGCACCCTGCCATGGAACAGGGGGGTCCTGATGATCACCCTCCTGGCGGGAAGGTTCACCCCGGATGACAGTGTTGACGTGGCCACAAGAACACGCAGGTGTCCCTGCCTGAACGCACCCTCCACGATGTCACGCTCATCAAACGACAAACCTAGATGAGATTAGGTTAGATTTTGCTTTACAAAAATTGGCCCTCAAAATGCAGGAAACAATGTTTTAGAGGGTTATGAATTTCACAATTTTTCTGGGAGACGTTTGCTGTGTGGTTTTGCTGTGAAAAAATTGTGGTGAGAACCTTGAATACAACACCTCACCATGACACAGCTTCAGGACCAAGAGGTTACCAGTACAATGGAACTTTGAGTCACCGGGCTGTTGTTGGTCAGAATTTTCCTGATACAATGAACCTGTAGATACTGTACATAGCGACTGTCTTCTATATTACGACCAATGTGAGATAAACTATGACTGGATTGAGATCCTGTTATCCTTTTAACCTCTTGGTCACGTTACTGCTGACGAAAGAAAGATGGTGGATGCCATCTGAAAGCTTTTATGCTTTGTATGTCGTGTGTTTAACTTGTTCCTTTCTTTTCTCACCTGCATGATGGAAAGCCACCCCGTATGGCACCACCCTCCCCAACATGTGGTCCAGCCCAACAGGTGTCCTCCGCAGCTGTTCCACCACATCCTGCAGCACCTGTCTGTTCAGCTGCACGTACGGAAGCTCTGACAACTTGCTGAAACCTATTAAAGGGGAACAAGAAGTTCGATAAATGTTGTCATTATATCACACATGCTATGTCTAAAAAGTGACTTCCTACACTTAGTTTGCTAGTCCATTTTGAAGTTGCCACTAGCACCTAGCATCGACAAATTGGCCGCCACCATTTTTCCACTTCCCGCCTTTGCAATGACATAAACTCTGTCCTAATACTTGCTACATAATGTGGTCCAACACCACAGAGTGTCTGCCACAGCACCAGTTACCATGGCTCTTGTCATTGACCTTATTTGGAATGGAAGAAGAGGAAGAAGAAACAGTGCAAAAACAATATAAATTATACATTTGTAACTAGACAACAAACTCTTAGACTTACATTCAAAAGACAAAATCAGTTTCTGTAGTTATAATTTAACTTTTTTAAGGCAATGCCTTTAAGAAATGTTACCTTCAGTGAGTTTCTCCTCTGGAGGAACCCTGTTGATGTTGTAGAACTCCCTGGCGATGGTTTCTGCCAGTTTCTCACACCAGTTCTTGGTAGGACAGAACACCAGGACAGAGTGTCCGTCAGACACTGTCTCATAACACAGGCCAACTACCTGGTCCTCATCTCCCTACATTGGGTCAAAATCTACATTGAACAAGGTGTTGAAGGTTTGCAGGTGTGACAGATATTCTAGAGATCAAACAGTGAACAGTAAAAGTTAAACAGTTCTTGGTGGGACAGAACACCAGTACAGAGTGGTCCTCAGACACTGTCTCGTAACACAGGCCAACTACCTGGTCCTCATCTCCCTACATTGGGTCAAAATTGACATTGAATGAGGTATTAAAGGTTTGCAGGTATTACAGATATTCTAGATCAAACAGTGAACACTAAGACCAGTTTTTGGTGGGACAGAACACCAGTACAGAGTGGGCCTCAGACACTGTCTCATAACACAGGCCAACTACCTGGTCCTCATCCCCCTAAAAATCATAACAGGACAACAAATTTGTCTAACACTGATCTATATAATTTTAATGAAATGAAAAATTTATAGAGCTGGAAGATGTGTTTTGAAAATTATAGAGCTACACTATATTATAGGACTCAAAATGCAATGACATGCAATTTGAAAAGTCTAAATTGAATGAGGTATTGAAGGTTTGCAGGTTTCAGAGATATTCTAGACCAAACAGTGAACACTAAAATTGCACCATATTTTCATATACAATGTACATGATAAATATTATCTAGAATATCAACTTTCCAACCAAAGTTCACACACAGTGCCTTACCCTAACATTGATAACGCTGTGAAAGTCTCGAACTTTCTCCATCTGGCTGTTGTACACTGTAGTCCCTACTTTGACACACTCTGTCAGCGGGACCGGCCGAAAGTCGGTCTGGTACAACTCCGCATCCAGCCATCGGGCCAAAAGGTCCAGGTTAGGTAAGGTGGCACTCATGCCAACAATCTGTACTGGGTTTGTGGCCGCCTTGTTGTCGGTGCGGTTCTTACTGGTGACGTACCTGATCTTGGTGAGGAGGAGCTCTAACAGATACCCACGGTGTGAGTCTCCCACCATGTGTAACTCATCAACTACAACAATACCTGCAGGGGGGATGGAAAACAATACATGTTTAAATACAATTTGTATATAAACTGATAATGAAAAGACAAGATGCAAGATATCCTTCTTATAGATTGCAGTGTTGCCGATTACTAGTACTTACTGTAACAAAACAGCAAAACAAGGCACTGTATTAAAGGCATCATGCCATGATTCTGTGACAGTCATCCTTTCATATTTGAACCATTTTGGTATACTGGCAGCCCTAAAAACAAGCCCAAATGTAGCTAGGACCAGCCTATATACAAATGTAGCAAAACAAGCTGTTTTCTGTCAACGACAGCAAATTTTTGCCTCACAGATATCAGTCTGCTATAATTTGATTTGACTTACTTTGTCTACTTTAAAAGATTGACCAAAAAATTGGCTTTAAAAATCCAGTTTTGCTACCCTGAAATTGCATGGGTTTCCTTTAAAATGACAGCCCATGGAGCCTGCACGGAGGCTACATGACATGGCTCTTACCCAGCTGGTCTGTCTTGCCATCCTCGATGAGCCTGTTGACCAGGCTATTGGCCTTCTCGATCGTGCAGACTGCCACGTCCACAGAGCTGAAGCCTCCGGCCGGAGACTGACCACCCATGTACCCATCCACCTTCACACCGGCATCAAACAACAGCTTCTACACAGGGAAAACAGAAAAGACAATCAGAGCTATTTGCCAGAGAGGGTCAATATGCCACCCAAGGATCTTCAGGGACCCTCTCTAGCCAATGGATACTGCCTGGCCAGTTTGATACTGTCTTTTGCCACTCTAGGATCTGCTTGGATATCAAATCAGGGCTTGAAATTACCTGATGAAAAACCTGATGAAATTATTTTCAGAAAGAAGTGTTCACATTGTATTGGCCTGTTCCAATTTCAATAAAGAAGAGACATATAACATTTGTCCCTCTGAAGAGACATATAACATGACCTTGAGATAGAACCTGACCTTGAGATAGAACATCTTCTCCCGTGCTACAGAGACAAACGGCAGGATGAAGATGCCCTTCTTCTGTGTCTCCAGAACTCTCTTCAGCATCAGCAGCTCAGCTACCATGGTCTTACCTGCACTGGTGGGGGCTGCAGAAGAAAGACAAAAAAATTGTACGGCTCTTCGTGGCAAATGTGCAGATCTTGGCACATTGGAGACACCAATTCAGTCTGTGTCCTTATCAGTGTTTGGACACAGTATCAACAGTTAGCCAAAAGGCTCGGTGAGCGTCACTCCACCATACAGGGAGGGAAAGTCTTGTTAAGTGCCCTTTCCAAAGGGCACAACATCGGTCATGTCAGGGGATCGAACCAGGGACCTCTTGGTTCTGAGCCGAACGCTCTGATCATTACGCCATGCAATGCCACAAAGGACAGGCAAGTCCAGCTTTAGACCGATCAAATACAATATCAGAGAGACAAAATAGAAAAAAATAAGTATTCTGGATTTTTCCCATACCCCAAGTCATTTACATCTGGATATACTGACATGCTTTTCAATCGAACACCCTTCTGTTCCAATGACCCCGGGTCATGACAAGTGACCCCGAATGGAACACACGTTATGTTCCTTTGACCCCAATGTAAAACAATCAAAGGGACATGCACAAGACGTTTAGTTTACAAAGGTTTAGACTGTCTACTGAGACAAAAAGAGCCCAAGGGTATGATAATAACATTAATGACCCAGCCTAAAATGTATACAGCATCATAATTCATGGTCTGCAAACACTAAGGCCACCTACGTCAATGAAGGTTAGACATCCAGGTAATACAATATGCCAAAAAGCAGTTACTCAAGCAACTGGATATGATTTTGGAAACGGTCAGACGTTTCAGCTAGTATCCACTAGCTTTTGTCAGTGACTGAGAGACCAGAGGAGAAATTTTGCATTATATTTTTGCATTATCTGGTCTTGACTTGTCTGACTTTTGTTTCCCTTTTCAACTTCCCAAAAATTATCTTCACTTTATTTGCATATCAATCAATAGTTTGTGCTTATAAACCTGCATTTCTCCTCTGGTCTCTCAGTCACTGACAAAAGGTAGTGGATACTAGCTGAAACGTCTGACCGTTTCCAAAATCATATCCAGTTGCTTGAGTAACTGCTTTTTGGCGTACTAAGGTCACCTTTATGGATGAAGTAATACCTGAATACACCAGGTTCCTCCCAGCCAGGACCTCCCCCGTCTGCAGACACTCCGCCTGCCACTCAAACAGCTGAGTTATTCTGTTGTCATGGTAACACTGGAGCACGGATTCCGGCAGTCCCCAGGAGGACAGCAGCAAAGGATTCTGGGATCTGGCCCCGGGAGACACACCAGTTGTAGATGTCGGCGATGTTAGAAAACCTACATTAAGAACAATATAGTCATCTTAAAAGGGCATTATGTATCGGTAATATTTTTGCTCAAAAATTGAAATATATTTATGTAATTTACTTCCAGTTTTCAACATCTATTAACATATTTTTCTACATAACATTTCTGCAATCATCCAACATTTCTGTTTTGCAAGACTACTTCCTTAGAGGGGTGAAAGAGGCTATTTACATCAGGGCCCATCACTCACTGCTCAACTGCAATGGGCCCAACATCGTTTACTGGATACCTTAGACCCAGTAGCAGTGTTGACACCACACTTCAGATCTAGAGAAGCCATATGACAAGTCTCACTGGATTGAGAGTGACTCACAGGTCGAAAGCTCTAGGTGAGAACTTATAATCTCTTTCTCTAATAAACTTTTATGATTGTACTCACTCCTGTTGGTGTTCTCCCTGGTAGGTGTACATGTGGTGCTAAATTTCCTCATCAGTGGCTCAGCTGCAGGTTTCCTGGCTTCAGTCCTGGGCTTTACAGACACCCTGCCGTCAGGACTGTCTGTGTCTGAGTCAGCACACAGCACAGTCTGGAGGGACGGGCTGTTGTCATGTGTACACTGTCCACTGGACGCTCCTAACAATGGTATCTTCTCAGGCTTACCACTTACTACTGTACTAGTAGTTAGGGGCTGTTTTGGTGTGTGGTTGGATCCACTATTGCACTTACTAGTAGAACTTCCTTTAGCAGCACTATGCAACTTCGTTAACGTAGAGTTACCGGTAGTTTTTGCAGCAAAATTACTGGACAACTTGTTATCATCTTCACTATTCTCTAAAGATTTAGTCGTCTTTTTAACATTTCTTTTACAATCATTTCCATGGGGCCTGGTAGCTACAATGACTTCACTATTTACAGTAGTAGCACCCCCTTTTCCAGCTGAAAATTCATTGTCTTGTACATTGTTACTTTTCAATTCATCGGTTTCACATATCTTCTTGTTTTCTTTTCCTATGTACACAGATTTACGATTAGCACCATGCAAGTTAACGGAGCTTGGTTTCCCTACGAGAACTGAATCATTTCTCTTGATATCTGCTTGGTTATGAATGTTGTTTAAGGCTGCCAGATGATTTGTACAGTTGCTCGCAATGTCTCCACTACTAGAGAGATGGTAGTTTTCCTCCATTTTGTCCATGGCACACAGCATGTCTGCATCAAAGTCGAATGAGGAGTTGAAAGAAGTGTTGTGTAGATGTTGTCCAGTAGGAGACATTTTGTGGTCCTTCTGGTTAACATCTGTGTTGCAACCCTGAGGCATTTTAGGAGGTGAGGACCTGTCCTGTAGTCGTGATGACCGTCTGCAAACATCACTGGTACCCTCACTACCAGGGCTCAGCTTCTTACTAACACCTACTCCAACCTGTCAGGAACAGAAGATAGTTAAAGAAGCCGACAAAACTCACCACAACTTCCAAATTTTTATTGACAAAAAGAAAACCTCTCAAAACCCACTCATTACAGAACAAGTGGGATACTATCATGTTGTAGTTCCTATCCATGACATGATATTATTATGTTATTGAACAATTCTTCTTTTGTTTATTGTGCATACTTCTGTTCTAATTGTAGGGAACTAATAAAAGATATGTAATATGATCTAACACATTGTACCTTGATAGGATGATTCCCCAAATAGCGCCTCCTAGGTGCTCCACCATGTACTGCAGTGCTCTCATGTTGGGTCTTTGTACCAGCATGATGGCCCCTTCCTTCTGTACTTCTGTCCCTCCCATTCACATGTTTCTGTTGCCGCCATGTCTGGGACAGTTTCTTCATTGTTTTATTCTTAGATGGTTGATCCGTAGTCAGTGTGAATCAGTAGAATCAGGCTGAATGTGTCAGCTAAAGGAAGAAAGAAACCAACAACATAATTTTTCACATCTTAATTTTGGGCCCCATGCACGATCAGCCTACCTTCAGGAATACACCAGAATACAATGGAATACACCAAGGAGCTTTCAGCATAGTGTATTCCGTTATAGTTTATACGTTAGTTGCTATGTGTACTCCGATGTATTCCAGTTTATTTTCGGTAAATAGGCTGACACAGTAGGCTTAACGTTATAATATATGGATAAATGAAATAGCTAGAACTAAGCATAATTCTTTGGAAAATATACAGGATTGCATTTCCTAGTTTCGATCATATTCTGGATCAGTCTAAAGCAGTTATATTCGTGGTAGTTCGTGGAATTTTGTCGTCAGCACAGCAAAATTTTTGCAAAATATGCGACAAGAAAATCGAAAACTGCGGACCGCCTTTACCCACTTCAATTACCTAACAACGGATTTCATTACAGTACCTAATGTTTAACAAATCTAATTACAACTTATTGTCAAAATCTATCTTGAAAAGGCACAAATTAAAGAAGCGTCCTACCTGAAAAATTCATTTTGATTTGAAAAGTCCGCCATCTTCGTTGGTTATGCGCAGGGGTTGATGGGATAGTTTAAAGTACCGGACTATTCTATTATGATATAGGTTATGGGTTCTTTATGGTTTATTTCTATTCTTGTTGTTTTGCAATTTTTTCATAGATTTTGTGCTAAATTTTACTTTTTAAAACACGTGTAAATAATTTAAAACATATGTAAGTAAGTTTTTATTTTATTACCAACCTGCAAAAACACACAGAAAACCAGAAATAGATTAATCTCCCCTATTAGTTGTCATTATGGTAGGCTCCAGGCATTTCTATTTCCGGGAGCGTTTGCAAGGTATTGTACAGATTGCAATAAGTTTTATAGAACTTCGGTAGCATTTTCCTGTCATGTTTTTCGATATATAGGTGAGTAGACTATGCAGATAACGTTGTACCAAAATAGAACTAACATTCTATTAATAGAAATCAGAATTTCGCCTGGTATGGTGCGGCATTTGGTAGCTGGTCACTGGTATTTATAACTTGGTGCATCAATGTGCTAAGGGAAACATGCTTTGCATTTGAATTATGAGGCGCATGCAATACTTAGGGATGTTTTCTATCCATAAACAAATGGATAAGCAGCTTAAAGAGATTCTAAACCTCCTTGATATTACTAGTATAGAGTAAGTATTAAACAGAAAAGCTCTTATATGAATTATGACACAAATTTTGAAATACAGAGTCCTAGTCAGATTTATTTTTAGTCTGCAATATTGCATAATTTTTCTTCTGCAACATAATTCAAAAATGTCTCTCAGTAAATGCAGACTGCAGATGGTATTATACTATTTCTAACAATGACGTAACTTTTCCATTTTTTTGCACAGTTTTTACTGATGGCTGGAAACTTGGATGGCAGCAGATCTCGCGGCTCCTGGGTGCACCAGCCTCCCAGGTACTTCAGGGAGGTTTTTTCTATTCTAAAGCAGCAGAGGTTAGAGCAACAGTACTGCGACGCACAAGTCATCGTCAACGGACAACCGTTCCCCGCACACAAGGCACTCCTAGCCGCAAACAGCAACTTCTTCCACCAATACTTCACCATCAACAAGGACTCCAGTAGGGTCGAGCTTAACAACATCAGTGCAGAGAGTTTTAAGAGCATTGTTGAGTTCATGTATTCAGGGAGGCTTTTGCTACAGGAGAGCAATGTAACAGACGTGTTGCAGACCGCCAGCTTGCTACAGATGCACGACATCGTCACAGTTTGTTGCAATTTTGTGAAGGAGAAGCTACAAGCCAACAGAGTAGAGCAGAACATACCAGATAACACACAGCTGCAAAGAACAGATAGTCATGTTAGCTTTGATCCTCCACAAGTCGCACAACAGATAAACCAACCAGGAAGACCAGCCCATCTGGGGATAGCTGTGAATGAGGAGGCGGGACCATCTAGTCTGGTGGGAGCCATGCGTAGAAAGTGTACCGTGGTCCCTCGAAGAGCGATCTCCCCAAGCATGGGTCCAGACTACAGCGTGGACAGAGACAGTGGGATGAACACGAGTAGCGGCATCGGAGGCCATGATTCTCATCCGGAAGAAGACGTACAGACAGACAGCATGGATGTCGTCATCAGGGTGAAATCTGAGGACACGTCAGACGACCGGGTCCTAGTAGAGGCAGGCGCTGCATCATCATCATCGCAGGAGAATAATCCCGCGCTGTTGAGCCAATCGTCTGACGGCAGCGAGCGAGATTTTGTCGCTCCGACGAATCAGCAGGGCGCCGCGAACCCGTTACAGGTCTGTACTACCACTCTGGCAACTGATTCTTACAACAACTCCATGTTACAACTTACTGCTTCCTACAATGTAAGCGATATGTAAATTATGTATATAATAGTTGTTCTTTGAGGACGTAATATATATTGTCAGCGTAAAGTGTTTTTAAATCTCATTTTAAAATGTAGTTTTTATCGATCTGCTCTGTGTATTTTAAACATTGTCATAATTGTAAATATTGGCTCAAGTCATATTTTGAATTTTTAACATGTTATTGTTAGGCCACACTAATTTAATTTCTTGGTTAATGGATTCGCCCGCTTCATTTTTTTCTGATTTGCAAATAAAAATAAAAATTCAGAATCAACTGCAACATGCTCATATTTTGCCCTGAACAGTTGAGAACAGTCCTTTTCTTGCTACTTGTTACAGTCATCCCATATTTCAATGCAGTGGTATCGTTAAAAGTTCAAAATTCATTGTTTAAATTTTGAACCAGCCTGGTGTGTTGACTTCATGTCTCCTTTCGTAACCATTTTAGGCAATAATAGGATGCGTAGGTCTGTTTTTATTTTTAATTTTTTTTCGCCAGCCCGCTCCATTATTTTTCTAGAAAAATCCGTTAACCAAGAAATTAAATTGGTGTGGCCTTATGCCAAAATTGTGAATAAATCTGAATCTGAATCTCAGGTCGCGCCGGAGCAAAGCATGATGGACACAGGGCGGCATCTGGAGACCTCTCCCAGCAGTGCATCTTGGGAAAGCCCGCTCCACTCCGACTCCAGCTCCGACGTCCATCCCGTCGCCATAGCGATGCCCAACTGCAGGCAGGAGGGCCAGGTCGAAGGTCAAGCCTGGACAGTGGCTGCCTGCAGGTAATTTATTTTTGTTATTTATGTGTATTTCGAAATGCAACAATACATTACACTGACTTACAGAGGGGCTTGCATGCCCTTTTTTGTATGGCGTAATCAGGCCTTTTTAGTCTTCATAATCCGTAGGTGGACCTCCTCAAAAATCAACGTAATTCATGATAGTACATTAGCTGTAAAGCGCAAAGTCGTAATCAGCTCTGAAACTTTAACGTAATTCGTAATCAGCGGCGAAAATTATGCGTAATTCGTAACACTCCCCCCCATGCAGACCCTATTACAGGCAGCTGGGCCGATATTCGTAAGTCAACAATTATAGTACATATGGGGAAAACAGCTGACGTTACTTGGGTACAATAATTTCTAATTTCTGCAGGTTAACACAACAGCAAGAACCGGGGGCGCCGGAAACCAACGTGTTGCCAAACTCAGATGTACAGTGTCCGTTCTGCTACGACAAGTTCTCAGCAGTATTCGAGCTGTGGCGGCACGTGAAGGTATTGTTTGTTTGTTTCACATAACCGGTAAACTGCTAGCCAACATCCAGCTGCCCCCCGAAAAGGGGCCAGTAAAGCCGCGGACGGCAGAGTTTGCGTTATACAGACTAGTAAACTGCCTTTTCTTTTAGGCGTTACACACCAGTTTTGTACATGTAAGTACAAGCTGCGTAAGACTGGGCTGTTAGGTTTAAACCACTTACACCGGAATGACCCCTACCCCTTACATATTTACATTAGGTCTCCTTCTTACTTTTCAAACTTTCCAACTTACTTTTTGAAGGGCCACCGTGGGGACAACCCGCCGCACCTCTGTAAGATCTGTGGCACGACATCGCCCACCCAGAAGGACCTAGACATCCACATCCAGTACAACCACCCCGGGATCAAGATGTACCAGTGCTGCTTCTGTCCCACCAAGTTAGTAGTACAAAAATTAAATTAATGTACTGGTAGTAGTAATTATGTTTACCAAAGGAAAACATATTGTTTTTGCTCAGTTTCTTCTTCCTCTTCTTCTTCTCCAAACAGTGACCTCAATGACCTGAACCAATGCTGTGTCTGTTACCATGGTAACTAGTATTGGGTTACATCATGTTGCAATTTTATAGCAGGAGGGATTTAGACTGATTTCTGACGTATGTGAACGTGTTTGAGTAGGAATTAACAGAGCAGACCATATGTGAAGGTAAACATTATGCATTTGCTTTGAAAATGTTTCCTTTCTAGTTGGGTTGTTTTTTTTTACTTTACCTTACTCAGTTTTTAAATACTAGTATGTAAAATGGTACTCTATTCAGCCAGTGTGGCTGCAATGTACTTTTGATCAAAATGATCAAATAAACCTTTCATTCATACAGGTTCTGCCACAAGAGGAACATCATGCAGCACCTGCGCATGCACATGCAGCGTAAGGAGTTTGCCTGCAGCGTCTGTAACGCTCGCTTCTTCTACGAGAACCACCTCGTCAACCACATGAGGACTCACACTGGTACGTATCTGATACCAGCCCAGAAAAGAACAAAAAAACAGTCATGCCTTCATATATCAGAGCTATCAACCAAGAATTAAGGTGTACAAAAACTCCATTTGATATTTTCCATTTGCTCAACCACATTAGAACAAACACTGGTACATTTTTATGTCTACTGTATGTTGTCTAATCTCCAAGCAGATGCTATGGTGGAAAGGCTGTAACCATGGGCTAAAGGAGTGACCATTATGACTAATAAACTGCTGGACCACTAAGTATCTGATACCAGCACAGAAAAGAACAAGAAACAGCCATGCCTTTAAGCATCAGAGCTATCAACCAAGAATTGTGATGTTCAAAAACTTGTATTTTCCAAGAAGTATCGGAGAATACAACTCGCTGTCACCAAGCAGAGTTGGGGCATCATCACTGGAAAGCTTTACACAACTCCTGCAATTAAAAGAGTGCAAAGATGAGTGTACATAACAAGCCGTTCAGTGTAATATAGCTAGCAGCCGCCATGCCACTGCCACCATGTTACACCGAAGGGCAAAGCAGTAAATGTAAATTGATAATTATTCTGTCCTGTTTCTGTGCCTGTAGGTGAGAAACCATTCCAGTGCCCAGAGTGTGGTGCCCGTTTTGCCCTGAAGGGTAACCTGAAGGCCCATCTGCGTATCCACACAGGGGAGCGGCCGTTTGGGTGTGAGGTGTGCGGACACAGGTAAGTAGACTGGTTTATTCATTCATTTCACATAATATACATAATATACTTAGTATGTTGAAAGTCCTGGCAGCATTGGGGCTGAATTGTAGACTATTCTTATATATTAATTAAAAACTTTTAGAATGTTCAACCTTGGACTATCAGGCTACTAGATTTGCGGAGAGGATGTAGGACTGTGGAGCTAAAATAGGTTTGGTAACCAGGCTATCAGGCTGCTGGAAGGGATCGGGAGTCCTTAGGACACTTTTCATTTTGCTTGTGGAAAACAGCTAAGGGGAATTTCCCTGATACATCTACAACAAACCTGTAAATACTGTACATAGCGTCTGTCTTCTGTTACAACCAGTGGCAGTGGAATATTAGCTCTTCAGTAAGGTAAAACTAGATTGAGATCACTTTGCTTTTTCCTTTTGTCAACTTAAAAAAATCTGCCATGTTCCCATCTGGCAGGTTCACCCGTATGTTCACCCTGAAGAAACACATGCAGCGTCACACCAGGTTCTTCAACATGGAGAGTGGCATGCCGACAACAAGCAGTGCAAAATAGGAGCCCCAGATGTTTTGCCAGTGTTCTAGCTAGCATCTTTCTTTCCGTCATTTGATGGAATTTTGCCGCTTGTGAAGGACAAAAGCGTTGCGCAATCCATCATGTTTGATGGACAAAAATCGGCATAACCGCAAAATGCAGGAAATAGCAAAGGGTCAAGATTTCACTCTCCCACTGCATTATTTTCAAGCATGTAGCTATTATGATTTTCAAGATAACTTGTAAAAAATTACTGTAGTCAGCTAGTCAGATTTTGAGGTACCGGGTAACCAAGGATGGTACCCGCTGGGTCATCTGTTAGTTCATTGGTACAGTCTACTATAGGACATGAACTCTGAAATCTGTGTCTCTCTCTTATAATGTCAATGTGCTTTATGTAGGGAGACCACTTAGTTATTAGTCCAGATTTTATAGGTCCCCTGTGTGACCATTTTAGACAAGTTTGACTGTACTAAGAATTGAAAGCCTGTCACACTTTCATATTTATTAAGAACAGCACATTTATTTATTTATTGTCAATGTTAGTAGATCTAGCATACTAGCATCAAATGAAGGTAACATTATAACTTGGCATGATACAGAGTACATTGCAGAAATCTACATTATTAGTCACATCATATCTTTGCTTACAGCATTCTACATTGCTTTCTTACAACATATGAATTGATAGTCTCAAAAATAAAAACAAATGGCTATGAAACTCTTCACACCCAAGTATCATTGTACATATTGTGTGTATCAATGGCAAAAACATCAATAAATAGTATCCACTTCTGTGCAGAGGCTTTTTTTTCTCTTTGCACCCTTCAAATACATCCCAAAGTGAACAAACAAAACATTGGTTACGGCTAGCACAGGAGCACAAGTACACGAGTTTTGATAAAATCTGCAATGTTTCAACACCTTAATAATAAACTGACATAGTTAACTGTGAGCCTGAAGTATCTTCTATTCATTGAACCTTTTAGATTTTTTTGTCACCATTTTTAAACTGCATTTTGGAGATGGCAATCAACACGTTTTGTTGGATGATGCATATTTTGTTTGGGTAATCTCTCTAAAAAGGACACCCACAAATTTCAAAGGAGGTACATAATGTACAATGTAGGCCATCACAAATTGTTGTGTGTTACACCAAAGGGCTGTTACACCAGCTATACAGATACACATTGCGTCATGTTACTCTGAAGCCATTTTCTACCAATACATTGAAGAATCATATGATATGAGAGTCTGTATGTTAATGTTTGGATTCAATTTTTGTGTGTCTTGTCTTTGTCATAAACAGAGGAGGGCAAGACTGACAATAAAAAATTTTGTTAAGCCTCAGAGCCAACCTTCTACAATGTGTTAGTTTTAACCAACTTTTACGTTATTCCATGAATTTTTTGTGTTGGCAGTTCAATCTTGTTTCATAATGACTAAGTCTTCTACCAACACATATGGACTTTCAAGATATCATTACATGAAGGTTAAACATTGTGTTGACTGAGTATGAACAAGTGATAATCAGAAATTTTGTTTAGCCCCATCAGAACTAGCCTTCTACACTGTCTTATAACCAACTACATGGAGGTTAAACATTATGTTGACTGGCGACTTGCATGAGAACCTTGAGTCCAGTCATGAATGAGCTGATTTGGGAGAAGTTGCTAGCCTGGATCATCTGTGTGTGGATGTTGAGTCCTGCCTGGTAGTTCTGCTGAGAGCAGGCCGCAGACAGCTGGTGTAGACTGGTCAGGATCGGGGCTGGTAACTGGGGAAGAAAGTTTAAAACTATGTAAAATTTTTGCACATAGAATTTAAAAACAAATTAGTTTAATGGAAAAAGTTGTTATATGAAAATTAAACTGTTCTCCAACTAAAGAAAAGAAGACTCACCAGGAATTTTTGACCGAATCAATTTCATTTTGAGAACAGTTTAATCTTTATCATGTATTTTACCAAACTCAGATGAACTTTCATGCTTGTGTAATTATTATTAATTTCCAGTTTTAAACACATTTGTGCAAAACTGGCCTAAAACAATGTGTTTCCTTTTTTATAGGTAAGAATAAATATCATACAAGCAGTGTACTTACACTATTGTCTCTCAGCTTGTCATACAAGGCTTCTAGTCTCCTGCTAACATCCTCCAGTTTTCTCTTGGTTTGCTGCAGAAGAAAAACATATTTACCATGGAATTCTAGGGACAACTAGGAAATCTTACAAAACAGTTGTCCAAGATTAACCAACACATTTAGAAATTGTACTCTACTTGTAGATGGCACTAAATGAACAAGTATGGTCACAAAAATGTAATTTCTTGGTTGTCGGATATTTTTTCTCATTTGCTAAAATGAAACATTCTGGTTCTGATATGACCCTAAAATATGTTGAAAACAACATTTGAAGACAATGATTCACTATTATATTTAATAGTAAACCTTCTGATACAGTCTCTTGCCAACCTTACAGAACTATTGACATATATGTCCTAGTACAAGTATCCCTGTACTTACTGGGTGTGAGGCAGTAGACAGACATCTCTGCAGTAGTGAGTCCAGGCTCTGTGCCAGCTCCTGGTGCTCAGCTGGAATGGGGCCCTTCTCTTTAGGGGTGGTCGGTGCAGAGGACTGCTGCTGTAAGGATACAATAAAAGTATATGTATAATTATTCAGTATGAGCCATAGTTTCTAAATTCTGGGTGGTGCAGGTAAAAATTTCATTGTTACCAGTGCAGGTATGCAGAAGTTAGTGTGTTTTTTGAGCCTTTGATAGGCTGTTGAATGTGACATGGTAATTTCAGTCAGCACCAGAGCTGAGACAAACTGTCAGAGGGTGTGTCCCAGCTTCTACAAAGCTTTAGAAGTGGCTGGAAAGTTAATTTGCAGGACAAGGCACAAATTGTGCGTTTTTTGTACATAGAAATTTACAGGGTAGACATATCATGTTCAGATAGTAAGAAAGCAAATACAGAGTCATGACATGACTGTTAAGCTTTGCAGTCTATGATATACATGTAGATATTATACTGCATGCAAGTTTTGATGGGAGTGCTCCTAGGAAAAGTTTCTAGGTGCATGACTTTGGGACCATGTGCTTCTAATATGGGAGCAGTCTGGAGGCTTGAAACCATTACTAAGGAAGAAGTTAGTGTAGGATAGAAACTACTGAAGAGGGAGACAAACTACAAAGGCACAAACCTGTGGTGGATTTGAGGCAGGTGGAGCAGCATAAGTTTGGCCATAGTTATACTGTAAAGCAGACATCTAGATACGTCAGGGTAAAGCAGGGCATTTATCACCAATAATACACATGATTTTTGTGTGTGTGTACATGTATATCAAAAACACATCAAGAAGCAATACCTACAGTGTAATACTAATACATTGTACATTGTAGATAGCATTTTTTATAATCGTTAACTGCAGAAATATGTGTTATATAATTGTTCTATACACTATGAAAGTCTTGAGGCATAGATAGAATTTTGCAATGAAGTACAAAATGGAAATTGTATCTAATATGTATCTTAAAAACTACAACAGTTGCAAGTACTAAAGGGGAGCAATACGTGAATTCTACAGCTTTAATTGCAGCACCAGCTACGAATCTGTGGCAACACAAACAGCCTCTGAAAATAAATTCATGAGGTTGGTAGGACATAGAATATAGAGACACCTTCCTCAGAGCTTCTGACTGGAGTACTGCTTGTCACCACTACATGTACATGTACATGGAGCGATACTCCAGTCAGAAGCTCTGAAGAAGATATCTGACAAGTATCGAAATGTAAACAGGAGAGAATTCGACACTACCAGTTCTGTAACTGTAAGAAGGAAATCACACTATCCACAAACCAACACAAATCAACACAAACAGCTGATCTCTCTCTCTCACCTGCTGAGCACCTGCTTGCGGCTGGTTGACAGCTGCGGGGATGGGTGCACCTGGAGGCTCCTGGTTCATCATGGCAGCCTGATCCTCCGGGGGTAGGGGGATGGGGGCAGTGATGGGGGCTGGGGGGGTGTAGGCCTCCTGTTGTTTATCCTGGGGACAGAAACACACACGTAAAACAGGCGTCGTCTGTGAAGGTTAGACATCCAGGTAATATGATATGCCAAAAACAGTTACTCAAGCAACTGGATATGATTTTGGAAACGGTCAGACATTTCAGGTAGCATCTTATAAGCAAGAACTTAACTATTGATTGTTCAAAATTATCAATCAATTAATTAATCAATAGTTTGTGCTTATAAACCTGCATTTCTGCACAAGTTCTCAAGTGTCACTGACAAAAGGTAGTGGATGCTACCTGAAGTGTCTGACCGTTTCCAAAATCATAATCAAGTTGCTTGAGTAACTTTTTTGGCGTAAAACAGGCATCCCTTACGAGTTTTGCACCTCCAGAAGGTTTAAAACCCCCTCTTTGCTCTTTTGCGATCTACATGCAGAAAAAGATGCTACAGTGCAGTGGCAGCCAGTGGCATTGTTATTGTTAAGCCTCCACCAGGCCTTCCTGCAGGTAACAGATCTTAGTATTTGGGCAAAAAACGGAATAATTGGCCAGGAGAGTCTGTCCTTAGATGATAACTGAACTCCCCTAGCCAATTCTTCTCCCTATTTGGCTAAATTGTACTCTTTTTTTGCATTGTTAGTCTGGTGAAGGCTAGTCATTGTTGTTGCAGTGACTCCTTCAATGTTCACTGCTATAAAAAGCTGAAAAGGCTCCAAATGTCTGCAGTAAAATGCCTCTACAAGGAAGCATTTGGAAGTATTGCCACAAACCAAGCAGTAAGGTAGTGTACTAAAACGCTGCAAAAAAACAAAGTTTAACACACCCCATTCCAGAGTATGTCAGTACACACGTTAGACAAGCATTCAACACAGTCTACCAAGGATGAGTTTGGCAGAAAGCAGACTTATGTAAGAACCCACCACACTGTGCAACCACGAATTCTGCACAAGGTCTCAATCTTTAATATTTGTGGTCTTCACAAAGGACATTTTAGTAGACGACAAAAGGGCGAGAGAAAAGTTTGAGACACAGTCAAACTTGCCCAAGTGACCACCTCTGTAAGGCAGCAATCTGGCCACTTTTTCTTGGTCCCGATTTTTTCCCCATAGACGTAAGCCGGCCACTTGTCCAACGCAACCACAACTACTGAACTAGCATTACTCGGGAAACTGTAGGTGGACAGGCCCAGGGAAAGATTTGTCCTTTGTGCGTAACATTTTTTTTAACCAGTTCAAGCTAACGAACTGCCTCATGAACAGAATTCATGGCAGATCAGGGCTTTAGCCAGCGACCGTTTTACCGTCAATTGACGGTAATTTGTCCCGTCTGACGGTAAAAATTTTAGTCCTTACCGTCAACATTGACGGTCAAAAATCGTGGGTAAAGACGTCGACATGGAAAAAATCTAGCGAATTTGAATGAGCCACGGCGCGGCGTCTTTTCCAAACGCACGGCGGCGGGAAACCTGATTTCAAGGACCGTGCTGACGTCTGTTGACTTGGCTCTATTGTTCAATGTTGCTGTCTGTTAAAACAACATGTGCTAACGGCCACATAAGAATAAAATAAAACAATGGCTCGACTCAGACACACGCTGCTAACTGTACATGACAATACGATAAATAAACATGTGACAACGAACAAAGAAATATCAAACGTTTTTGAATAATATACTGTACTTGAATAATCATACTATCGCAAGAAAACGGAGATTGATCCACACAATGTGGCCTTATTTAATCTAAAACTTCGTCAGACCTCCTTCGCGCGAAGACTTGAGCGGCAGCATAAAGATTTCTGGAGGATCGCTGACACGCGAGTTTTTGCCGGCCACGTAACTCCCTCCGCGGCAAAATCCCCTTTGTCGTAGCGAAATCACGTCTCAGCGCTTCCCCAAGTCAACTTCATGGCCGCTAAAGTCCGCAAAGGAGTTGTAACTTCCTCATTTCGGTTGAGAAGCGAAGCTGACGAGTAAAATCATGTACATGTCGGCCATTTTGTTTGCTACCCGAAGTCTTCCGAACGCTCTAAATAAGGAAATCGTCGGAGATCTGAGCCACATCGCCCGCTGTCGGTCAGCGCTCGGGGCCGGCTTGGTGGAAATCGGAGGCTGTGACGTCATGAGTAGGTTCATTTGCATGGCCGCGGCTTGAATCGCGGCGGGATTTGAGCGGATCAAAACAAAGGGAATAGCGGATTATTCATTGCGTGTTGTCTCCTTGTGAGAACTGTAGTTTATTTTCATTCTGCAAAATTGCAGATTGTGTAGTTTTTTTTATTATTCTGCAATCTTGACGGGTATTTAGAACACCGAATGCATTAAGTGTGCGGGAGGGCGTGATGTCGATCACCGGATCGTGAAAGACATTCTTTAAAAGTAATCATTGACGGAATTTTTTTTTCGCGTTGACGGTATTTTTTTTCGCGAATTGGGTTGACCTGGGGTTGACGGTAAAAAATTTCGAGCTGGCTAAAGCCCTGTGGCAGATGCTTTTAGATCTTTCACTAAAGAGAAGAAAAGCACTATGCATGCGAGTAGTTAGATGTTGGAAGGAAAACAATATGTCAGCCACTACAAAAACCTCAACCTCACCACATGTCTCATGCATGCTATCCTTCACACATCTACTTTGATGTTTAATAGTAGAGCTTTTGGGTGACTAAAGCCCTTGTCACACATTCAGAACCTTCCACCGATCGCCAACGAAGGTTGGCTGAAGTTCAGGAGCAGTCTGACCAGATTTAGGCCACACCTACATTTCTACAGGAATCAAATTGAATATTACTTAAATTCTAGTCAAATTTGACCCCAAAACATGCCCGAAACGTGCTTAAAACACTACTGACTTGCTCCTGAAAACCAGCCAACACCAGATGACATACTCCTAACCGTGGTTGGGGGGAGTTCGGCCATATTCGGTTATGCGTGACAGGGGCTTCGATGTAAGAATAGAAGTGGTCAGGATGCATGGACGAGACATTTCCTGAGTGCAAGGCAAGACATTTTCCAAGTTGCCAGCAGAGAATCAGAAACCCCTGGAAAGTCCCTTCCTACCCTATGTCTTCCGGAGTGTAAGTGCCTTTCAATGTACATGGGTGTGTGTCCTTGGTCGGACCCCGAAATCTACAGACAGGGAAGATGACAACCAGTCAATGTCACCCCCACATAAATATGCCTGCTCTAGCTCGGCATATACTACTTCTAGCCTAGCCTTGATAGAAAGTATAGTTCTCAATTTGAAGTCCTAAAACAGAGTGTTAACTAACAGTTAAGGTTGAAAAGAAGAGTACTTGTTTGGATATTCTACATTTGAAGAAACATTTCTTACACTACATAACAGAAAAAGAGACATTTCACAAAGAGCTTTTCATACTAAATATGGTATCAGTAGACCTTTTAACTAAAAAATATATACAGTTTTCATTTATGACACTCTAACAATGATCACACAGATGTTGAAGGCAACATAATAACAACACAGTTTTCTAAAGTAACTTTGTCGCAGACAATGGTAATTAAAATAAGATTAAAACAATGTTCATTCATTCATTCATTCACATTCATTCATCCACTCACTCACTCACTCGGACAATGATAGAACCACAACTTTTTTGGCGACATGTCAAACAAGACAAAATATAACATATATACTAGAAAGGCCAATATTTGCTTTGGAGCAAATATAGCGATGGGTTCACCACATTTTACCACATGGCAGGGAAAGAATGAGAAACACAAGGGAAAACAATGCTTTACATTGATATAACTATAGTATGAAGTAACATACAACTAAGACTACAACAGTTGGATAGCTATTCCCTACATTATTGGTTAGGATTGCATAATGCAAACTGTTGATTTTCAAGATAAAAAGAAGCGTTCATAGCCCGCATTCCAATGCTGGAGCAGGAAAGCTTAAAATACCTACCAAAACACTTGAATACAGACATACTGTCAGTATGGCATGGCTCTGTGCAGGTGTAAATGAAGTTAAGCCAGTTAAATCCCAACAGCCAATCAGCAAGGAGAATAGAGGAAAGCTGCATGCCTATTGGTTGATGCCTTGCATGCCATTGTGATGACTCATGTCCAAATGTGGTAAACACTGCACACTTACACAGTAATACATTAGCTATTACACAGCCAAAAAACTCAAATAAAACCATTCTAAAAGCCTGTATCACAATAATTTAAAAAACGCCTAGGGGTATTTGCCCACTGTACCTCCATACCAAATTTCAGGACCTTAGGCCCTAAAATGAAGAAGCTGAATCCATTTAAAGATATGGCAGGAGGAGGAGAAGGAGGAGGAGGAGAAGAAGAAGAAACATCAGAAAAAGCAATATGGTTTCACCACACCACTTCGTGGTGTGGTGAACCCATAATAATGTAAATATCTACAGATTAGTTTTCCATGTACATGTATTCCATAGTGAAGAGAGTCAGTGTTACCTTTCTGGCCCTGATAACTGCTGGTGGATCGTTCCAGGCTCCCTGTACTCTGTCTGTACATGGGAGAGAAAATAACCATCAGTGGGGTGAAGTTAAGTACATGTATAGTCAAACGGGGTTAACCTGTATAGGGGACCACCTGGCCACTTTAACAAACCCTTGTCCTGCTGGACCCAGATATACATGGGTTGGACAATAAAGTGCCTTTATCAGTTTATGTGTGTCCTGTATATTTACGGTTTGGGAGTATTTCTCACATGAACGCAACGCACCACAGCGAAACGCACAGCAGGGCAGCAGAATTCAAGGGTTAATGACCTGATTAAGAAATGAAATTAATGAATTTCAAATATTATTAGATTACATTAAAAAAAAGTCCAGCATGTATCAATACCAGTGGTGCATTTGGTAAAGATTACACATGATGTACACACATTGCCTACATTCTCTCCGCAAATAGGATGTAGGACTCGGGAGCTATAATATGTTTGATAACCAGGCTAGAACACACAGATCATGCTGAAGTGAAAGGATTGATATGTTAAAAACTTCACACACATGTGTTAGGTGTTCAGGGCAGTTTGAACAAAAGGAAAAGTACCCGGTTTGCTGTCACCACTGTTCCCACCAGACTTCTGCGACTGGCTTGGAACTAGGTTTCGTGAGAAAGCAAGGAACAACAGTTTCTCAAAGGACAAAGGAAGAATACTCAAGAAAAAGTATAAAAATAACCAGTGCAAACTTCACTTAAGCAAGATGGAAAGTAGGAAAGGTGAAAGAAAAATAGGACCAACTTTTCAACAGCTATCTGTGGCCCTACCTTCATTAACAAAGCAGAGTTATCATGTCATGAGGCAATAAGGTACAGATATCGAATAACTTCCCTTCCCACACGTTTTACCTTGTTTATTTCTTGTGGAAAAGTCCTGGTTACCGAGTTTAAATTGCAAATGAAACCCAAGTAAAAGCAGAGAAATTTAAATAAGAATTTCATGACTTTGCACACGTTTTAATTGAGAAATGCACAGCTTTTAATCGCATTACTCGAGATCTGTACTGTAACTATACCACGATGTACCACAAGTTCTACTATGAACTCTGCTTTTCAACATTGTACTATATCTTCTAACTGTGGAATTAGCAAGCCTTCAGTACCTTGTTGCGGAGGCATAGGCTGTGGTGCAGGTGCCGGCTGGGCTGGTGAAGGCTGTTGTTGGTAATATGCAGGTCCACCGGGGGTCTGGCTGTACGGTGCAGCCATGGTGGACGGAGTAAACAGGGCAGGCTGGGGCTGGGGCTGGGACTGGCTGGACGGAGCTGTAATGGTACACACAAGCATCGGTATTAACAGAAGGATAGTGAATATTCAAATCTATGTTGGTAGAGTCCAAAGTTGTAAAGTTCAAGCCAACACAAGGAGGGAACTTACCATAATTTACTACTAGAAAAGGAAAGTGATCCAATTTTAGCTCACTGAAGAGTTATATCTTTCACTAGTCGTGAGGCTATGTACAGTATTTACAGGTTCATAGTACCAGTGAAATTCCCCTAGCTCTTTCTTGACAAGCACAATGAACAGTGGACCACAACCTAACATTCCGTCCTAAGTAATGCGACCCTTTCCAGTATCATGTATGTCGAGTGAGCGACAACAGTGCGGATTCAAACTCCCAACCTCTTAGTCTATACTATAGGCAGGGTCGCTAACCACTGGACTATGCACGCTACATTATGTGAAAAACTTGAATAAAGTGAGATTTAAAAAATAAAGTCTCCAAACCCCCTATCAAAGCAAAGAGCAGTGTTTCCTTTTGTAATATCTTATTGTAAGTTATCTGAGAAACTGAGTTGTATGTAAGTGAAACGTGTTTCAGCCAGATAGCTGCAATGTTTTACAGAAATAAACCATTCATTCATTCTTACCTGGTCCCCCCTGTGGTACCCCCGGTTGTGCCGGCATGGAGGTGTAAGTCTGTGTGGTTCCGAACCCCCCCATGTCCGCCCCCCAGTGGGCGTACTTGGGCCTCTGGGCACCCCCCAGGGTGTACATGTTGGCGTTGCCTGGGGCAGCAGGGGCAGCGGGGGCCGGTGCAGGCTGGGGTGCCGGGGTGAAGTTCGGCTGCTGTGTTGGGGCAGGCTGCTGACTGGCGTAGGGATACGTGCTGGGCTGGTAGTAGTTAGCACTGGATGTTGTTGTGGTCACTCCAACCTTTATACAAACAATGAGAAATTTGTGTGTGTCATGAGCAAATGTCAGAAGAACGTTTTGCTGTCAGGATGTTTTGCTGTTAGGACGTTTTGCTGTCAGACTGTCAGGACGTTTAGGTGTCAGCTGGTAGTAGTTTGCACTGGACGTGGTGGTTGTCACCCCAACCTTTACACAAACAATGAGAAATTTATGAATTTCGTGAGCATATGTACATGTAAGAAGAACGGGTAGATGACAAGTGCACCGTACTCATTACTTTTAAAGCTTGACCATCTACTGTATGCGAAACCTGTAATGTATAGTGCATAGCATTTCCACAGAACGTCTGTTTAAGGCTGCATTCTGCCTATAGTTTTCTAATGTTCTCTCCAAACAGATTTGGTGGAAACTAGATGTATTGTAGTTTTGCCACCAGGAAGTTTAATTGTAAGGACATTTTGCTGTCAGGACATTTCGCTGTCTGGACATATTGCAGTCAGAACATTTTGTTGTCGGGACATTTTGCCTTACCTGTCTATACTGATGTTGTTGCTGCTGTACCCCTGCTGGTCTGGCTGCCTGTCTCTGTGCTGTCTGGGCCTGTCTGGGAGCTGCCTCCCCCTGTGCCCTGTACAGCCTGTCCCTCAGCTGGGCAATGGTGGGCTGGAACCACAGACATTTTTTTTAATACTGACATATGACATATAATAATAATTTTACGGATCTAGTTGGCCATTGTGCAGATGTTGGCACAGTGGCGCTACCAAATCCATAATGTGTTTCTGGCACACATTTAGACGATTTAAAGTGGCAAGGTGGGCATCACTCCACCATCGGAGAAGGGAAGACGTGTTAAGCGCCTTTCCAAAGGGCACAATGTCGGGTCATGGTGAGTATCGAACCCAGGACCTCTTGGTTCTAACCCCAATACTCTAACAAATGTGCTACCAATGCCACAAAAATTTATGGAATCTCCAATTAGTGACAATTCACCACTACTATTCCTGGAGTCCTCTTTCTTACATACATTGTAAAATATGAACAATATTGAGTACAGGACAGAGCTATGCCCACCTCAGTGGAGTCTCCCAGGTACTCCATGGCTGTAGCCAGGCTGCCCTGTGCTGCTAGCAGCTCGGCGTACTGGGACAGTTTCTCTGCCAGGACTCCGCCCGACACGGCCGGCGCCTGCTTTTGGGTCAGCTCGATAGACTTCCTCAGAACCATCACCTTCTCTACTAGGTCCTGGGCAGAACAAAACAAAACAATACAGAGCATTAAAGAGTAGGGGTAAAAAAGAAAGATTTAGATCCAGTTTTAGCTCACTGAAAAGTTAATCTCCCACTTTTTGTGACAGAGAAGACAACCACTATGTACAGTATTTACAGGTTCATTGTACCAGGGAAATTCTCCTGGCTCTTTTCCACAAGCACAACGAACAGGGGACCACAGCCTAAGGACTGCACCTCTTGGTTGCTACAAGAATGTTCCTGTTGTTCCAAATCCTACCGAGCTAGATGAATGCTCCGGAGGCTTTCTGAACACAATGTGAGAGTTCTAGATCTGCTGTCCTGTTACTACTGAATACAGCACCTTGGATAGGTGAACGTGCTCAACATGACACCCCTCAACTGTGATGTCCAGTGTGCCATCTTCTGTGTAAAGGCATTATGTAATGTGACACTTAACTCAATACATAGTACTGTATGTAACATTATAACATATTACCTCCAGTGCGAGGGGTGAGTTTGGGTTCTTGGTGATCTTGTTCCAACATGTGACCATTTTGTCCACGTTACCGGCACAGATGTAGGTCAGACAGGCGTTGGCCTGCAGCTGGCCGTCCTGCTCGGTCTCCAGTCGGCCACCCAGGGTACCTGCAACAACACAATTAAAGAACATCTTTAGACTACTGTAAATAACAAAACTTGTGGTGGTTCTGTGAATAGCATACTGATATCTGTGAGGTAAAAATGCTGATGTAAAACAGTTGCTTGTTTTGTATTGTAGGCTGGTTCTAGCGTAATAAACTCCACACGTAGCCCCTTTTTGGGCCTTTAGCAAAGTATGAAATAATGATAAGAATATGCTGAAAAAAATCACAGTACACGCCAATATCTGGCAGATTTCCTCAACAAAAAAAATTTTTGGCTACAATGTATGTCGCCCTGATATTGCATTGGATACCTTTATTACTCTATTGTGAGAAAACTACATTATCAAAAGCATCAGTAAGAAGCTCTTTCTTCCTGACCATTTTTTGTTCACCTCTGATCTCTCCCATTAATTTTGAATTTATCTTATTATTTGATTTATTTTCCATAGACCAATTGTATAAGTTTTTGTTCTTTATATTCTATTTGATCAAGTTGTGTTGTAGGGACTCCAGGAAGAATAGTGTCAATGTAACAAACACTAATGGAGATCCCAATAAAACAAACAGACTGTTGACGTACCACACAGAGCAGAGAAGTCCTCCGGTTTAGCGTAGGTTAGTAGAGCTGCCAGGGCCTCCTTCCAGTTCTCCAGACTGCAGTGTTGCACAATGTCTGCCCAGCTGCGGTTCACTACACACGACAGCAACTGCCAAAAACACAACAGAAAAACATTTTAGCCGTGAAGAAGCCACAAAGGAAAAACTGGTTGTGTAACAGGTTGAAATAAAGTTCTAAACAGGAATTATGCAGCTCCAGATGTCTTACTGAGGGACGACTGCGTGTGTGAGATGTCGGTTAGCTTGAGGAATGAATCCCCTCTACTATACATGTATACAACAGAAAAACAGCATTTACAGTTTAACCAGTACTAGTGACCACCTCTACATAAGGACCACCTGGCCGTTGATATACAGTCAAACCTGTACTAGTGACCACCTCTACATAAGGACCACCTGGCCGTTGATATACAGTCAAACCTGTACAAGTGACCACCCCTACATAAGAACTACCTGGTCATTGATATACAGTAAAATCTGTAACTAGTGACCACCTCTACAAAAGGACCCCCTGGTCATTGTGATCACTTTTGACAGTCCCTTAGTAGATAAGTTTTCACATTGACACAAGATTAAGAGTCCACATAGACCGGATTTGAATAGTCCTATGAGGTCTTCTTGGGCAGTTTTGACAGTACCTGACTTTGACTTTATTGGGATTACAACAAGACAATACAATGCAGACACTAGGCAGCTGTACAAGTTTGTAAAAATGAACAATCTGCTGGTCAAATCAAAAACTTACCCGGGATATTTTGCTCTGTGATCTCTGGAAGTATTTTTTCTGTGTGCGTGCGAGCAGCTCGGGGCCGCCCGACACGGACAGGATGAGGGCCTCGGCCAGCCGGTTGTCATGGAGACACATCTCCACGGCTGCCTCAAAGTTACCGGTCAGCAGTGCCCGACAAATCAGGCCATCACAACCTGGAACACAGAACAACAAGAACTATCAAACCTTTGTATCTGTATAGCCAGTGTAACTGCCCTTCGGCGTAACACACCAGCTTCGCAGGCACATGGCACGGCGGCAGCTGGTTATATTACACTGAAGGACTTGTTACACCTAACATTTGAACATCTAAACCTAAACATTGTTTAAAGCTATCTAGTGAGGATAAACCAACCAGGAAAGCAGTATAACAGATCTTTCAAATCATCCAAATATTGTAATATTCAAATGGTGGTAAGATAGTCTTGTGGTTTGAGTTGTTGACTGAGAAACTGAAGGTTCTGGGTTCGAATCCTTTAACAAACAAACAAACAAACAAACAGTACACAATGTTGTTTTGATGCATCAGATTTTGACTATTGTCCACCTTTTGTTGCTTGACTAAATGTAATCATGTCTTGTCCTGTGTAAATGTGTGCTAGGCCCCATTGAAAAGCAGCTTCATACAAGCTGAATGGGCTACCCAGCCGTTTTATGATGATTGAAAAATGACTAAATAAAACTAAACTTCTGACCAACCTCCATTTAGCCTCTGTACACTTGAAGAAGCCACACAGGCGAAACCAGTCGTGTGACAGGCTGAATAAAAGTTCTAAACGGGAACTATGTGGCTCCAGATGTCTTACTGAGGGACGACTGCATGTGCAAGATGTCAGTAGCTTGAGGAATGAATCCCCTCAAATTCACATTGTAAACTTCTGACTAACCTTCGTCTACAGAGATCTGGAAGGGAGAGTCCGGTCTGCTGGCGTCCTGTGACTCTGTGGCGATGTCTTTCCCGTGAGCAGCGATCGCGTCAAACACATCAGCACCCGCCGCTGGGCTGTCTTCTGCTGGCGTCTGGACACAACAGAACAACATCGGGCTTAGAGTTAAAACTTTTGATCCAACGCCAAGAAGTTCTCTCACCTAGAGCTTTCCACAACAGGACAACATCAGGTTTCGGGTTAAGACGTTTGATCCAACACAAAGAAGTTCTCTTACCTAAAGCTTTGGACAAGTCACTCTGGTCTTCCTCAGTAGACAGACCCAGTGAGGCTTGTCATGTAGCTTCTTTGAAGCGTGACGTCAACACTGGGTCAAAAGTATCTGGTAGATGATGTTGAGTGCATCAGTCTACTGAAGAAGACCAGTAGTGACTGGTCGAAAGCTCTAGGTTATAGAACTTCTTTGTGTTGGATAAAAAGTTTTAACTCTAAACATGTAATGTTAACTACCAACACAAATGAACTTTCATGATAGGACAACATCAGGATCTTCAACAGATTCACTCAATAACACTGGCGTCTTTAAAGGCATACAATACAATTTCAGGGAAGCAAAACAATAATATTCACAATGAGGACATCTGTCTAAAATATTGACATTTACTGACATTTCTTAGCACATTTTTGTCATTGTTTCATACTTAAGTATTTGAAATTACCCCAAAAGATACGTGACGTGTCTCTATATGTATGGACTGGAGTTGTACACATGTCCAATTTCTTGTGTTAGAAAGTCCAGTTTAAACTTGCTTGAAGACTTCTTCCAACACAAATGAACTTTCAAGATAAAATAACTACGGTGTGAAAGTGACTTGAAAACTGAAAGTGACTTGAAAACTGAAAGTGACTTGAAAACTGAAAGTGACTTGAAAACTGTCTCAATGCTTTCTTTTTTAAATGCATACCTTTCTGTTGTAGGTAAAGGCCTGTAGTTTTTTGTCAGGAGTTTGGGAGGCATGGAGAGAACAGACACAGGACAGACATAGACAACCAGGGAACAGAGAACAGGCATGCAGTCAGTACAGGCACAGGACTAGCTAGTATAGAATCATTTCATTTTAAAGTAAAGCCCCTGGCACACATAGCTGAATGTGTGAGGGGCTTGAAGCACTAGTGTATCATGCACTACACTACAGTGCAGGGAAAAACAGTACAGATATCTAACTTGTACATTATAGACAGAGTTTTGCATATGCATTGCAGATACAGAAAGTCTAGTAGTGCTTTGGCTACAAAATAATGGTTTTGCGAGAGTATAGAATAGTATATATTCAGGTTGAGTACGAAACTTTATCATCAAAACACAGAGACTGAGAGAGAGGTCAAAACAGAGAAACAGTGTAAGGATGGAAAGGGACAAACATTTTGCAACAGTGCAGGAATCTGTTGGGTTTTATTACTTGATTCAAAACAAAAGAGTAGCACAAGATAACCTTACCCTGGCCTCATTAACTGACGGAGAGCCCTGGGCACTAGATGTCAGCTTCTTGTCACCAGCCGTCTGTGCAGATAAAGATGTTTACAAACATCACTATGGCAACACAAACAACATCATAAGCAACAACACTTAAATGAAATGTAAGATATTGTAGGGTTGGTAGGTAGGGATCATTTTTTTTTCCCCTTTTCTTTAGACTTTGGCAATCTCTGGTGATCCAACCAATACATAAACAATACTTAAGCAAAATTTGCATGAGGGCACTTATATTTTCAATGTCAATGTTGGAAAACCAAACGTACAATGTTTCATCACTCAGCCTGACTTAGGTATCAGATTATGGAGCTAGAAAAGGTCGATCAGCTCAAAAAATTTATGTCCCTTGCAGGGGTCTACACACAAAAAAAGGCTAGGGTTGGCATTTTTTTCTTGAGTCAGTCGGGAAAGAGGAAACGCGACATTTTTTTCCTGGGCCTTACGAGAAAAAGCATTATGCTCCACAAACAACACCAGCAGCTGTACTCACATCCACAGTTAGCAGCTGCATCTTGGTGGCCAGCTCCTGCGGGTCAACCCCCTCCTCCGCATGTCCATTCTGCAGGGAAGTCTGGCCCGTCGCCTCCGCTACTTTATTGGCCAGCTCATTGGCATCAAACCCCAGCAGTCTCAGATACTGGCTACGCGGGTCAGCCTCAAAATTCACCTGCAAGATGCAGCAATTTTTAACCTTTAGCACACTGAGGTAGCCATTTGGTTACCAATTCTAATTATTATCTTATTTCATAATAAGTTGGGGCTTGTTGTTGGATTCGAACCCAACACCCAAACATTACGCCACACGATCCCACCCAATATTGAGGACAGGACAGAGAAACGCCCACCTCAGTGGAGTCTCCCAGGTACTCCATGGCTGTAGCCAGGCTGCCCTGTCTGTGCTGTAGTGCTGTTGTTTTTAAACGTCTTGCCATACATTGTACCAATTCTGATTGTCAAGTAAATATAGTTCACACTCAAGTGCTTTATGGAACTTTTGGAAGCCCATGTGATAACCCAGTGAGATACAGGGAGCTATCACACAGGCTGGAACACCCATATCAAACGTTATTGCGGCCCAAATATGACATATGTAATGTATATAATTATATGTAATATTCAAAGGTTGGTTTATTGGCCACAAATGACGTCTACAAATAGAGAGAACGAGAAAAACAAACCTTTAAGAAGCTCCAGACACTCTGGTCAAACTCTGTCTCTGCTGCTTGGATTTTCTGGTCACAAAACTCCCCAAACTGTCCTGACTTCAGGGCCGTTTGTAGGTTGTTGGATCTGAGGGAGAGAAAAAAACAAAAGCAGGTGTAAATATTTATCATGATTCAAAAATGATGATACAATTCAAAGACAGGACGGCATTTATAAGCAGGCTGAGCACTGCTTTGTCTCTGCTTAAAGAATGAAAACACTGTTGACTAAGACTTTGTGATCAAACCCTCTTCTGGTAGAATTGCTGACTCTACCCTGGCATGCTGTAATTCCTGATTTTTTTACTGTACTGTTATGTTCTCTGACTCTGTTTTCATGTTCACTTCTCTACCATAAACTTATCATTACCGTTATCAAATCATTTGTCATCCTCTCCCTGCACTTGGCACCACTGTGAAGACTAAATTCCGTCAACATGCCCATTTTTCTCAGACCGTAAAATATTGCAACCATGAAGACAATGTAAAATTACAGTAATATATAATATTGCTTTCTCCCATGTAGTTACCTGTTAATGAGCTCCTGTTCCGTGATGACCTGGCTCACAAACACTCTCCTGGGCTGTTGTTGTTGTTGCTGCTGGGCTGACTTCACGTGTTCAAAAGTCACCAGTTTGCCTCCAAACTAGGGGGAAAGACACAAATTACAACACTGAAATACATACACATAATGTACATAAAATAATACAACAGAGTGTATCCTGTATCGTTCATGAAAGGGCTGAGACTCAGAATGATGCAAAATACACTGTGTGCACTATTCATGTCGTACCAACCAAAGAAAACACACTTGCTAAAGCAAGAAAATTTTGGTGTCCCTCAACAAAAAATTGTGCAGGCTTACATCAAATGTACGTAAAGGTAATATGAATCGAATGCTTTTAGTTTCAGAAAGGATAACAAAACGTTTGATGTAATTCTTGTTTAAGATTAACAATAGAATTTCAGATTAAAGCTCTGAACTTGGAGCCATGCTATAGAAACTATAGGAAAGTACTCACAGCGAAGGAAGCCCCCACAGGTCTTCTGAGCCACTTGGGTGGGTTCTTGAGCGGCATGGCCTGTTGTTGGACCTGGGGCTGGGGGGCAGGGCCTCCAAACGTACTCCCAGGGAAGGAGGAAGAGATCTAAGGATTGAAGAATCATGGTGGTTAGTAAAAAGTTTAAAACTTCGGAATGTCTGGAAGAAATCTCTATAATCTATCCAGTAATAGAGTTTGATTTGTCTTTGAATTTTGTTCCTGATTACTCCTCCACTATAACCTACTTGCTTCCACTTAACCTTGCCAGCTTGGCAGTGTATTTCAGAAGCTATAGCTTTGCCGCTGTAACCACTGTGTTATCATTTGTTTCAATACAAAGCGATGTTGTTAAAGTTTACAGCAGGGCATTTCCAATACATGTAAGTCTCACACAGAAAATACGACTTTCTGGCAAGAGTGGGTATTTCCAACTCAGTAAAAACAGATTGAAGAGGGGAAAACTTAAGTGATTTTTACTTTGTACGTAAAACCTTTGAACCTTGTTACCTTGTCTGCCTGTCTCTGCTGCTCTGCCTGTGTGTCCACCCCCCCTCCCATGAGGGAGTAGATGACCTTTATTTAACCTTGAACCTAGTTACCTTGTCAGCTTGTCTCTGCTGCTCTGCCTGTGTGTCCACCCCCCCTCCCATGAGGGAATAGATGCTGATGTGTCCATCGAAGGAGGCGCTGGAGATGACAGCAGGGTTCCGGGGACACCATCGCACGTCAAAACTCCACTGGTCACTGGTCGGCAGCTCATACACAACCTGAACACAGAGAAAAGACATTACCTGGATGTCATTCAGTCATCCTCGGTCAGCTGGTGTTTGGGGAAAGGTTCTGAATGTGTAAAAGAGGCTTTACAATGAACATAAAAGGACCAGACTCTTTTCATATGCGACAGAAAGAATTGTTCTCACCTAGAGCTTTTGACCAGTTTCTCTGGTCTTCCTCAGTAGACTGACCCAGTGAAGCTTGTCACGTGGCTTCTCTAAAGTGTGACGTCAAACATCACACTTCAAAGAAGCCATGTGACAAGCCTCACTGGGTCAGTCTACTGAGGAAGACCAGAGTGACTGGTTGAAAGCTCTAGGTGAGAATGTTGGAATGAAACTTTAAACTTCAAACATGTAACTAACAGCACAGATGAACTTTCATGAGAGGACCTGCCTCACCAAAGTTCAGCCAACCATGGTTGGTTGGTGGTCTGGGAAGGTTCTGAATGTGTGACAGCAGCTTTACCATGAACATATATGTAAATGGCCCAGACTCACCTCCCCACCAGGTACAGAGCTGTTGGGGTTCCAGCACAGGATCCTGTTGTCTTTAGCACAGCTGAGCAGCAGGTCAGGGTCCTGGGGGCACCAGGCTACAGACAGGATCCCTCTGGAACATGCAACAACTCAGGTTACTGTTGTATGGTAGTGTTAAATCACAGAGAGACACTATATACTACAGACAGGATCCCTTGGGAACAACAATAACAGCTCTAGTACAATGTTGAACTTTATTCCAACACAACGAGCACACAGAGATCAAATTTTTAATAATTCATCAGGATAACGAATGACCAATCACTTCCAAACTTGCAAGAGTCATGATTACTGACATGTGACCTTATTCACATGATACTTCATAGATACATGATGGACACTTGATCAAACATGCCAGGCAGTTTATATCGCTGATGCCAATTTTGTCCATCACATGGCGGAAAGATGGACAAATAAAAGCATCTATGTTATTTGACTTATTGGGATCCACATTTAGCATACACATACAAGACAGTAGCTGGTCTATGTTATAAACCTATGAATGGTACCCTGTCTGACCTGGTGTGGTTTTCCAGCACTTTGAGGGGCGAAGTGGCGAAGCGCAGGTCCCAGAGCTGGATGACGGGAGAACGGTCGTCTTCTGACGCCAGGACAAGCTGGGTTGCCACCTCAGGGTGCCACGCTATAGCCTGGCAACGGATCTGGGCAGGGAAAAAACACCATGGAAACAACATGCATTTATCACCCTAATCAAACTCCTTTCAAGCCATACCCAGAAATTTGTGCCATATCCACTAAAAAAATACTGGCTGTACCGGGAAATTCTGGTCATACCTAAAATATCAAGCCATGTCCGATGATTCGAGCCATACCCAAGTGCGGGCATCACTCGGCCACAGTGCATAGTCACTGGAAAATTGTGTCTAAATACCCTGTACAGCAACGATACACAATCTCATTTAGCCTATGCTCTGGCAAATATTCCTGGCCAGTGCCACCTCTCTGCAGAATGGCATCGTACAAATCGCGCCCAATCTTGAGAACACTTCGGCCAGATTGCTTCTCACAACAGCTGGCTAAAGTGTTCTCAAAATTCATAAGGCATCAACCCTTACCCGACTGCTGTGGTCGCTAACTTTGATGATGGGTTTGTTCTTGCGCAGGTCTTAGACCACACAGCAGAAGTATATTTCTGATGTCTACCTGAACCTAGCCTACACTGGGCCATGTACTGGATTTATATAATACATGTAGGTGTATGTGGAACTGGTACAATCCTTACCCGACTGCTGTGATCGCTGACTTTGATGATAGGTTCGTTCTTGCGCAGGTCCCAGACCACACAGCGGCCAGTGGGGTTGGAGGAGCCCAGGATGTGCTGAACCTGCTGGTTCCACGCTACACAGCTGATGTCCTCCAGCGGCTGGGGGCAACGGAAAAACGAGTCAGTGTTAGGGAGGAAGCTGGTGATACCTTGGGTATACCACTATGATTTGAGTTAAAAGCTAAGAGGGGAGATGGGTGGAGACAACAAAGAAACACATCAGCACACTTTGATTTTCACTCAAGCTGACTTTACTCTTAACAAATCCATTCTCAGAACATCATCTATCTTAACGTTGCTGTTCAGACGTCGAACAGACACTTATGTCTCCATTTGAATGTCCGAATGGTCTAACAAAAAACATGTCTGCAATACATCTACATTAAATCACCGAACCACACCGACAAAGTCAGAATACTGTACAGGACTATGGGGAAATGTGACCTCAAACTTGGACTATCAAAACCCTTTTAAAACTTTCTACCGTGGACTGCCACAGACCCCAGGTGTGTTAAGCACTCACCAAAAAACACCACATCTTACACTTTCACCAATGTTAGTATGTGATACCATTTTGTGGATTATGAGACCTCAAACATTGACCATCAAAACCCTTTTGTCACTCTTTTACTGAGGACTACCACTGGATCCGTTTGTAGAAGAACTGGGGTGTGCACCACTAATAAACATCATACCAGATTGCTAGAGCCAGGAGTCATGGGTGTCTCCAGGTTGGACAGGTCCCAGATGAAGATCTCTGAGTCGTTGGCGCCTGATGCCAGCAGGTTCTTCTGGAAGGGGTTAATATCCAAGGCTCGCACTGGGCCTGAGTGCTGGGGAAAGAACACAAATGTCGGTCACATTTTCACTGGACTGTTAGCCTGATGGATATACATGTATTGGCTTGGATATATTGGCTATCATCTAACTTGGAATTGTATTGATTTTGCATTGGTATTCTTTACGTCACATGTAAATAATAAAAACAAATACAAAGTAGTTAGTAGAAATTATTCGATCAGTGACTGTATTTTTGTAAGGTAGATTACATACCTCCAAAGTAAAATACACAAAAGAGTGTTTTTGGGAAAGACAGAGACCAATTTGGTCTACCAGTATTTTATTTTGCCATACTGAAATCACATTTAATTTGAATGCCTTTAACACCTGCTGCCTAGAAAATTATTGGTATACAACATGTACTGGCAAATTAACTGCAATCACAACAGCTCATCTTTTACAGTCCAATAATCTACAGGTACCTTCTCTGTAGTAGCAAACACTGGATCCTCCCCCTTGATGAGTTTGGCAGGGTTGTAGATGTGGATACTGCCTGTGTCTGTGCCTCCCACCAGTACCCCTGATGGCAGGTTATATGTGCCCATGTTGTAAGCTTATCTATTAAAGTACTACATGTATAATCTACCCAGTACCTTCTCTGTAGTAGCAAACACTGGATCCTCCCCCTTGATGAGTTTGGCAGGGTTGTAGATGTGGATACTGCCTGTGTCTGTGCCTCCCACCAGTACCCCTGATGGCAGGTTATCTGTGCCCATGTTGTAAGCTTATCTATTAAAGTACTATAATCTACCCAGTACCTTCTCTGTTGTAGCAAACACTGGATCCTCGCCCTTGATGAGTTTGGCAGGGTTGTAGATGTGGATACTGCCTGTGTCTGTCCCTCCCACCAGTACCCCTGATGGCAGGTTATCTGTGCCCATGTTGTAGCCTCCCCACACCAGCCTGTGGAATCGGTGCTCCGTGGAGATGCTGCCGACAGGCTCCATCTGTGACCCCGGCTCACCCAGGTTCAACTGGTAGATCTCTAGAGCAGCACTGGTGCTGTGGGTGGAAGATGGGACAAGGAGACATTTATCAACCAAGGATTGAGGTGTTCAAACGGTAGGGTTTTTTTTTTATTAGAAGTATCCTAGAGTTGAAATCACTGCCACCAAGTACAGTTGGGGCATCACCACTAAAGTTAAGATGTTCAAAGGCTAGGTGTAACAAGTTGTTAACGGTTCAGTGTATTATAGCCAGCTGCCACCGTGATGCGTGCCTGTGAAGCTGTTGTACTACACTGAGGGGCGGTTATACCAGCTATATAGATACAGAAGCTGGTGTGTTACACTGCAGGGCGGTTATACCTGCTATACAGATACAGAAGCTGGTGTGTTATGCCAAAGGGTGGTTATACCGGCTATACAGATACAGAAGCTGGTGTGTTGCGCTGAAGGGCTGTTATACCGGCTATACAGATACAGAAGCTGGTGTGTTATGCCGAAGGGCAGTTATACCGGCTATACAGATACAGAAGTTGAAGACTGAAATAAAAGCAGAAATCTGTACCTGAAGGTAGCGTCCAGCTGCTGAGCTGCCGTCCCTGCGGCAAGGTAGACCGGGTGGTGTTCTGCAGGGCTCCATGCCTGGTTAGCTGTCCGCTCTATATCCTTTACCTTCATGGTGCCAACTACAGGACTGTGGGGAGAAACAACAGTCAGGATTATCATGGAACTTTATCTGTAGCCTCTACCAGGCTTCAGGAGGAGGCCAGATAGACCGGGTGGTGTTCTGCAGGGCTCCATGCCTGGTTAGCTGTCCTCTCTATAACTTTCATGGTGGTAACTACAGGACTGTGGGGGGAAACGGATTTGCGATGATTATGACAACAAGACGGTTATTATATAAACTTACAAGAAATAAATAAGTTTTAGAATGTCAAAATCATAATCGTAAGCTACAGTGCGTCAATGTCAAAGCTGTCATCAAGAATATATCACGCAAGGAAGTGGAAGAACTGAAGAAGAGGAAGTTTGTTTGCACCATATTCATGACAAGCTCAAAATTTTAGTCACCTCAGCTTTCCACGTTGTAAATACGACAAGTCGTTTTGATTTATATTCCAAAATTATATAGCAGTATAGGTGACTTGTTGGTAAGGTTTTATATTTTTCACCGGATGGAAAATATATCAACACAGCATATCTGTTTTTTTTTTGGCAACAGCAACATAATTTATCATATTTTGGTGGGCAAACTTGCCAGTATGACATGTAGAAACACTGTTTCTTCCACTGCATTCTACGATTTACAGTAAAATGGGACGCAAAAACTGCATCTCCTCAGTAGCTAAGGCTAACAGATGTGTCAGTGCCACGTATATCCTTATCGCCACCCCCCTCCCCACTTTCACACTTGTCTGCTAAAGCTTGCAGGCGTCCAACGCCAAGTCCTTTACACTTCAACACTCACTTACCTTTCTACGCTCACTCCAACAAGCTAAATCTTGGGGCTAAGAACTCTTCTGGGTCTTATGTAGATCACGCCACGTCTTATGCGGGACCCAGTTTCTGAAATGTGGCGATTTTGACCCAAAATATTGGACCGTGTATTTTGTGATGACTCGCCAACAACCAACGTGGCAGTCGGCCTTCCCAGGGTGCACCGGGCTTCCGGGTTAGCCACCTCGGCTGACCTATGACCTTTTCGCGAAGTTTTAAACTTCCAAGAACTTAGAGATTCTGTCAATTTATTTGTCTTTCGTACACTTATAAGTTATAACTGAGCTGAAAATAACGCTATTGTACTCCAGGCAGACAGCACTGCAGTATCAATTCTTTTCTGGTTGTAAAGACACAGTCTTCCATCGTATAATACTGAGCATTTGACAAAGTCCTCGGAACCAAGGTATTACAAAATTTCTTCAGTCCCCATTTTCCTATTGTGTGTTTAGTGTTTGCCTGTTGTGAGGGATTGTGAGAGTTATAATACAACTTACAAGAATGTTTTGTAAGCTTCAAAACTACATGGAAGGATTTTTCCTGGGCTTCCAATGCACATGCAAATTCGCTTGACACTTCTATAGAAAAAGAATGACAAAGACAATAACAAAGATGTCATTAAACAGCTTTATGCCTTCCTGAAATTGTGTTGTATGCCTTCAAACCTTTTTGAGATACATGTATTTGACATCATTTTGAGTATGGCAAGAGTATTTTGTCCGTAGCATACTTAGACCTTGTATTTATTCATGTTTCTACTGTTCAATTGCTACATGTCATGATTGCGATTTGGAAGCACCCATCATTTTGGCAATCAATGTGATAATTAAGGTGATAATTAATTATGATAACACGATTCGCAAAAAAAAATTACAACTAGCCATGCACGTCACTTCACTGTGGCACATCTGTTTAAAAGTCCCTGCTTCAATGTACTGTGGCTGTGGCAAAAACTTATCACTAATGTGTATCAATAAAATATGGTAAAAGTGCACCAGTAATTCACATATCCTGTCTTTTGCATAGCAGAATTAGATCTTATATAGATGCTAATGTTATTGTTACACAGGAATATTGAAAATATACATACACTAAATGTAGCTTTTCCACTGCACACTTTGACACACTAAACGGATACATGTACTTACTCATAATTGTCAGTTTTTGACAGGCATCAAACAAAAATAACAATTCTCCATCCAATTTCAAGTGCTGTAAATTAATTAATTTACTTTCATTTCACAGTCAATGGGGGGGGGGTCACAGTGTTTTAAACTTTGGTTAAAACAATTCTGTATTACAGTAGTCACACACAGGAGACATATTTGAAGTGTTATGAATGTGTAAATGGAGGGGATACCACAAAAACGTCTGAAATATAAACCACAAAAATTTCACAGCATACAGTACAGTATATGATCATCAAATCCAGACCTTCCAAGCCTACATTTTTCTAGGCTGGTTAATTTTTTTTTAATTTTCTTTTCTTTGATTGTCATTCATGAGACAGTTTCATAGGACAAAGACTTAGTTGTGTCTTTGTCAAATTACGTAAGGCTTGAAAGGCCTAATATACCACTCCTGATTACAATGATCCTATTTGTATATCTCTAAACCAAAAAAGTAAGTACAATCTTAGAATTAAATCTTAATTTAAAAAGATAAGTCATGCCAACTTCATGTAATAAATTACATTGTAGCTATACATTCTCTTGATTAAATTCAAGAAACTGCTGTCAGCATAGCTTTGCAAGTACGTGTAGTATCATTTGTGGCTTTTTAAATCAAATTTCGATGCTAATTTTTTCTATGCTATTGTCACCAATATGTTAAGAATTCTGAAGCATGTTCCAATCCTGTTGATTAAGTTCACTTCCAAAAGCCATGACCAGCATGAATGAACAAATATTATGAATGAAAAAAAACATTTACAATATGAAGATGATACAATAGTAATATGTACATGATGAAGTGCAACAAATATAATGAAGGTTAGTCAGATGGGAATGACAAATATTTTTTTATATAGAAACTATAACAATGGACAGAAATCATGAATTTACAGATATTTCCTATGCCATCTTTTCCTGAAGGATGCTGAAATGAATCTGAAATGCCTATAAGTTCACCATTTTTGTTCAGTGTTATAGTTTGAATTTTAAAATATATAACAAATATAATATCCATGCATTCTACTCCAATTTTCCACATTTTTCTTTTTTGTACTATGTTAAAATTCTAGAAAGTAATGCCTAACTAAGTACAAAATATATATTCTGCATCTATATTCTAATTCTAAATCATTTAGTAGTAATATCAACTACACTGCTATCAACCATACTATGGACAAAATATACTATGGTGATTAAAATATCTTATGGAATATTAGTCACATTATGTCATACACAATAACTGTATCATCAAATAGCTTAGCCAGCTTCAATGATTAAATACCATCTTTGTTAAAATGGCCACTACCACAGTATGGCTTTTAGCAGTCTTTGCTAAAATACATAAGTAGTAACCAACAAATTCATGGTCGGTGACAATGACAGGATTTGAACCAAGGACCTCGGGCCAAACACCCTCCCATTATACTCTCCATTCCACTGCTAGCTCACTGCATGGACCCTGCTGTACAGCCTTTCAACTGTTCTGGCTATCAAAATTCAAATTCTTTCCAGTATGCCTGAAGAATTCTCACAGATCTACTCATACAACATGCAAGATATCACTGTCTCTCTACTAGTAGTCTAGGTTGGTAATCCTGCCAGGGACATTTTCACAATTCAATAATCTCATTGGACATTTAAGGTACTCGGTGAAGCCAATGGAACCTTGTAAACATTTGTCAAGTCCACAAGGTCTTCCCCTAAATTCAACGTGGACTCTTCCAACATCCTACAAATGTCAGTGATGCGGATCATTCAATTCTTAAAAGGGGGGAAAGGCAGGAACATTTGTTTACTTTACAAGGCCTCCCCCTAAATTCATAGTAGACTCTTCCAAAATCCTACAAATCTCAGTGCTACGGATCATTCCATTTTTAAAAAACGGGGGAGGGTGGGCAGCATTTACGTGTCGTTTTCGTTTTCCTCGTTCTCCCTGAAGATGGACGGGATGGGGAACGGCCACTCGTACTCGTTTGGCACAATTCCGTCCACCTCCGACTCGAAGAACGAGAAGAGCGGGAACCAGGCGCGCGTGCGATCCTTGTCGCCGTGCCTGAGGACGCGGTTGTTGGCCAGCGTGTGGTAGTACAGGAACAGCCGGCTGCTGATGTAGAAAGCGATGAACACGTCGATGGAGTAGTGCTCGTGGGCGGCGAGGATGAAGAAGATACCGAACAGGTTCATGACCCAGGAGGAGATGTGGAGGGTGTACATGTTCCTGGGGGTGTCTGTAGGGAAAATAAAAAACAGAGAAACTTAGAAACATTATATTTGCGGCAAATGCATTTTGTTTACCTTCACATGGTCTAACCCAACAAACTAGCAATTTAAGTAAGAGTAGAAGTAGTAGTATTCAGTCTACTGCTCTGTTAATTCTTACTAAAACACATATGGTGGCCAGCCCTTCCAACTTGCTACATAATATAATCCAACACCACTGGCTGTCTGCTACAGCACCAGTTACCATGGTGACAGATGCCTGGTCCAGGTCATTGAACTTATAGTTATATGTTTGGAAAAGAAGAATAAACTGAGCACATAAAAGTAAATTCCTTCATCAGTGCAAAACTTTTTTTACATCATTTTGCCTTGGCAGTTCAGCTGCTAATGCTGAGTGAGAGCTGATATATATAGATAGTTACATGTAAGTAAGGTAGGTACTGACACTCTGTGATGAAGTGGTTGAGCAGTGTGAGGACCACAGTGTGCCCACTGAACATGTAGTCACCACAGGTGTGCACGCCTGTCAGAGTCATCCCCAGCCCACTCCAGATCACAAACGCTCGGTGGAGACGAGTCCAAAAGTCCCCATACAGCTGCAAGATGTGGAGCAGAGAAAGATACATGTATATCATGATACATTACAATTTTCTACAAAACTTTTCAAAAGATTACATTACAAAAAATTGTATTCACTTTATTTGCATATCAATCAATAGTTTGTGCTTATAAACCTGCATTTCCCCTCTGGTCTCTCAGTCACTGACGAAAGCTAGTGGATACTACCTGAAACGTCTGACCGTTTCCAAAATCATATCCATTTGCTTGAATAACTGTTTTTTGGCATTACAATTATGAGCAGTGTGTATCTAAGTCCAGTCATATTAGCATTAGTCCAGTTGAAATCATCAACTATTTTTTATTCAAAATAACAACAAGTCCCAGGCAAAGTAATGGCTACACTGCACTCAAGTTGTACACTAGTCATTTTTTCAGAGCCTGTCACTCAACAAAAATACAAATATATAGATACCAGCCATTCCCTTCTTGGCCCCACCCAGCTTTTCTTATTTATTGTTTCCCTGTATATGACAAAACTAGGCACTCACTTCCAGCTGGGTTAGTAAGAAAAGCTGTGTTAAGTGCATTTCTTAAGAGCACAAGATTGGTGGCATGGCAGGATTCCAACCCAACACCTCTCAGTTCAGTAATAAGTCCTGAATCAGTTCTTGACTTTTAGGTTTCTTTTGGACTTGAACCTAAACATTTTACAAGTCTGGAACCGGTCCAGCAAACTGGTACACAGCACTAGGAATGACTGAATAACTGCCATACCTTCCCACTGCACTCCAGATGCTCCCCGGGAACAGACAGCGATGTCATTAACATGGTGAGGCAACGCAGCATGAAGACTGTTCCTGTCAGGGCGAACATCCTCCGCATCAAAATGAACCTGCCGGAAAACAACAACTTTGTAAGTCTTAAGTCTTTGTACGTCAGATTTTCCCTAAAGAAGGTGACAGATCTAGACAGCCACCAAAATGCCAGCTGAATAAACCTCTTGGTTGTGTCAAAAAGAGCGAGTCAGTCCCTTATACAGTATTTTTTACCAACCTGATGAAACAACTATTCATGTTTGTAAGTCTTGCTAGGAATGATAAACTTTATTCCACTGTCGCCTTCATCAGGATAACCAATGGCAATGACCATTACTGAATGTAAACCTGCGAGAATTAACATAACTCTCTTCACACAAGGAGTCATATTTTGGCACCACTTCCTGAATGGCTAAAGAAATGACAAAAAAATGTCTAATATTGTATCGTCCTAATGCAGCTGCATAATGCAGCTTTAAAGTTTAAGAATCAAAGATACAGCGTGCTGTCTTCATAACTTACCTGTGCTTATGTAGAAGTAAGACAATGCACCATATAGTACAGAGCACCAACCCTGTGATCTCACACATGACAAACGCCCACGGAATCCTTGGCACACTGTCCAGAAACAGGTCTGGGAGGGGAGGGTACTTTTCCCTGTCTGGCACTCGGTCATGTACAATCACCATCACGAAGGCAGTCACAAGGAAAACAAGAAACACGTAGAGAAAGCTGATCACTGTCTTCCAAATCTCTGGCTTGAACGTGGGGATGTAGACCTTATTTTCACTCGAGCTGTCATCGCTGTGAGTAAAACCGTCCGATTCTGCAAAATCGGAACCATCGCCCCGAAAGAAATCTCTTTGCCGTAAAGTCCGCGTCCCATTTTCGAGCCTCTGGTTGATGGCGAGATGGTACTGATTTTCTCGCTGAAGTTTCCTGATGGCGAGCATCAGCCTCTTGATGTCCCCGAGGACCTTGAGTTCGAGCGGCGGGCTGCGAAGGTCCATCTCAGTGAGGGAGAGCAGGGCCATCCCGTCGATCCTGTGCTCCTGGGTGAAAGACTGGACGTACTGGGGGAAGCCTGCCCGCTTCAGCCACTTCCCCACACGTTGGCACTTCCATGTGTGGACATCACACATCTTGGCAACCTGGAAGAGATAAGAATGAGTTCATCCAAACTTGTCATAAAAAGGCATTTTAGAAACAACTGTAGTGGTATCCAGTCTTTGCTTATACTGCTACAGAGACACATGTACAGGAATAGGCAGAAGTTGGCTAGTTTTCATACCACGTTTCCGAGTGGCTCTGTCCAGCGGGTCCACACTGGTAAACGTCATCTGTCGACCAGTTTAAATATGATTCACGGGGGGAGGGACTAGGACATTTTTTTTAGTCAGAGAGAGGGCCTAGGAAAATTTTTTGGACTTGAAGGGAGGTCCTAGGAAAAAAATTTTCACCCTACCCTTAGACAACCAGCCCTCCCCCCTGCTAAATACTAGTATCTTACTGTCCCTTAAAGGATGGCATACTCTCTAAATGTCCTTCAAAATTGCTGAACGGATAATTCTAAAATCAATTCCATGTCAATGGATACGTACAGCTGTAAAATGCTTTACTTGCAGAAACCTTCAAGGTCAGGTTGTTTTTCTCGTCCACATACCTGTGACCTTAGCCTGTGTTTACACAATCTCTAACCGGTGGCGGCCGCAGGCTCGCTGCTAGGATTAGTAGGACTAGGAGCGCATTGTTGTCAGGCTACCAGTGACCCTTGGACTTAGATCTCATTAAGACACTAGGCAACAGCATAATACCCACACATAAAAAATTTAACAAAAAAAAAAACAGAGACCAGAGGAAAAGGCCAGCAGTAAAGTTGTTGTTCCGCCACCTGACTTTGCTATCTTATCTAGCAGAAGTTTGTTTACAGAAGGGTTAATTATAAAATTACTAGTACATCATTGTTGAGTTTGGTACATGAAAAGTCACACCAGTACTCTTGTACATGCCTTGGACTAATCTTATCTTGTAGCCCTGGGCATCCTTAGCAAATTAAAGAGATTTTAAAGAGGTATTGAAAAGACAGTAAAGATGGAACTAGATCAGCACAATAAAGCCACTGCCCTAAACCAAGGATATATATATATATATATAAACGAGTCAACGACCTTGCCTAAACAACCAACCTTAGTAATACTTATTATAGTAAAACTAAAGATAAGAAAGAAAACCTTCCACCTTAAAAAATACAATCTTACTGAAACTGAGACAAACTTATCTACAGTGCATGAGAAACTGTATGATAATTTTGCTTTAAACGCTACAGGTCTGTACATGGGATCATGACAACAAAATCAAAGTACTTGATAAAAAGTTTGTAACTTCCCAACTACTGTATGGAATTTGCATTCTGCCTGAGTGGATTCGTTTGAGTACGTTACCTTATGAAATGAGCCCTGCAATAGAAAGAAAGTCTGCCTATCGTATGGACGACAGGACAAGCATATGGATGCACACACCCGCACGTAGCCGAAGTGACATCACCCGTCTGTCACTATCACTTTTCTCTGATTCAACACCACTACTTCCGCTTTCCTAAAGGGCACTGAGTCAGCCTTCGTTTCAGAAAAAAAACGTCCTAAGCTTGAGGAAATACACAAAGAACCGATACTCACAAGTTACGGAGACTTTCTAGACCTTATCCCCTTGTGCGAAGCGATAAAACTCGTCGGAATACTTTCGTAAAAGATTTTTGCGGCATCCGCCCTGACTTTTTTTCGGTCATCCCGCCATGTTGATTTTTACTAAGCATGATGGGAGATGACGTCACGGCGAGGTGCTCGGCAAAGTTCGGGAAGTTACGGTACTTTCCGTAAGTCTGTTGGTTCTTTAGAAAAATTATTTTCAAAGTAAAAACTTTAATTACAAAATTTGCTGTATCAAAAATAAGAAACGAAACATATGATACCATTCGTGAGGAAACGAGACTTCGTCATAATCGACCATTCAAATTTTACATGACGTCACAGACCGTGTAGAACAACCACGGAAACCCCACCAGTCAGAGGCCGGTCTGCTAAAAAGACGGAAGATAGTTTTGCTGCGTTCGGAGCACTTTGGTAGTCGGTAAGTTCACTTTCTGGGTATAGATTATGTCAGCAATAGAAATCGAACGTTCTGAACTAGCGATTTGTTATTTTAGTTTTAGTTGCATTGCTAGATAGTGGCAATGTCAAGCTTACGTAAAATAGAAGGTTGCACGCCCAAGGTGAACCTTTTCAAAGATGGCGTCGTCTGCAAAATGTCAACGTGCAAACGAGAAGGCACGTTGTTTTTACGTCGTCGTCATGCAAGAAACATGTAACAGGGCACTTAAACCTTTAGATGTGGAGAGAATGTTTTCGATTATTTTATAGATTTGTCAGGAAGTAAATATATTTAACTTGATAAAGGTGGTGCTTTATCGGTTGAAGTCGGACAGTCGGGACGAACCGGCTTTTTCCAGTTCGCAAAATCTCATCTGTTCGCTCTTTCGTGAAATCTGTTCAAGAGGACAACAGTACACACATGTAACTTCTCTTAATATTAAACAAAGATCACCAGTATCATTATTTGACGTGTTTTAAGAGAAACACTTGGGTTTCCGTTGAATTCATCCTGTTTTCGCGTGACCTTGTGATTTGACCTGCCATAAGATGGGGTGGGGGGCATGTAGTGGGTGTGCCCTTTTAACACGTGTTTTTGACTCCTTATGTGAACGAATCTGACAATGCAATGCTTACAAAGCTGACGTGTTTTATTTCAAACTCAGTTAAGGGTAGCAGCTATGAGGAAAAGGTTGTTTTGATCCAAATTCTGCACATGATTATGACACTTCGGTTTGACCTATACCAGTATCATGTTACACATCTATCACAAGTGGTGGTGCCACTATGACCCAGCTTCAGCATACTCTTTCATGCAGTCCTGGTTTGGCGACCATGCATGAAATTGTAGTGTTGGTCAGAGAAATCAGCTAATATGACCACACTTGCGCACCAGTGGTGTCAGTTGTTCATTTTACGTCACTGCCAAAGACCAAAAGAAGCACTGCTGTCAGCCAGAGAATTCAGAATTGTTGATAAAATATTTGTGTAATCAAAAGCAACTCACCCATATATTGAGGACATGTACAGTGAGTTCCATTAAGGACAGAATAAGCAGCAAGGTGTGAGAGGTCACTAGCTTTATAAAAAGTATGATATAGCAATGGGAATATTTTTTTATGAAAGCACAGGTGATAGGCTATTATCAAAGTGCTGTATTCTTTTCCATTTTGATCAAGAAGCCTAAATCAGGGATCAAATAGTTTCTTTAGATGACAGCTGTCACTTGTCCTTTTGGGCTTGAAATTTGAATAAGATTAAGTCTTTATGTTCACCCGTTATTTTGATTGATGGCCATCTGTCAAGACTGAGATCAGTGATTATTGTGGTGGTCCCAAGAGAGGACAGATTTTGCATTATTAAAACTGTCGTTTTGTAATCCTCCAAGCCCATCCTGTCCTTTGGCCTTGTTACTGCCAAATTTAACTTATATCAAGATATGTGTACCTAATTCAATGAACCCTGGCTATTATTATATAGAAATCTAATCAAAATTCAATGTGTCTACCTACTTGAGAAATTAAATTGCAGCAGGAATGAATTTGAAATACATTAGTTTTACATATTATTACTCAAGATATGGTACAGTAGCCTACTAGATGAGGAACTTATCTGTATTTTTGGAAAATGAGTCACCTGGTTGGCTTACTGCAATCAGTAGTGGGTATTTCATCATGATAGTACAAATGCACATGTATGTAGCTTATCTGCTTATGTATTTCTTCATGTGCTTGTATGTACAGATAACATTAAACAAGTGTCTTAAGCATTGGTTTGATTTTTGCCATTTCTGCCCTTTTTTTAGCAGTCAGTCACAATGTCCGCCACACCGCCGTCCTACGGAGACCTGGGCAAGTCTGCCAGGGACACGTTTGGCAAGGGATATGGTAAGACTTTCTCTTTACACCTGGTTCTCCCCAAGCAATGAGTGCTCCCCCTTTCTCCCAAAACCTAGCACCTCTTACTCTCCAAGCAGAGGTTGTGGGGGAATGATTGTTAGCTTTTTATATATGACCGTGTTTTTTTTTGTCGCTTATCCCACCGTCGGTGGCCGGCGACCTTCTCTGGCTAATGGATACTGCCTGGCCAATTTGATACTGTCTTTTTGCCTCCGAAAGGGATCTGCTTGGAGATTAGCACCTCTCCCCAAGTGTTCACATTTTCAAGATCAAGGGTTTTCTCTTAGTATTGTCATGAAAATTCGCTGGTCTTTCATCAACCGGTTAGGGTGCACCTCTCCCCTAAGAATTTCTGGGAAGACCTCTCTTTATAATTTTGCCATGCATAACTTCCATATTGTCACCTGTTCTGGTTATGTATTATTCATGCCCATCCATTGTATTTTTGTGAAAGTAAGTAGCATCTGTCACATTGCGCTCATAACATGCCCTCTATAATGATAAGGTAAAACCTAAAGGACACACACTAGTGGCACTGTACGGTTTGTTAAGCTCCAGATAGAACCATTATTACCGTAATACTGGTAGAAAATTCTAACAGAGCACTGATGGCAGGAGAGAGTAGAATTAAATCATGGTAGTTTCCACATATCCCTGGGGGAAAAGCTTGAGTGTTGCATGATGAAATTGACAGAATTGACCATTTGAAGGTCACTGTTTTGCACTGGTTTCCACCACTGTTCTAACCACACCCCTGGTCTGACTTGGTCCAAGGAAATGTTTGTTGACCAGATTTTGCACAGCCCAAATTAAAGAAGACCCCAAACATTTTCATGTTTACGCAATTTTAGGAAACACATTTGCCCTGCCTGTCCACCCCACCGATGATAAAATTTCCATTTATAATTAATGTCAAGCAGAATGGGCACAAGGTGATGAATTGGTACAGGTTTCCGTAATGCATTCCACACCAGGGCTGGGCCCCTTTTGGGGGGTAAATCCTGGCTGTGACATGCCTCACTCAGTCCAACTGACCTACTTACGAGTTAGGTCAGTCATGTGACTACAGGGCTTCCCATTTCCTGACTCTGTTATATTGATTTTCACCAGTATTGTACCTCTCTACGCCAGAAAGACATTAGCTTTTGTTCACCGGTCAATATGTTGTACAATAGCCTCATTTATGAAAATACTTCATTACAAAAATGTCATTTATTGATTTATTTTAAAGAATTGCTAGTAATTTGCTACATTACCTACTGTAGTATCAGACAGAAATGTTGACATATTCAGTTGTGTTTAGTGCATGAATACATAACTGTATTCTTAAAAGACATTGAGGTTCAAACACATTTTTAAAGCATATTCAACATTGTATTTTTAAACCATACTGTATAAATTATAAGGTGCAACAGTTCTAGATAACTGAAAATCCATACAAAGCTCACCCCTGCCAAATGTCCAGTGGTAAATCTGATACCACAGAAGTAACCTTAACCATCTCCCAGACTGGTCAGCTGTGGTTAGTGTTTTGGCTGTCCCTAGCTCAAGGCCATGAGACTGTGTAGTTAAGGGGTTGGCTTCTTTTCAATGGGGTGTCATGTTTGCTGGATTGGTTGGGTAACTTGGGTTGGGTTTCTGGGACAACAGACTTATATATGGCCTAGATATGTTATATATGGCCTTGTTCTGTCAAGCTTAAACAATGTGTTGTGCACATTTTCCATGGCAGTGTTGTTGGTTAGTTAGTTGTGTAACTTTCAATAATCAAAGAGTTGGCAACATGAGACTAATGAATTCACCATTTTTCTTTTTTCTTTTTTTTCAGGATTCGGTTTTGTGAAGCTTGACTGTAAGACCACAACAAGTAGTGGGGTGGTAAGTACTGACTAAAGCTACTATACTACCAATATGCTCTAAAATCAACAAAGAGAGTATTTAAAAATCATATATAAAACTCAACTAAGATAAAGTTTATGTATATTTTAATGCATTGCCATGTTGTTGCCAGTATTTTGCTGTAGCTTCCATGAATACTTGATATTTTGTGTAGTGCCATTATTAATAATCCAACTAATGCATTGGTGCATTCTCACCTGCTTTCCTTGCTTTGAGGGTGTCCAGGTAACGTTGCATTCCCTAGTCTCACCTATCCAACTCATAGACAGAATGTACTGTGCCTGCGTGAAATCACTGTTTCTTTCGGACATTTGGACAATTGAGCGTCAAAGTATTCTCCGTTGCATAATATATCTTTTCAGACACAACATTTCAAAATTTAAGAACACGATATGTTCTGTAGAAGTCTGCCATGTACGTTTCTTTTCAGGATTTCGCGCAGGCACAGTATATTCTGCCAACGTGGTCACCTATCCCACATAACTCATTCTGTGTATATGTAGCATACCCTCTGTTTGTCCTATGTCTCTTGTCTTGTGTTCCCATACCGACCTACTCATTGATGAGAACGTAGACTTGTGTGCAATGTAGGAACCACATCATCTGTAATGTAACTCATTGCATGTCTCCTGCTTTGCTTCTGTTATGCAGGGTCCTTAAGGAATTACACTTACTGAAGCTTGTAGAAACATGCCAGCAGCTTTCCTCTACTTAAGAAAGAAAACGTAGCAAGCAGAATGTTAAAGAAAAGGGAAGTAATGATGAAATGTGATGTCTTGCTGTGGAATTGCAGTGTTTCCCTCTATCACACCTGTAAGGCACTGTTCTGGTGTTTGCCTACCATATTCCTCTTGGAATGAAGTGTGCATGAACTCAATATATGATCTACTAGATGTCAAGCCCTGTATAACCGAGATCATTTTAATTTTTCCATCTTTCTTTGTTTTTTTTTTTTTTTTGCATTGTTCAGGAATTTAGCACATCCGGCACTTCAAACAATGAGACGGGGAAGGTTGGAGGAGAGTTGG